TATCGAATGGAAGGAACAATTTCAGAACTCTCCCATACCAAACTTAAAGTTTAATATTTCCACTTATTAAAAGCTTTAATAAACCTACGGGGACTGGATATAGAATTAACCTTATTGTTTGCGACACCCCGAATAATTCAAAGCACTCATGGGTGATGTTAAAGCGAAACAAACAAACTACTATATATGCACATGTCCAGTAAGCGAGAAAGGCAAGTGGTATTCTGCGAAGGGAAAGTAGGGTAGGCATATTCCAAGAATTCCTTTATGGTATAATAATCATCGTCTTATCAGTATTATCACAAACTAATGACTGGTTATCTCACCTTATTTCTGACTAACACTAAATATTAAAGGAGACCTTCAGGGCGGATACAAGAATTTAATTTTTCAAAGGGTGTATGGGGGGGGGGGGAGGTGTTTGCCCTTTTTCACAGAATAAACCCGCGGCAAGTGAACTAAACAGTGCAATTTGTTACATCTAAACAGTTTGTGACATTCTTATTTCCCACATTCCCGTCAAAAAGATATACGAAAGGAAAGGACCCCGAGCGTTCCCAGTCAATTAATTAATTCTAGCTCTTTGAAGCTTGATATTTTATAACATGTTATATAATATGACAAATCATTAGTAAGTTAATTAACAAAATCTTTGGGACCTTATATTGCGATTTTTCTGGGAAAAACATGGCAATTGGGCTAAAAAATAAAAATTTGTATGTTACCGATAGACAGTTCGTGTCATTTGTATTTCCGTTTCAAATGTTCGCAATTTTGATTTCTTACCGATATATAGAAACAAATTATAATAAGCAACTATAGGCCTGTAAGCATAATTAGTATTGTCTTTAAGAGAAATCAATATATGTACAACTTAAAACAGAGGCTACATGTATGTGCTTAATTAATTTGTTAGGCCTCTTAAAGGATCAAAATGTTAAACGAAATTTTACAGCCATGATACATTTACACGGTCGATCATGAAGTAGCAGGAAAGAAATTGCAAATTGTGGGCGTCAGATCCGTGGATTGGTTCCGATCATACCTGTCGAACAGGAAACAGATTTTAAAAGTGGGTAACACACTTTCCAATTCGTCATATTGGCGGATGGAGAAATGGAGAAGCAAGAATATCGAAGAAGGAAATATCCACAAGAAAAAAGGCGCGGCAATGAACAAAAAAGACGACAATAAAAACTTCGAGTCTCTCCCGGTAACAATATCGAAAGGAAAGAAAACTCATCAGATGATGGTAAGCTTAGAAAAAGATACAACGATCATGAAGAATACGACGATGGTTGCAAAGCAGGTGGTAAAGAAGAATATTTTATGGGTCGAAACGTGTTGCAAGAAATGAAACGGTTGAAAATGAAAGCAGATAAAAAGAAAATCGGTTAAAATAAGGAGAGGGTTAATGAGATTTGTTGAAGAATGGAACAAGTCATGCCTTAATAAAAACATTTTCCAAATTGACAAGAAAACACAGTACACAAACAACAAGAAGAAAATTCCACAAAGCAATTTTATGTACAGAATTCGGAAACTCTTCCCACCAGAAAAAGTGTTAAACAACATACTCAAAAGTGTATTCTGCACAGATCAATTAAACGTTTACATACAAAATATGTAAAACACAACAAAAAGAAAAGTCTCTCTAAATTTAAGAATATTAGACCATGAAATCTTCTGACACGCACCAAAGTAAAATTAAATCACTGTTTATGTGAAAAATGAGCGAATTGTGACATTAAAATTGAAGCAATAAACAAAGTATTGCATATAAATTCCCTTAAACGTTTAAAAAAGAACTATACGACTGTGTCTATGTAAATACGAAGGAGACTATTCATTATCTACATGTTTAAATCAAGAGTGCAGAAATTGCGGTGTTTTATCTATTGCAAGAGACTCTTCAATCAGTTGTTGATAACAAAAGTGAACTTTGTTCATGGAAAGTGATATGTTTAACTTCCTGGAGGCAAACAGAAATATTACCGGGTACTGGGGATAAGAGAAGATGCACTCATATACTCAAAAACAATTTCTATGTGGCAGCAGAATCAATTCAACGAAGTCGCCACGGTTCAATACCAGAAACCAAAACATTTCATAGTATAAAGGGGTATCCCTTAGTAAATTATTAACTAGAACTCTAAGCTGCTTTTGTCAAGCATTTAGGATGGTTATTTTCATAAGTTCAAAAAATAAAGAGTATGTTGATAATTGGAATCCAGTTACCATTGACATACTAAATTCAGATGTAAAGACAGAAACTGTACCCAGAACATTCTCGGAAGAAGACATTAAGAAGAATGCATTTGTGGCGGTTAAAGATCTGTCCAGTTGCAAATCCTTTGAAGAATTGACCGAAGCTATTAAAATTATTCCGTTTCCTCAAGTACCCACAACCCAAGTCAATAGTTTGCAAAGCAAACACTCTATTGATACCAGTAAATACCCCCCCCCCCCTTATTCTGGATATTGGCGGAGAACAATTATTTGCTGTTAATATTCTTATGGATGGAAATTGCTTATCAAGATACGCTTCCGTCATCTTGTATGACAACCAGAACAGCAATCCTGAAGTAAGAAAAACAAAGAATTAACTGAACAGACAGCATACTACATGTATATATATTTATGATAAAAATATGGTTCGTGGTAAAAACCCGTTGTCCAAGTTAAATATTAACGGCCAGTATGCATCATGTTCATCCAGTTATTTTGGCGGAAGGTTAACAAAGTAAAAAATTAGATCAATTTACGAAGAAGTTTACAATATTCGCTTACCTGGCGTCTGGATGTGGATGGGGGTGTGGCAGGTAGCTGCACTCTCAAACATTCTTCAAAGTCCAGTAGTGATTGTCTCCCCTGATGAAGTTTGCCACGATTTAAACTTATGACGTCAACTGGCAGACTAACACCAATGAAGAGACGACCACTATCAAGATCAGTCGCATTATTCTGTTAGGATTTTTTTTTTCATTTTGAGTGAAGCCTGTACCATTACAGGCCCGGGACTGTGCAGCGCAGAGGACGTTTACTTGATTTGATATTTGTTTATTTTTTGCAATGTCTATATTCTGTCTTGTCCGTAGGTTTATCTTGTAAAATTGTAAAAAGAATAAATAAACATTAGATGTTTGTTACGTCTTTAGTAATATGTGCTGGTTATTGGATTCATAATTTATTTTCGAACAGGTATTATGCAAGAGCTAAGTCCACCTATTGCAGGTCTTTCTTTATGTCTTAAATGTTATAAAAATTATTAATTAGACCTCCATTAACTTGCCAAGACCATAATCAACTCTCGATGCCATCGTATACTCTAGATTTTAAACAGGTTTAAATACGATTTTCGGATTTTTGATTTAACATAAAATGGATATTCCGGACAATGACAATCGAGGCTACACCTTTCTTGTAACGACGATAACTAGAGTGATTTGACTGACATTTTCAAAATATTCAAATTTTTATTATCTACTTTTTAACTATTATAGCGATAATTGTCAGCTCTTTATCTAATCTTACATAATGTTCCTTTAAGCTATCGAAATTATTCCCAGGAATCACACTTTTGAATTTGGAAAACCAAATTGTATGCTAATTAAAGGCTGCGCCATGGGTTGGATTTGTTCACAAGGCATTAGTGACCTAGTGATGGGATTTTCATTTATGGCAAGGTTTGGTGGCTTTTTTGTGGAATTTTTCACCATAAGATGTTGGACTTGCACAAAAATTACAGAAGTTCAATTAAATTAATCCACCAGTTTATGATGAGTAAAAATGGTAAAAGGAAGTTTTTTGTTATCCCTGAAATATACTACTACTACTACCTTGGTACTTTAACGTCTGCTTCCACAGAAGTAATATCACAGACAAGACGTAGGAGAGTTGACGCTTCTTCCTGTTTATTTAGAATATGATTTTGCAATCTTTCCATTTACGACCTTAGGTCATGGAGTGAGTTTAGTGGGAAGTTCTTCCTTTTATTTAATAAAAAAAGATATTGTTTGGAAGTCAATCTGTAGAGACGCGTCTCTGCTCTGGATTGGTATGAAATATACTACTGAATTGTATAATGAACAATACGTGTTATGGTCGACGCTTTAAGGATATGGTTAAGTGCAGCTCACCAGGCAATATTAAAGGACCGTAACTCAAAATCCTCCAAAATCTTCGACATCGAAAACACGAATTATTGGTCAATTTAAATCAACATTGATGATGTAAACTTACCGGGAAAAGATGAGCTTCTGATATCCGATATTTAAGATAAAATAATTTTTTTAACATTGGTACACGAATCGTGTACCATAATGCGCTTCAGCCCCAGTTGTATTGAGAGACTCGAGGGACGAGGCTAGACACATTGCACCAAATCAAATGGAGTTATGTAGACTAGAATAACTAGACGCTAGAAATTTGCACTCGATTGAGGTTGCCGACTTATTTCGCCGAACATAACTGATTTGAAATTGGAGTAAAAACGGAAACCATTAAATGTAAATCAGTTTATATACATTCATATTACAGTATTATATGCGTTGCGACCCACCTTTGTGAATTTCTAGGTCCCAAATGTTAGCGATTTAGCTCCTTTAATAAAAACAACTTTATCTTTTTTTTAAAAATGAAAATGATTAATCTTATTGCAAACCAGACGAGTAGAGCGTAGGTCTCTTTGTCTAATATATTATCTTTACATTGTATTCGCCCCCTTTTAATAATCTCTAACCCAACTTAAGCGTGTATATAAAATAAACAGATTAGCGATAAGAAACGCCCCCATACATTACCTTGTAGTTATTTATATTTCTTGAATGCATAACTTACATAAAGAAAAGTATGCGGTTAAGCAATGCTGAAGTTGTACATTTATATATCATAAAGCTGACAGGCTATGGTCGTTTCAATTCAAGTCAACAATTGATATGCTCAATCTTGTCAGGGGGCCAATCCTTTTATAAGGTTTTTTATTCAGCTGTTAAGATCATAATACAACCAGGACACAATTTGATAAAATGAAGGCAATGATATACGTCGGTTTTGCTTAAACTAAATTGTTTCGAAGGATCGTACCAGAAAATGGGGTGTAATAATCAATATTTAATACTCAACATAAGCAGACGCTTGTTACAGGTAAAGTTTATATAATCCTATATATTTATATGGATAAACTTTCACTGTTTGTTACACAACATTGGACAATTAACTATTACCACCCATTTTTAAAGTAGCGATGCGCCATTTGCATTTTCTCTAAAATATCATATTTATCACGGCTTAAATCAAGCCCGTGAGTAAACCTAGGGGTAAGTGGAGTGGAACGAAATAAGAACACTAGGGATACCGAGGATGGTCACTCTTGTCGAGCATTGAAGTTACAGGGTGAGGGTTTAAATCATCAACTATCTGGCTACTTCATTATCAATACATATTGTTTGTTATCTTTCAGCTTTCCCATTGACAACATTCAACGCTGATGAGCCCGTCGCCATATCAACTGTCCCATTGTCGGTTACTAATCACGAATTGTTCGAGATGTTGAAAGCTCTATGCGGGTTGGGCATATGTGTGCTCCTGTCAATAGTAAAGGCAGATCTGAACTCCACCATAGATACAGCACTGATTAATGATAAAAGAATCATCCAACTAGATCTACAGGAAGCAAACTCCAGCTATGGAAGCTTTGACCAAACTCCATGGTTTAAACCTATGAGGTGGTTTCTGGTTCGAGGCGATAGGTCAAATCGTCTGCTTCTGTTGATATATTATTACTATAACTTCTTTGAATCGTTTGTTCCATTGACAAAAAACAACAACATAACTCTCGGAGATAACAGTGTAAAGACGCATAATGAAACTAAACAATATTTATTAAATGTCGTAGCTGGGACGGCTTTTAATGAAGTGTGTTCTATGTTTATTAAAGATGAACTAGGTTTTGGAATATTAGTTTATCATTGTTGTAAATTGAATGAAAATTGTGTTGATATAGTGGAAGATGCTTCAGTTTGGATCTTGCGAATCTTCTTCTTCCTGGTAACAATATTCCTCTTTCTCTATTTTCCTAAATTTCTTCCTCAGAAATATACGCGCCCCGTATTCCAATTTAACCCAACTCCACCAATTACTCTGAGAATTGTTAAAACGAATACCCCCGATAAATATGATATAAAAGGCACCCGTGTCCCATCTATTATTTTTGATCAGATGAAGGAGCTAACAAAAAGTATGAGGAGTGCAGCAATAGTGAGGGATACTGTTTATAAAGTCAAGATAAAAGTTGTGGATCTATTAATTCATCGAGTAGATATTTTATCAGAAAGTGACCAGGCTGTTAGTCTGACCAAACTATTATATGATATGATTATTCGGTGTAAAATCCGCAGAGCTAAACCTATCAAGAAATGTCTGGATACTCCAATTTGTAGCTGTTTGTCGAGATCAGGTAAACCAATTCCTCTCCTTTCCTGTTTGAACATACTTAAAACTATAGTTATCTATACTGTACTCGCTCTTCCTGCCATTCCATTCTTCTACTTGATGTCAGCGGACGGCCTGGAATATCAAGACTTAGGACAACAAATAAAATCCCGTGGTCTACGTCAGACGTCCAGTTTTTATATAGGAATGTGGGCGGGTAAAGTAATAACGGCCATATTATGCTTGCTGTATACATTGTATGTATTTATAGTTTTAATGTCCAACAGTATTCACGAAGAAATGGCAGACCTCATGACGGACTCCATTAATGAATCGCATAAAAAACGTACACCACTCTCCAAAAGAGTTTTGGAACTTTTGACGAAACCATTTACCAAGTGTGGTACATTTTTCGTTCCCTTCTTTATAATAGGGCTCCTCCTCAGCCCCTTGATTCTCCTATTTTTCGCCATTATTGCGTCGCCTGTTATGCAGCTGTTGATTCGCCAATGTAAGAAACTATGCTGTGCTGGAGGGTTTAGATTTTATTCCAATCCAATTACTTGTGGACCAAAAGTATCCTTCTTTTTGTGTCTGACTTTATTGTCAGTGTTTGTGATTTTAACAATAGGATTTAACTTTCTACTACATGCTGTGTGTATCGGTATCATCAATATCTTTATTAACTTAAGTACTGCAATGAGCATCATATCTTTGTGTATACTGATAGGAATTTATGTCCGGGATACTTCCAGCCGTCTGACTGGAAAGTATGATGCTTATCAGAAGTCTCTATTGCTGGCTGTCCTTGCTGTTAAACAAGAGTCACTGTTAGCCGAGTCAAAAAAAAGATACAAGGATCAATCCAATATGGCATTTCAGCACACAGCTGCTGATTTTGTTGACGAAAATTCGATAGAGAACGGACACGTTGACGAAAGTCCTTCAACGATATGGGATGTAAAAAATGGTTATCTACGCATGTGCACAAACGGAATTGTATTATTTTTAGATAGGAGGGATATCCCGTATATACCGCACGCGTTCTTTCATGAAATGACGGAAGTTATTTGCCCCGGATGTCCCGGAACATTAAAATCTTCCATAATGGGTGCTTTAAAGGATTTAGGAAGAATTGTGCTTTTTTTATTATTTTTATTCATTCTACTATTGGCATATGGAGATACATTATACGTATCACCCACTAGTAAATTATTTGCAACCATAGCAACTGGCCTTGTTCCACTTCTTCTTCGTTCTTTCTTTTTCTCAAAAGCGCCAATACCTGCATTGGATACTTCTAACGTCAGGTTTCAGAATATCTTCCGAGAAAAAGTTCTGAAATTTATGATGAAATGGCCAGTTGTTGACGCAGAAATAGAATTCACGAAAGATTCTAACGTAAATTTACCACGGACGGAAGTTGATTTAGTATTTGATGATGACATCACTCATGACGACATAGACTGTGGGGAATCAAACGACGGATTTGTTCCCGATGAAGACGAAGAACTAGAAGACGAAGAAGGAGAAGTAGAAGAAGGGGAAGGAGCAAAAGAAGAAGGGGAAATCATTGAAGAAACGGATAAAGAAATACCAACAAACACGAAAGAACAAACATTAGGAGAAACAGAAACAGGATTCTGATGTGGGAAATTACTGTAACATAAAAGGACGTCTTAAATAATATCGTTCTCCTTCTGTTAGCATCCGTTTTTTCTCTTGAATTGCTAACATTCCACAATACAATTAACATCACTCGGATCCTGGCTGGGTAGTGGTGTTTTTGGAACTGATGACATGGTTATACGCGAGAGGGAGTAAGTTTCTGTCATATCTTTGAGTCTCTTCCACTAAAGATTGCGTCAGAATACACCAAAGTTTAGTCGTGAAATACGCTTCCACATCTGAGGACGGGCCAAACAGAAGAAAAGCAGTTTTCCATTTATTGTTAAATAGATTGTACCAGAAATTGTGCAGAAGATCACCTGAGAAAGATACATAATAACAATAATTAGCATACATGAAAGGTGTGTGTGCGCGCGCGTCATCCCTCTCACGTTAGAATCCAATAGACGGTAGTATAATTTTGCTAAACCACGATCGTTCGTCTTGACTTCTTCTGTCTATTTATTCTCGATTTTAGAAGATTTTATTTAAAAGCTTTATGTATATGATCCTATGTCTACCTTTGTGCCAATCACCTAGTTGGGATGGAATGGATGCCTGAATGGGTTAACGTGTTCGCGTTAAATCACAAGCTCTGTCATTGAGTCAAGTGGCAAAGAATAGGGTCGCCTGTCCAACCCGGGTCCCCCGGTTTCCAGCCAATGATACCGTACGCACAAGTGAATCATTGAAATAAACTTGAACCATTTGATGGTCTCGAAATAACCTAGGCGTTGTCGTGTGGACGTTAAACCACATTTCTCTCTCTCTCTCTGTTAATCACCTTTGATGTTTCTAAAGAGCAAACTATTGGCCTATATATATTAAAGTAACGACCTAGAACACGCATACAAAATATTTGTTTGTGGTATAATTTAGTTTAACATTAATATACAAAATGCTTTTTGTTAATTATTATATTCAAATGGCTCTCAATTATTGTATATCTATGTATTTGATATATTCATTTTAAACCTGCTTTTAGGCATCGATTTTTATATAACCACAGTTCATCTGGATGTTTTATGTCGTCCCTTCGTATGTTTTGTACATTTTTGTCCGATTTTGATGAAGTCAATTTGGCACTACTGAACCTAGATTACCTGGTTTATTTCCCCTGGTTGTACGAAAATAACCCACACAACTTGTGGACCCTACACCTTGTCAAACCTGCAAAGGCTAATATCTTGGCTCAGAATAAAGTAATTTGAATGAAATTTTCAACATATTCATTATGAACTATTACATAATGTATCTTTAAGGATCAAAAATCCTTAGATGAATTTGATATTGGTGCGCGTCTTGTCTTATGGCCACTGACTTTTACCTCCAAAACGGGTAACCAAGTTTGTGGGGATGTCTCAGCGATGATTAGTGAACATACGATCATGAAACCCCATCGATCTTCATCGCTCTACGTTGGTCCGTCTGTCAGGTGTGAAACACTGACATCATGGGAGGACGAGCCCAATTGATATTAAACATTTAATGGTCCCTATCCATTTCCCGGCCTATCTCTTGAAAATGTTGGCTTATCTTGCATGACAACCAGTTGTATAATAATTTTTGGTAATTTTATTGCTTAATTTGAAATAAAATAATAGTAAGTATATACTACTTTTTCTTCTTTTTTTTTTAAGAAAGAAAATATTTACTTAAGAACAAGGTTTTCTACCATAAATGAATTTTTGACAAATATGGATTCAGATTGTGAAACACCTATATTAAACTTTCATTCATTCAGGGGCAGTAACATAGGTTACCCTTGTCACCAGAATGTTGTGCTTATTTCCTGTTTTTAACAAACAGCCTAAATCTTTGAAAGTTCCTGTGTTATTTAGCGTTGATATATAGTCAATCGATCTAAGCATCCGTTTCAAACAACAATTGAAGAAATTAATGACGATTATTAATTATTTTCATACAATAATAATAAAAGCCCATTTTAAGCGATTATTTAATGATTTAAAGACATTTCATTAAATGGTATTTAAAATAGAAAGGTCCCGTGTATATATTGGCGTGCACGTAAAAGATCCCTTGGCAGTTGGAATTCGATATAAGAGTAGGCCGTAGCGCCGCTGCCCGGGCAAAATTTCCCTCATAGCACACTGTATGGCGTATGCCCCTCTTCATTAGCCCAGTTTAGGAGCAGGACAGTAGGACGATAAACCCCATTTCATTTCATTTATTTAAAATAGACGTCTTCTCGTATTGAAATTCTACATTTCGTTGTGACCTGTAGATGAGTTATCGATATTTATTCATCAGATAATGTGTTATGATCCTTTACCCCGACTGACTCTCTCTATCTTCAAAGCAACTAATCTGGGATTTGGGAAACGGGATATGCATACTCTTTCTCAAACGATATCACTTTTTTTTATGTACATTTGTTATAAGAGGGGCTAAAACTCTTTGAAGTGTCGACTTTTTCAACTGATGTACATTTTTAAACGACGACAAACGATTAGAATTTAGAAACCGTCACGTTACAAGAGAGGTTATCAAAAGTGGAATGGCCCAAGGTGTGCGCTTTAGACCCTAAGGTTTGCTATTTAGTCAAGTGGCGCGGTTTCGATTCCCATCGTGTACTACAATGAATAACTGAAATAAAATTGAACCATACGTTAATCCCGAAATGACCTAGTTTTTGTCGAGTACGTTATGCCCCTTCCCCTCTCTCTCTCTCTCACTCTCTCTCAAATATTTCTAGTAAACATGTTTGCTTTTACTGTTTTATTTAGTGGAGTGGAAAAGAAATTATATTACGACACGTTTAGTATGATGTGGTTAAATACAGATATTACAGTTGAACCATTCCTTTATTTACATAATAGAATATAGTCACCATTAACACAATACACGCCGTTACAATCCCAACATATATAATCGTCCTAGCGATCGTGACTAGTTTCCATTTATTTCCTGGTTAACCATTCATACATGAACATAGTAGAGATCATATTGTTAATCGGGTCGGGTTGTTGTGGTCGTGCGACCTGATAACCATACGACCGTCCTCTAGGCCCTGTTGCCTGGTTTCCTTCAGCTTCATACTCTACAATATAGAAGTACAAATCATTTCGTCATTAATTAAAGATACCCTATGTAAAAGCTAAAACTGTCTATAACATATATTGCATATTTTTCTTTTGGTCTCAAATGTTATGTAAATTATTTATTAGCCAATTATTCACACGACAACTATCGGATGTTCGTGATTTTTAATTGATTGAAGAACGACCACCATTTAATAATTCAATTTAAAAATGAATAATCAAGACAATAACAGCAATGAAAACCGAGACTATGCTATTATTATCAAAACTTCAAACACTGATAACTCCGTTCAGAATAAAGTAATTTTACTGTAATTCCAAATATGCCCTTTTCATTATCTGTTATAAATCAATTATAGCGAAAACTGCCAGCTCTTTATCTAAATCTTACAAATTTTAATAAATTAATACACTGTTTCCTTATGGAAGGAACTAAAATGCACTGTAAACAATGAACCAATTATATCAAGTGATTGAGATGGTATCTGAGGCCACGGTTTGCAATATTTTACCTTGAGCTTGTGACGTCACAGCACCCATCAACAGAGACAAACACAATAATACATACAACGTTTTCACCATTCTACAAATAAAAAACAAATAAAATATATTAGTAGGGAAGTGACCAATAAGTTTTTAGCCAACATCCCCTTCCTTTCATATATTATGCTGGTAATTCGTCTGGTGGCCACTGTGTTGGTAACTCATATGGTGATGACTTGGGTGCATGGTAACCGCCGAATATGATCCCCAATATGATAAATCTGATTAAAACACAGATCATATTTCGTCTCGTTTTTTAAAATTCAAATTTTCGTTTCATTTGCCTTCACTACACTAGGATGAAAAATTGTTATATAACCGGCGTTCTGGTTGATGTGAGGGATTAGCCAATGAAATTGTCAGTTGTGGCGAGTTCTTGGCGTCTGGTTCACGGAAATGTGGTGGATATTCGCAGGGAAGACAAAGCAAAAGTTGTGTTTCCAAATACCCACTTGGAACCTCAACGCTGATTGGGTAATCAAAAGTCTGACGTCATAGGGGCAAAAGCTGTTCGTATGACCCCTGACGCGACCCCCACTACAGCAGGTCAGATCTTCACATAGTGGAGGCCATCAAAAGTATAGAAAAAGAAACAAAATATAGATCTGTATTTTAATCAGACTGCAATATGAATCCAGACTATTAAAACCGAATGTCACTTGTTAGTGCCAGAGCCATGTGGAAGTCTTCACAGTAAAACTACGGTTAAGGTCTAAACACATGTGCATATGTTCATAATGAACTAGATAAGGGTCAGTTTTTCATTTACACTATCAACATGTCAACACAAACCGTACTTGATCCCACTTACGTGGACCAATTCTGGCCCGGGATCTCTTTAAACTAATGAACATTTTTGAGGAACTTTTCCAAGTCGTAACTAAATACATACAGCTCTATCCGTTTCGTGTTAACGAGGTTGAGATCCATGCTTGAGAAGATGCTGGTGATAAAACTGCTGGTTGTTTGGAGTGACAGAGAAAATTGCATTTGTATTTAGTAATTAAACCTAGCAATCTGTCAGTTAAATTGTTTCTTAAATGTCTAAAAATTAAAATGTGACATCTGCCAACATTTTAATTAATATATTTACCGGTTGTGTCGCTATATATTCTCCTAACTGATATTTTGTTTCCAAAAATGGCCCATTCTCTGTTTTTATGCGAGAGAAAATAATTAACAACATTTAACGTCTTAACTAAAGAGTTCTGCGTGGTTGTTAGAATGTAATAACATTGACATTTAGTCGCTTCAACACGTAACAGATTACCAAGGAAAAATGGAGTCCCGGATTTAGTTTTTGGCAGGTCATAAGCTGTATAAAGCTTGTAGACCCCAAAACATTCACTTATATATTGTAGAAATTTAAGGGAATAAAAAGAATAATAAAGTTCGTGGGACCCTATTATGCCTATACCCGAATGATGTTAATACTTAGATTGTTTAAACTTTTTGTGTGATTGCTGGGCTGTGGTGGCTCGGCCAGTAAGACGTTGACTCGCTAATCTGGAGGTCCAATGCTCAATCCCCGTGTTCACCAAGAAAGTTCATTGAGATGTTCCGGCGTGGCTCCCTGCTTGTTAGTGGTGCAGGGTGGAGGTCATGACAAGGGACAACGAATAGTCGTTCGGGTGGGACAAAAAAAAAACTCAGTGTACACTTTGGCGTGTACGTAAACAGACCCTTGACAGGTGGAATTTGATTTAAGAGTAGGCCGTTGTGCTACTGTCCGGGCAAAATGTCCCTCATGTCACACCGCATGGCGTATACCCGTCTTCACTAGCCCAGTCGGTGCAGAACAGTAGGGCGTTAAACCTCATATCATTTCTTGTGTTATTTCATTGTGGTGTAGTAGAAGAAATCTATTATAAGCGTAAATTTTCATTTCCAGAGATCTCGTTTTTCATTTCGTTGCCTGTTAAACAACAAATCGCTGAACTCCCAATCTAGGCTCAAAAATCAAGCCCAACTTTTTAAATGTAGACATATGCCTATTTGAAAGATTTGAGAGTATTGATGGCGTAACTATAACAGACCTACCCTGAAAGTTGATCGGTGTAGTTGTCATCATTTTTAATCTTTGGTTATTAAAAAAACCAAAAAAACAACCCAGGTGCCCCGAGTTCACGAAGCATTCTCAGACTCAAATTGTTCGCCTTATTTTAACTAAAATGTAACCCTTTATGAAACTTTTGTTGTTTTAATGTATCAAAGACATCAATAAGAAGCTATGTGCAAAGTTTTATGTTTCTGGATCAAAGATATTTCTCATAAACAGTAAATTCTTAACTTAAAGTCTGAGGTTGGATGGCTGAATGGTTAGCGTGTGCGCGCTTTATCATAAAGTCTGTCATTGAGTCAACTGGCGTGGTTTCGATTCCCCTGTTGTACGTGACAACCTCGTGGGTTTTCTCCGGGTCCTCCGGTTTCCTCCCACTGCTAAAGACCACAACGCGCAAGCGAATTATTGAAATAAAATTAAACCATATGTAAGTCCCGAAATGACCTAGTTTCTATCGAGTGGACGTTAAACCCCATTTAATACTTTCGATGGCCTACACTACGTAAGGATCTGACAAGTTGTACTGGGAGGTCGCGTCAGGGGTCATACGAGCGGATTTTGACCCTATGACGTCAGACATTAATTAATCAATCAGCGTTGACGTTTCTAGAGGTTTAACCACAGTTCCGTCCAGAGCACGCCAAGAATCGCAGTAACAGACCGTTTCATTGGCTAATTCCTCACATCAACTAGAACGCCTGTTATATAACCACTCTTCCAGATCCTAGTGTTGTGAAGACAAGTTAAAGGAAATTTTGAACTATGAAAAACGGAACGAAATAGGATCTGTGTTTTAATAAAATTGGCATTCCCCCGTTTATACGTAAAAAGCTGGGATGAGTATTGTGTTCCAAATGGCATTAATGAGTAGATAGCTCTCATGGTCAACAACAAAATTGATGGAAACGAAATTTTCAAAAAATAGATAACACTTCCATAACTATATTTTTTATCGATAAAGGCGCAATATTCCAAACTGCAAGTCAAATACATCCAAACATCCAGTCTATATACATTGAATAGCAAATATTTATTGATTCGTAATTAAAATTAATCAACCCCAACATAAATTATTGCCGTATTTCCTGTCTCAGAACGTATTATGTTATTGAAGAATAACTCGATATGATTATATCCATGACCATCCACAACCGTATGCTACATGCACCATGTTTTAATTGATTTAATTGTCTTTAGAAAACAGCATTCATTTTAGTTAAAGATATAAAATATTTTGGTCTTCTAACCAAATTGTGACTGTATGAAATATTTAAAAATAAAATGTAAATCAAATAAGTCATACCTGTTTCTGTCCATGTCTATTTATATCAACTTGACGGATGATGTATGTCCTTAACTAGCGTAGCAATATTATAACACTTCCAGAATGCCCGGAACTATTTATACTCTGGCGTAATGTCACAAAATACATTAACTGTTTGTAAATGGGTTAAGACTGATCATCTATCTTTTATTTAAATATACTATTTGTCAACCCAATTTGACTTAATCTTGTCATGAAGAATGAAAAGACCTAATACGGTACAGATTGTCCGCGAAAATAAATATTTTTATGAAGACATATATATCATTCCGCTAACTTCCAGTATAGAATTGTAGTCCAACCTGTAAGTTCAAGTCTATAGCAGTGATATATATCATTCCACTAACTTCCAATAAAGTATTGTAGTCCAACCTGTAAGTTCAAGTCTATAGCAGTGATATATATCATTCCGCTAACTTCCAATAAAGTATTGTAGTCCAACCTGTAAGTTCAAGTCTATAGCAGTGATATATATCATTCCACTAACTTCCAATAAAGTATTGTAGTCCAACCTGTAAGTTCAAGTCTATAGCAGTGATATATATCATTCCGCTAACTTCCAATAAAGTATTGTAGTCCAACCTGTAAGTTCAAGTCTATAGCCGTGACGTAATTTGTACAGTCTAGCAAATGAAATAATTGACGATGTATACCCTTTCTCGCAGAACTAGAAGGCTGGATTATCGAAACTTCTATTACCTGTTTACTTACAATAGGTCTTGTACGTTTTGTTTGTTTGTTCTTTTCTTGCTGGTGGGTATGACACAAACGCCTATCCAACTGATAAACTGATAATTGACCATTCTAAATCAAGAAGGTTCCAGTGGTACCTTGAATATTAAATATGGCCAATGCTCATGTCTGGAGCACGCGCTCACCAGAAGCTAACTTGATTGTTGATGAGCATATCTCAAGATCTTTAACTAATTAAATCTTAGATTCGAGCGATTACATTTTTACATGTCTACAGAATTTTGTGAAATGAAATGGGGTCTAACGTCCTGCTGTTTTGCTCCGAGTGGGCTAAGGAAGACGGTCATACGCCATGCAGTCTGCTGTGAGGGACAAGAAGATTACCAAGTGTGTTACCACAAGAAGATTACCAAGTGCGTCGCCACAAGAACATTGCCAAGTGCGTCACCACAAGTAGATTACCAAGTGCGTCGCCACAAGTATATCACGAACTGCGTCGCCTCGGGGAGATTACCAAGTGCTTGATACCTGTGACTGGTTCAATAATGCTGTAAATAGTTGGCATGGAATTCTATGTTCCAATAAGGTTATGGCTAATTTTGATTTTGTTTTCATTAATCTTAAACTCCCAACGAGGGATCTCCAGGTTAGCGACCCAACGTCTTACACAAGGCCCCCAACCCAATGCTACGAAAGCCCAGAAGGCTCATTCCAAATTCCGGATTCCAAATTCCAAATTTGCTGCTGTAGCAAAAAAAAAAAAAAAAAAAAAAATGACAGTCCTAGGATACCGAGTAGCAGAGTAGCTCACTGCAGAGGGACTTTGCCCCTAACTTTTCAGGGGATCACGTGGCTAAGTGGGTAAGACGCTAGTCTGGAGGTCGGGTGTTCGATCCCTGCATTGGCCGAGAAAGTTCATCGAGATTTTCCGGTGTGGTTCCCCCTTGTCAGTGATGCAGGACGGAGGGCCTGTCAAGGACAGCTGTCTAGTCCTTCGGATGAGACGAAAAACCGAGGTCCCGTGTATACATTGGAATGCATGTAAAATTTCCCTCATAGCACACTGTATGGCGTATGCCCGTCTTCGTTAGCCCAGTATAGGAGCAGAACAGTAGGACGTTAAACCCCATTTCATTTCCAAATTTTTCACATCTGCCGAAGCAAACCCGAACTGGAATATTGTTATTATACTCTAACTGATTAGTCAAAAGCAAAAACCTGATCCGATTGGTCGGATCAGATTTGGAATTTGGAATTTGGAATTAAGTATTTCGAATTTGGAATTTGGAATCTGGAATTTGGAATCTAGAATTTGGAATCTGGAATTTGGAATTTGGAATCTAGTAATTAGGAACGGGTATTTATCCGACCCAGATAGGTAAACTAAACGTAATTAGTTGTGTAAAATTACAATTTATATAAATTCTAATTTGTTTAATTGAAGGGGGGGGGGGCAATTTGCTATTTTATCGGTAAGACATGAATTTGGAATTTCGCATTTGGAATTTGAAATTTAGAATGAGCTATCTGGGCTTTCGAACAATGCACTTAAACGATTCAATTAGTAAAATACAATTACACCGTTAAAATGATTATGTATTTTTCCCCTTTTTTAACTGGCAGAAATATTGCCATCGTTATAACTGTATTTTAACATTGTATGTTATTTCACAGTCTGTAATGTAACTTTACCTCTAGCTATTATACATCCAAGGTAAAATTACATATCTGTAAATGGAGTACAGTAGAATCTGTATTAAGCAGCCACCCAAGGGAATTTTCACAACTGACCGCTTAACGGGAGTGGCCTCTTAATAAAATCTCGTTGCTTTTTGTGCCGACATAAATTAAATATTACTCTTGGATGCATTGGAAGCGGTAAATTTGGCCGTCGCTGAATCTTGCGCCGAACGAAAATTCTTTACTCAAATCTCGGACATAACTTAACGGGAGTGGCCTCTTAATAAAATCTCGTTGCTTTTTGTGCCGACATAAATTAAATATTACGCTTGGATGCATTGGAAGCGGTAAATTTGGCCGTCGCTGAATCTTGCGCCGGACGAAAATTCTTTACTCAAATCTGGGACATAACTTCTGTAAACTTGTCATTTTGTACCAACCTTCGATACTACTGTCTACCATTGTGATGCATTCGATAATATTTATCCATTTTTGTGAAGAAAATCGATGAATTCATTTTATTTTATCAAAAAAGCACATGAACAAAAAACATCGCTAATTTTATCTCCTATTTACAGGGGGTGTAACTCTGTATGTAATATTATAGGAGGCGCTAAGAGAGATACTAGATGATCGTGACAAAACTCGGTACTTTTATTTTATTCAATCAGTATCAAATAATGTGTCGTTACGCGTGAAAACAATGATCAGGTTAGTCGTTTAATAAAACAAAAGATTAATTAACAGATAATCCCGGGTTGATTGTTATGTTTACATTTCTTTTTACCTGATCAGTGGGGGTCCAGTTACCATGATGTTATTTTACATAAATTTGTACAATAACATTTAAAACAAAAACAAAATATTGTTTATGTATTAATACCTCATAACCATTGTAGAATTATATATTTTGAATTTGCCAAGGAATGTGTTTGTCCCCGCTAATTAGTCCTAGCTAATTAGTCCTAGGTTCAATCCTGGCGTACACAGAAAGTTGTGCGGAACTTTCAGCCGAGCACGTAACACAACATTCGATAATGTAAAGAAATTAAATGAAATGGGGTTTAATGTGCTACTGTTCTGCTCATTACAATGGAAAGAGTATGTGGCATGCCACCGTCCAAGCAAAATGCCCCACACAACTCAATGTATGGCATATACCTGTCTTTATTAACCAGTTAGGGGTATTCAGTTTTTGCATAACCTATCTATTTCTCTAAAATGGAATAAACTGACTGACAGAACAGTAAATATTTTGCACAAAATTCGATATGTGGTCAAAGGGGGAATAAGCGATGTGACCACTATTTGACAGTAAATTTTCTGTAAAAAAAATATTTCAAACGGCATTTCTGTTAACATACAGCTCATATAATGTAAGCTGACATACGGTTGTATTACTACTTGAAATTTGATGAACTTTTACATAAGCCTTGTATTCATATGCATCTACATCGTTTCAAATGTAAGTTAACAAACCATGTGATTTGATAAATCCTGCACTATATTTTTACTTTACTTATAACTGTAAATATACATAATTTTAACAGTGTATGAAACGTGTTTTCACCACATAATGGATAACTCCGTCATAATTACTGATTTTAATATAAATCCATGTTCTGCGTGACAGCTTTACTGTGACAGTAATATATATTTATACAACGGTATTTCATATTTCAGCATCTAGATACGCTGTAGTTTTCACAAATTAAATAAATCACACTATCAAACTCATGGGGTTTAACGTCCTACTCTGCTCCGACTGGTTTAATGAAGACGGGCATACGCCATACAGTGTGCTATAAGGGCAATTTTGCCCAGACAGCAGCACCAAGGCTTACTCTTATATCGAATTCCAACTGCCGGGGGGTCTTTTAAGTGTGCGCCAATGTGTACACGTGACCTGGGGTTTTCTTCCCATGCGAACGAAAAGACAGCTGTCCTTGTCGGGCTCTCCGTCCTGCACTACTGACACGGGGAAACCACGTCGGAAAAATCTCGATGAACTTTCTCGGCCGAAAACGAACCGGCGCGACCAGGCCCTTAAAGATAGAGGTGAAGAGAGAAATTGGGTTTAACGTCCACTCGACACAAACTAGGTCGTTTGGGGACTAACATATGGTATAAAATAATTAAGAGGTTGATTACGTCGAAATATAGGGCGGACAGTTGCATGTTTATAAGTGTGCGCCATCTTCATTAACCCAGTTCGGAGCAGAACAGTAGTACGTTAAACCCCATTTCATTTCATTTATTAGTGTGCTACTCAAGATTTCTATGGTGAGGCCCATATGCAAGATATTTCCACATGTTGCTCCATCTGTATTAGAAAGGGTTCAACCCAACCCAAATTTTGGGAAAAGTTAAATCCGGTTAAAGACACGAGGATTAACATTAGATCCATGCGGATATTAATAGTGTGCTGTGGCAATAAAAAGGAATGAAATGAAATGGGGTTTAACGTCCTACTGTTCTGCTCCTATGCTGTGCTAATGAAGACGGGCATACGCCATACAGTGTGCTATGAGGTAAATTTTGCCCGGGCAGCGGCACTATCGCCTACTCTTATATCGAATTCCAACTGCCAAGGGATCTTTTACGTGCATTCCAATGTATACACGGGACCTCGGTTTTTCGTCTCATCCAAAGGACTAAACAGCTGTCCTTGTCAGGCCCTCCGTCCTGCATCACTGACAAGAGGGAACCACGCCGGAAAATCTGGATGAACTTTCTCGGCCAATGCAGGGATCGAACAACCGACCTCCAGGCTAGCGAGCCAGCGTCTTACCCACTCAGCCACGTGATCCCCTGTGGCAATAAAAAAAAAATGAAAAAAATAGTTCTCGGAAGTCCTATAGGCATGTTAAACTCCCAACAGTTTCCCATTTTAAAGTCAAGTCCCTTGAATATTAAACTTTTAATCAATAATTATAATAAGTGATTATTGTAAAATAGGTTTCCAGGATGCTTGTAAACCAGTTAACCCCAAACATGATACTTTATAGATAAAGATTGTAGAAAATTAAAGTAAAACCAGATATTATAAGCTTTTCAGGTGCAATATATATTGGGTGCTTTGGAAGTCTTTACAGAATCAATTTATTCTGAAAAAATAAAAATACTAAATTCGAAAATGAAATAATTGCTCATGTTGTACTCAAAATAACACTTAAAAGTAAAGTGATACAATTTATTCAAAAATTGTTCCATCCTTTAATTATTTAACTGGTTGATAGGAAAAAGACCTTGGACCAAGGAAATATAACTTTATATTGGTGGGGGATCACGTGGCTAAGTGGGTAAGACGCTGGCTCGCTAGCCTGGAGGTCAGGTGTTCGATCCCTGCATTGGCCGAGAAAGTTCATCCAGATTTTCCGGCGTGGTTCTCCCTTGTCAGTGATGCAGGGCCAGACAAGGGCAGCTGTCTAGTCGTTCGGATGGGAAGAAAAACCGAGGTACTGTGTACACATTGGCGTGCACGTAAAAGATCCCTTGGCAGTTGGAATTCGATATAAGAGTAGGCCGTAGCGCCGCTGCCCGGGCAAAATTTCCCTCATACAGTATGATAAGAAGGGACATTTTGCCCGGACATCGCCACTACGGCCCAGTCTTTTTTTTTTTAATTCCACTGCCACATGTACACTAGACCTCATTTTACTTTGTCCTATCCGAACGTCTATACGTTGTCAGGTTATTCGTCCTGCGCCACTGACAAGGGGGAGCCCCGACCAAAAATACCGCTGAAGTTTCTCGGCCATCACCGGACTCGAACATACGGGGCCTCCAGCTTAGTGAGCCGTCTTACTCACGGAAGGGGGTGTGGTGGTTGGACAGTGTAAGCCATGAGTTATATATAAATGAAGAATAACAACCAGGAACCTAGCTGTTTTGAAAAAAGTTCTTTAATGTTCGGATTCCAGATTACTGTTAAATTAATTCGTTTGTAATTTGTTTAATATAGGCTTTCTGTTGATTATAATGTGTCGTTGTTTTGGTAAGCATGACCCCTGTTGACGTAGCGATACCATTTTGTTGTCTAGGTAACTATGTAGATATTTATGTATTAAAACCATCCCCCATCATACTCCAGAACATCATATTATAAAAAGGATTTCCATAATTCATTCCTCCGAATGGGCGTGGTTGCATCTGCATACCTTTAAAAATTAATTAAAACATATAAATCATATTATATATTATATGGAAAAAAAGAATGGACTTAAACCTCCACTCAACACATGTTCGTCATTTCAGAATTAAAATTCACTAACATAGGACTATTTTGTGACAGAGCCTGATTAAAGGGGGGGGGGCACAGTGGCACAAATATTTAAAGGACAATATTGGTGTTATTCATTATCACACATGTGATAGAACTTGTTAAGCACGTTCCAAATATAATTTTAATACAAAAATCATTGCTACGATAGATGCGTTATGAAGCTTTTAAGACGAACGCAAAGGGAAAACACGAGTTATCATTCTATATAACTGACTGAAGTGACGAGTGACACAGTTACATGAGCGAATTTCTGCTCACTAATAATTCCCCCGAAGACCAAAATTTGTTATGTGAGGCTGTGAGAGGATATCTGATAATTCAAAAAAGTAATTGAACATCAACAGATAAGGAAAAACGAGAAAAATACAAATAACCCGTGCATACCCTTGTTTTTATTCATTCTATACTTAATAAAAACATGGTAATACACTGACTTTTCTATTTGTTTTTTCATTTTCTCTTATCTAGTCACAGTCAATTATTTTCTTTGAATTGTCAGATATCCTCCCACAGTCTCATAAAACAACTTTTGATCTTCGACGGAATTATTAGTGAGCAGAAATTCGCCCGTGAATCTGTCATCACTCGTCACTTCAGTTAGTTATATAGCAGGATAGTGTGTTCCTTTTGCGTTTGTCACATTATTTAAAATTTAGATAAAAAGTTCTCGTTATACTAGTTTAAAAATAGATAATGAAAAAGGGATATTTTTTGAAATTTTGTCAAATTACTTTATTCTGAGAAAAGTTATAAATGTTTGCACTTTTGATAAGAATAGCGTAGTCTCGATTTTCATTGCTACCTTTGTTACAATAATTCATTTTTAAATTAAATGATTAAATAAGTGATCTTATTTCTGTCCGGTGGTCTAGAGTGTTGATTATGGGTTTGTTATGTGAATAAATGTCTAATTAATAATTTATACATTTGAGGTCAAATGAGCGCTTACATAATGCAGCTTTAATTGTGGTTTGTTTCGAAAATGATCGACTTTATATGAACTAGTTGGTTTATGTTTTGAATTTACCTCTGCGGTGAAAGAACTGTGATAAAACAACAGACATCAGGGTCATCAATAATAACACGGTTATAATCTGTTTCAACATCTTGACACTTTCTGATCTAAAAAAAATCATCAATACAATATTATAATATTCCTGAAGCAATGATCCGAGGAATCTCTCTCTCTCTCTCTGGTCATTGCTGGATTGACTTTTGATACTTGAGCTTTTGAGGGAGTGTGTCTATTCTTCCTGTTCAATCAAATCTATCCCAAGTACAGCAAAATGACAGCCCTTCGTTTAATCTGCGGTCTTCCCCAAAACTTTGGACAGTGATATAAGGTATTAAAAGTGGTGAAAGTATTGTTCGTCTCCAACCAGTATTGTTTACATTGTATCCGTTTTGATTGCCTCGTTTGTCACGCAATTAGTTTTTCTGCTATGCACTGGTTAATTGGACGTAATAAAATCGTGAGTCATGTTGTAACGTTATGTAAACAATTTTGGTCCAATTTGGAGCTCTGTTTTAAAGCATAATGATAATGCTACACAGTTAGCTATTGGTTGTTAATCAGACTATTGACCAGTCATAGGGATTAGGTCTAATCAAGCGAAACACTAGTTTCCGCTAGTGTTAGCCATTGTTCGTAGGTCGATAAGATTTGTCTCCCTCCTCTTCCTACCGGAACACCGCGTACTTGAAGAGGCAGAAGAAAAAAATGGCGGAATACAGCAACTGTAAATTGCGTTATCGTATATGACGTCAATTGTAGATAGACTGATCCTATCAGCCACATTTGTTTCTGGTATTCACTCGATTCACATGTCTGGAAGAATCTTCCGGCAGCCTTTCTACTTCTTCCGGAAGTGGCAAATCGAGTTCATAGAGACCGTGTCCCGTCTTCTTTAGCCAAGTCGGTGCAGAAAGAAGTACGTTAAACCCCATTTCATTTCAGCTCATTTCATAGGTGGTGCCACATTAATTTGGCATTTTCTAAGTTAAATGTTTGAAGATTGGAACGCGGTGTATTACTCAATAAAGACGGACAAGCTGAGTATACGATCGGATTGTCCCTGATCTAGCTGATATACCAAAACAACTACTTATCAAATTTGCTATGGTGGGACTTAGTTATTCAAATTAATCGCTCGAATCTCATAGTTAACAGGGGATGACACAAACTCTTTGGGTTCCAAATTTGGTGCTTTGTCTATATTTTGTCATTAAAACACCTTTCCTGGTTTATGACAATACCCGAGATTAACAAACAATTTTAACATGAATGGTTTAACAATAATTATCTTAGCTGACATACAACCATTAGTATAATTATTGGCGTCTTTCTATTAAAAAATACCATAAATAGACAACGGAGCTATAGACAAATAAAGTGGATCGATCAAAACGTCTGCTAAAAGCATTAAAAAAAAGAATATCTTTACCATTGGCAGAATTTATAGTATGGCTGAAGTATCAGAACAAAAACGATATGAAGTATGTCGACACAGACGGAAATGACTGAATATCAGGATTTAAGAATAAAATCAAGGGAGATAATTAAATCCGTCCTATGTAAGGTAAGAGATAAGCCACCTGTTTACTAATTCCCATCGAGTTTTTAATACACCCCACCACCCACTCACTTGGTAAAGGAAGAACGTTAAAGGAGCTAAATCGCTAATATTTTGGATCTAGAAATTGACAAAAGTGGGTCGCAACGCATATAATACTGTAATGTGAATGTATATAAACTGATTTACATTCAATCGTTTCTGTTTTTACTGCAATTTCTAATAAGTTATGTTCGGCGAAATACGCCATAAGTCTCAATCGAATGTCGATCTCTAGCGTCTGGTTATTCCACTCTATACGGATAGTATTTATTGCGCATGCTCTCCAGATAAGAATATGGCGTCACCGTTTGACATGACTTGTGGAATATATCTAGCCTCTTTCTACGAGTCCCTTGTTAAAAATGGCGCTGAAATGCACCATGGTACACGATTCGTGTACCAACGGTAACATGTTTATTTTGTCTTAATTATTGGATATCAGAAGCCCATCTTTTCCCCGTAAGGTCACAGCATCAATGTTGATTTAAATTGACAAATAATTCGTGTTTTCAATGTCGAAGATTTTGGATGATATTGAGTTAGAGACTTAGCTATTTTAATATGGAAGAAAGTCGAAAAACTTCCGACACGCGTCTACAATAATTGCGGGCGCATTAAAATTCTCTGAACTAAAAGAAGTATATAAAGTATGACCCCATCCCGTTAAAGAGTGTCACTCTCTGCTAAACATCATAACATTGTTGGCATAATCTATATTTCATGATTAAACGTGTTTACCATTTGATCTAAAACACGAAGGATAAACTAATAATTCCAATGAAGTCATTTTACTAAACTGGACAAAACGATAATGAAATGTGCAAATTGGTTTCTAAAGCAAGCATACGATTCGAATCTATTTGATGCTCAAACGGTTACTGTATTTAGCAACAGGGTACCCGTTATTATTTGCGGATAATAGATAACATCTAAAATTACTTTTAATTCACGAATCCTTTAATGCCTTTGCGGAACTGCCTTAAGAAATTGCGTCTTAATCAACTTTTTATCCGCCTTCTGACGAAATAAAACCGCCAATAAGCAATAATGAAACATGTCGATTCTCGTGATGTCCGTGAATCAAATCATATCATAATTTTGATGTTAACAAAATAGTGAAAAACATGCCTACCTGAATATTGTAAATCCAAAATTAAAATGTTTCAGATTTAAGGATGTTTTTTGTTTTTATAATCCGGGTTTGACCTGGACTGCTCGGGGTTAATTTGGTATGACGAAATTACAAGTAAACTGGTTCTTTTAAAAAGGCAGTACCACAATATTTTATATTGAATCTAATGCTCCTGATATTTGACTTGACAGGAAGCAAAATACTATGGGCAAAGGTGAGGAGGCGAGAATAGGAGAAAGGGGGGGGGGGCAAGGGTTCCAAGTAATTATAGAGCATGTGTAAAAATGGTAAGAAACAAAAAATTCAAACAAATTATATTATTATGATCATTCAAACATTATCATTGATAATACGATAATTTTGGGATGGATTTTGAGTTGGTCATGTTCGAATTCTCACATTCTTAAATTCTGACGCAGAATATGACTAAGCCACACATACACATCCATTATATTTCAAGTTCGTTTCCTTTTTTGCCGTTTATTTTGGTGTGTTTTGTGTTGCTACGCCACACTGTGATCTAACATACTCCCAAAAGCTTAGCCACTACTAATATGGGTTTACGTAGACACCAGTATGACACTATCGAAAGACCACAGCCCGAAACGGGGCACAATTGGAGCAAGCAAAAGAGCTCCGGGGAAATTGACAGCAAGGCCAAAGTCGTTAGTTGAATATTCTGTCCCAACCTAATCGAATAAAGCAGAATGTCGCATGGCTGCGAATAATGTGCTGCCTGACTAAAAGTACCCTAAACCCACCAGTCACTCCTAAACGCTTGATATTTTTGTTTTGTTTTTTTTTTAGATTTTTTAATTCACTGTATAAGTAAGCGCTGCATAACAATACAGATGACCTGATTGGTCAGTCCGTTCACGAGATCTGAACACAGGCTTTAAAGAAAATATTCTTTCAAATGCCAGAGCATTAAAGATAAAACGAAACGTAAGTCATATCAGATTTTAACCATTAGGCACAGTTCCTTTATTATAATCAATCGTTACATAAAAAATAACATAAAGAGATTAAAACTGGTTTAAAATCAACTTGGAATGTTCTGTAATGATAGGTAATACATCTTCAACACCTGTACTGGTATCATGACCTACTAATTAATACACCTGCCCGGGTAACATATATATCAGGTGATGTCATTAGCATCGGAATTATTTACCGGGTCAAAGGTTATTTGTGTTAGAATGTGTAGTACATTGAATTTAATCCTCTCAGATTTTTTATTGTCACCTTCGTTAATCCGCTCTTCTTTTTGATGTACTTCAACAACATTTTATTAGGTGACAGAAGTCTTCAAATTAGAAGGGTTATCCGGTGTTCTAGAAAACAGACGCATACCCTGCCATGGGCATGACTTAAACAGTTCCAACACTATAAAATCCACCACACAAAACGGACGTTAAAATAAAGCTGTTTCACACACAATTTATATTAGCTTAAAACCAAAACTATAAACTCAATAATTCACAACTTCAACTTTCAAAGTCACTGACCAGGACATTCATTACCAAGGTTAATAGGCTGGGTTCCAAAACATAAAATTGTTACAGTACGAAAAATATAACAAAATTATTGTTACCTTATTTGTCAATGGAAATTAAAAGCAAAGTGTGTCATGGGTATCTCACAAACAGCGATTCTTGAGTTACAGAACTGGGGAATAAGCGCACGACAGGTCATGAACAAGTCATCAAAAACACTTTTGATTAAATAATCGTGTCCTAATTTTCGTTTTATGATGTCTACTACGGACAACCTCATAAGAAATTCTACATTGGGCATTCCGGAACTCTATGAACGACATAAAAATACGAACACATGTCGTTAGAAATATTTACTTTGGGATTTTTCCCAAAACGACAGATTCATATTGACACCTTTTAATTAAACAGTCACGTTGGAAAATAATACTAGTACAAATCGCTTTCATATCATATGAATATAGGTAGCCTCTAAACGGTCCGAGTTTTAAAGTTTAATGACCACTTAAAAATAGAAATAATTTATTATGCCCCCAGCAGTATGAGTTAAGACAGGATAGGCGTAGAACTAGTTTTCTTGTTAAAATGACAAACGATTGGGTGGCTGGATGCGCATTTACATTAACGTTTTGACTGTCATGGTTTCGACCCCACTCCCTCAGCATGTAGGGTCGCGCCACTTAGTTGTGGGTTTTCTCAAGTTCTCCTATTTGCTTCCACGGGCGAATTATTGAAATGGAGGTATGCCATTTGCTAGTACTGAAATGGTTAGCTAGGGACTTAAGCACCATTTGTCTCTCTGTTCGAAGGGTCAAAGGCATACTTCCGAAAATAAGCATATTGGTTAAGATTTTTTTATTACAATCGACCAATCATAAGGTTTTATGGCCCTTTCATGTTTTAAGAATCTTCCTTCTAAATTCCTCCTGCCTAAAATGCTCATCAACGGACTCTTTAATGTATCGGAATCAGTACCCACATGATAGTATATATAGACCAGGGGCCTGTTTCACGAAATTTTAACTAAGATGAAATCCAAATTTTAGTAATTTGATTGGATAATATTAGATTGATTTTAGTGCTTAGCCAATCAAAATTGAAGTATCTACTAAAAAACTGGATTTTATCTTTAGTTAAAATTTTGTGAAACAGGATCCAGTACGATAATACCCACATGATAGTATATACAGACCAGTACGATAATACCCACAGAATAGTATATATAGACCAGTACGATAATACCCACAGAATAGTATATATAGACCAGTACGATAATACCCACATGATAGTATATACAGACCAGTACGATAATACCCACAGAATAGTATATATAGACCAGTACGATAATACCCACAGAATAGTATATATAGACCAGTACGATAATACCCACATGATAGTATATACAGACCAGTACGATAATACCCACAGAATAGTATATATAGACCAGTGTTGTACCCATGTACACGTGTCATTTCTTTACAATTATACTGACTAAAATTCCACCCTAATATACCGCTGCCTAAAACTCGTCCTCTTAAATTTGAAAATCCTCCCCTCGAAATTAAATGCCTCCCGTTTGAGAACATTGGTCATATACTTCAAACGCATGCACTCAAATCTACGGGGCGAGCGATATAACACATTTTTATTTTAGCTCCACTGGATCCAGAAAGTTGAACGACGAGTACAAGGGGTACATTTCCTTTAAGTCGAGAGGAGCGGGATGGAAAATTGTCTCTTCTAGTAACTTTAATATGGGCTAATGAGTCCGCTATGGCCTACTGTTATTATATTCCCAACTTCTGACATTCTTTTATCGTCCCATCCGAAAGACTAGGTGTTCTCTTACGAAATGTTCTTGTCCAACACCTGGATTGAACACGAGTCACTGTGAGCTATCTTGTTTATTCTATGGTGCGGTATGTGTAAACGCATTATAAACCATAGAAAACTCGCTAACTCTTGATGTCACGTTCTTTAGTCTTGTCCATTATTTGTATACAGCCACCGCCTTCTTGTTATTTCTATATTTAACATGATAAAATGTGTAGATAAAATTTTACACCATGTAGTTGTCATGTCTTATATTATTATACAACATAAGGGCTGACATGTTGTCACTAACATGATGGCATGACCCCTTCACCTTGTTACGTTTGAATTAAGCAAAACGCAATAGTCTTCATTCCTTACTATTGGTAGGACAAAAATGGTTTCATGAAAAGGGGAGTGGGGAGTGGGGAAGGGGTGTCAAAGGGAGAGCTGAGGAGGGACTGGGTCGATTTTAAGAAAAATGTCAAATTTCCTGAGTTTAATTGTACATAAAGTTGGATCGTCGTGAAATCGTTTTCTAGGTAACATTCGAAGGAATCTGCATCTCGGGCGATACAGTATTTGGTGGTGGTGAGGGTGGTGGGGGTGCAGGACAACCCAACTGAGCAAAAGTAAATAAACATTAACGTGCCGTCAGTCGGGTCATGGTAATTTCAATAACGGGTATACCTAGCGTATGATTATGGTAATACTGTAATAATTTCATATATACTGTATCTAACAGGTGATAGGGTAGGGGCTGTATCTAACAGTTGATACTGTGATAATTTCATAAATACTGTATCTAACAGGTGATAGGGTACGGTTTGGGTAATACTGTAATAATTGTATAAATACTGTTCCTTCCTGGTGATAAGTTAGGGTTAGGGTAATCCGATGTATCTACGAGCTAATGCGTTAATTTATACAAATAGAATTTACGAGTAAATCTGTATTCGCAAACACCGTGGTTACAAACTAATGTTTATTCTGATTAAGAATAAAGTCCCTCATAAAAAGTTCCGTTTTAAGATTCTTCTTCGAAAGATTACAAGCACATTATCTCTTGCCGTTCCTGGGGGTTGGATGGCCGAATGGTTAGCACGTGCGCGCTGTATCATGAGGCCTGTCATTGAGTTAACTGGCGTGGTTTCGAATCTCCATTTGTACGTGACAAGGAGTAGGGTCGCCTGTCCAACCTCGTGGGTTTTCTCCTGGTACTCCGGTTTCCTCCCACTACTAAAGACCCCTACGCGCAAGCGAATTATTGAAATAAAATAAAACCATGTTAGTCTCTCTCTCTCTCTCTCTCTCTCTTGCCGTTCCAAAAATAAGTGGTAACCTGAAACAGGGGTTCGTCCTGGTGACCTAATGAGCAATCCCTGTAAATTTGAAAAACACATCGACCTGTCAAGTGGGGTTAACGTCCTACTTTTTTGTACCCACGGAATTTTGCCCGGACAGCGGCACTACGGTCTACTCTTTGTTTCAAAAGGTGCGCATTTGACCCCTGACACGACCTTCTACTACAACCGGTACGATCTTCGTGTAGTTGAGACCATCGAGAGTATAAAAACGAAACAAAATATAGATCTGCACCGGTATACTACCGATGATGTAATATTGAAAGGCTAGAAAAGCAATCTAAAGTTGTCGGTTGACGCTTCGCCGACTTTACTTAACTTCACTGTTATGTTTAATGCATTTGTTTGTTCAAACAAACCAGGTTAATTAAATAGTAATCAAAGAAGTTCCAAAGAAAAGAAGTCGACAAAAATTAGTTGATCTTACAGTTACAATTTCATATTTTCTAAAAAAGTCAAAACATAATTATTTATATATCTTTTGCTCAATAGGTTGTCAACTCACTATTATACGATCATAGGTTATCTTTATCACACTTAAAAATCTTCACACCGGAAATAATAACACAATTACCTCTCAATTACCTGTTTTCCTATTCCATACCATGGAATAGCTATCTTCAAACTTTTGAATTTGAAGTTGAAAATTATATTTTTGCCAATTTCTCAACTGGCAATAGTGAATTATAGGATTAATAGGATTATTCTTTAACAAGGTAGGACTGTTTATACATAGCATCGATTTAAAGGTTTTGTTTTAATACATTTTAAAAATATAACTTAAAAATATGAAATTGTAGCTTTAATGGATATCTATAAATGGTAATGGATATCATTAGGTATAAATCATCATAATGGAGTACCGCATGGGTCTAAGCTAGGGTCTTTGATTAACTTGGGTATAGCTAAGTACCAAAATCCTGTAATAAAGACGATGACGACGACCATGATCAAATATCTAAAATATGTATTCAAATATCATTTTATTGCCGAATTTATTTTATTATTATTTTACTAAATAATATATTAAAAAGCTCTTGAAGTTCAATGATATCCCAGTTTAAAGAATCGGTTGCCCTTAACATGTTGAAGCCATTTTGGTACCAAACTTCCTAGGGGTGTCTCGTGGTATCTTGGAAATTCGTTCTTTACTACTTTTAATCCCCAGAACAAGGGAACATTCCAACGATTTTTAATAGCGTTGTCACGTCCTTGATCTGAAATATAATAAAATGATTTTGTGTTGCATTAAAAGAATATATACCTGTCTTGATATTGATTTGATCTGATAATATTAGATTTCAAGTGAATTCTAAAATAAAATAGGTTTAATATTAAAGTAACGATGCGCCATTGGCTTTTGTTGCTAAAATATCAAATCGGCTTAACCCACTCTAACATGTACTCAGATTGATTATTTAACATTTAATTTACAAACTGTCAAGAGCAAACTGTTGAAGAACGATGAAAATCGACAGGGATCACCATCTCAAGGTTTGCAATCATCACGCCCAAAAGTTCTCGCCTCTATCGCGTTTACGAGGGATTGCGATGTCAGCATGATACGAGCAGTAAATCCCAAAATGGAAAATCGGAAAATGCTGAAAATCGATAGGGATCATCTTCTGATAAAGTAGGCATCCAACACCCTAACAGTTTCTGCTATTATAGAGTTTGCATTCGCAAAGTAATGCAACAAATTTTGATAATCTAATACTAGAATATTCACAGGTTAATCTAAATTTCTATATTTTGGTTTAAACTAAAAGCAAACACTTACCACCTGCGCCTGCACTGCTTACGCCCATGATGGACAACAGTAAGACAAGAGTTATCGCCCTTAGATGATACATCGTGATTATTTCTTGTTCTGCAATGTAATAAGACAACAGTTACGATCTTCAATTAGCTTTTAACAATTCTATTAGAGGTTGGCATCTCAAAGGTAAACCACTTTGGTTTATGAGATCCTTGCGATAAAGAGGAAATGGTTTATTAAAGCATCTTGGGTTTAACGGCCCACTGATCTGCACCGACTGGGCTAATGGCGGACATACGCCATACAGTTGTCTATGAGGGAAAGTTTTCCCGGGCAGCGGCGCTGCAGCCTACTTTTATTTCTAATTCCAACAGTCAAGGGTTCTTTTACGTGCATGCCAATGTGTACACTGGACCTTGGTTTTTCGTCTGATTCGAACGACTAGCTACTGTTTCTTGTCGGGCCCATCGCCCTGCACCACTGACCCCAAGGAACTTTCTCGGTCAATACCGGGAGCGAATCCGGGACCTCTTGTTTAACAAGCCAGTGTCTAATTCACCGAGAGAGCTGGGCTTCCCTTTGCGATATAAAAACATTATTTCACAATTCACAAAAATCAAATAAAAATTGTAACCTGGGTCCACAAGCTAAAAACGAGATTTTCGTACAACTAGGGCCGACTAGGGGTAATAATCCAATAAGTTAAGGTCCGAAATGTGAAAATATCGACCTCATCTAAGATCTTTGGAAAATGAAATTGAAAGTTTACATCAAAATCCCATGAATAAATTTGACAAGTAGAGTGTCGACAAAACAAATTTGAACGGACATGTAGACGAACAGGGCGACGGCATAATAACGTCCCTATTCGTTTAAACGAAATAATTAATTCATTTAAACGAAACAATTAATTCGTTTAAATGAAATAATTATATAAGAGTGGAATCGTGCACTTAAAGAAGGCTATAGTCTCTAACTCAATCATCCACAGTCTTCGACATCGCAAACACGACTAAGTGGTCAATTTAAATCAATGTCAATGTTGTTATCTTATCGTGAAAAGTTGGGCTTCTGATATCCAATATTTAAGACAAAATGAAAATTTCAATGCTTTCGAACACCATTTGAAATGAAGCGACATAATGAACGAGGCTTAACATATCCCACATGAGAATATCACCAGTGTAGACTGGAATAACCAGACGCCAAAGACTGCCATTTAATTTCGCGTATTTCGCCGAACATAACTGATAGTAAAAACAGAAATAATTGAATGTAAATCAGTTTTTATACATTCATGTTACATTATTATATGAAATGAAATAAAATGGAGTTTAACGTCCTACTGTTCTGCTCCTAACCTGGGCTAATGAAGACGGGCATACGCCATACAGTGTGCTATGAGGGAAATTTTGCCCGGACAGCGGTACTACGGCCTACTCTTATATCGAATTCCAACTGCCAAGGGATCTTTTACGTGCACGCCAATGTGTACACGGGACCTCGGTTTTTCGTCCCATCCGTTCGACTAGACTGCTTTCCTTGTCAGGCCCTCCGTCCTGCATCACTGACAAGGGGAAACCACGCCGGAAAATCTGGATGAACACATTATTATATGCGTTGCGGCCCATTTGTGTCAATTTCTAGGTGCCAGGAATACAGATTTATCTCCTTTAAGGGGCTCCGTACATGATTTCTAGTATGCTGCTTGTAGTTCATGTATCTCAAGATTTTCATCTTGAACTCCACTCATGCTTTTGAACAAGACGTTGTTCTAACTGTGACAGACAGGGTTCAACTTGAAGAATATTTGGCAAAAGAGACAACAAATAACAATAAAGTCAATCGGAAATTTATGGGTTGATCTGTGACCAGTGGTCAAATGTAAGATTTATTTAGGGGATCCAGTCCAGTACCCAATCTGACTAAAATAACAATGCTATTTCGTTTCGTTGGAGAGAGCGCAACTATCTTTAATCAAAGCGCTCATGGATGTGTTTGGTCTGAATCTCTATATCTAATCTTTAATCTGCCTTAGTAGGGCTTTAATGTGTGATATAATTGTTTACGCGTGACGTTAATAATAATTCAAAATAAAATTAAAATCTACTAATATGTCAGATTTTGTTTAAAAGACATCCAAGTCGTAAAATGTTTATACTTCCCGTGTATTAAAGGCCAAAAGTATTCATGTTTCCTGACAACGTAAAATAATTTAAAAGACGTACTACAGATCACGGCGACTATAATCTCCAGGCGTTTGTCGGTCGATAATGATCGTATTTTTTATGATTTATAAAAGATTTCGCACCATATAGAAAATAAGTTAGATTGGCGGCTGGCGCATGATTAAAATAAACCACCTCATATCATTTGTCAGAGATTCTCTTTTATTTTTCATGACTTCATAATATTTGGTAAAAAAAAACAACCCAAAACCCAAAACAGTGTTTTATTCAATAAACTGAATCGGATTGATCAACAGGCCTATAAGAGCCTATTTCTCAAATATATAAAATAGGTATATCTTATATTTGCAAAGAATTTAAATCACCCCATACAGTTAAAATGTCAGTCTGAAAAGATGTTTTTGTTATTTTTCATATGTTTAATAAGGACTTATCGGTCAACGACATGTATAAGTCTTGATTATATAAAACCGCACTATTTGTCACAAAATTAATATTATTATATCGATAAATCTACTGTAACATCAATTAGCAGTTTATTTATTTCTGTAGTTATATGGGTATAATGCAAATAAATACACTGTTAATTGTGGTAATTGTCATTGGTAACCAGTACCAAATGAGTATGGCCTTACAAATAAGATAGAAACATTTCATGTCCTTAAAGGAGTTATATAATACAAAGCGCTATTCTTTGGCACCTAGAAATGGACACACATGGGTCGCAACCCATATCATAATGTAATATGAATGTATATAAACTCATTTATATTTAATCGTTTCTGTTTTTACTGTAAGTTCTAATAAGTTATATTCGGCGAAATGCGCGAAGAGTCTGAACTCTGAACTGAATAGCAGTCTTTGACGTCTGGTTATTCAAGTATTCTTCTGCATGGGATTTGTTTAGCCTCGTTCATCGAGTCCCTTCATACAACTGGCACTCGAAAACATTCTGGCACACGAATTTTAAAATTTTGTCTTAAAAAATGGATAACAGAAACGCGACTTTTCACGGAAGGTAATAACATCAATGTTGATTTATAGTCGAGTTTTCAATGCTGAGTTAAAGACTTACCTACTTTAATACCTCCATCAGAAGCAATTGCAAATCTAACAAATAAAACAAAAAAAACCCCAAAAAAACAAAAAAAAAACGTCAAAGTAGCCTCGCATGTGTCAGGTCCTTATTGAAAAACTCCTCTATACGGCTACCAATATTGATGCGATTCCACCAACGCCCTTGCTGTCTATATACAATATTCGTATAGCCATAAATTCAATACGCCGGGGAATTAAAAGAATTTACCCCGTCTTCATTAGCCCAATCCACAGGTACATGAGGACATGAGCGCCTTTCTTATGGTGCACCTATGTCACATGTGATTTTTTCAAAGATTTTTACATCGTTTTTTTTCTTCATATTTTTATTTTTTTTTAATCTTCTTTACTTTTCTTCCTATTTGTTGCTAAATCATATAATATTTACTATCAGACATGATCGTATTAAAAAAAAATACCTTCTGATGTAGGCCTATATAAGGTATTTTTTTTTTAATCCGATCATGTTTGATAGAAAATATTATATGATTTAGCAACAAATAGGAAGAAAAGTAAAGAAGATTAAATTTTTTTTAAAAACATGAAGAAAAAAAACGATGTAAAAATCTTTGAACAGCCGTTCAATTTGGATTGTTTACGTATTTTACATAATTGATTAGAAATTACATTATGGGAGATTCGATAACGAGTTGGCAGTTCTCACTATAATAGGTAAAAACTAGATAACGTAAAGGCAATTTGCTGAAAATTTCATTCAAATTGATCCACTATGAACCGAAAACTAAGCGAATGAAATTTCTGCCTAGTCTCGGTCATCATTACTAAAGTCAGTACGATAAACAGCATAGTCTCGATTATCCATTAAATCGTTTAATCGAGAAGGAAAGTTATGCAGTAAATCGGCTCACAATCCGCTTACGTTCGCAGGCTAGCGATGCCATCTAGAGTTGATTACGGATTGGGATGAGTTAATTAATGTCTAATTAATTATTTAGATAACATTTCAGGCCTAAAGAAAGACCTGCAATAGACAGATTTAGCTCTTGCATAATGTATTTTAAAATATCTAACATTCTTATTACATTAATATGTGTTTTAAACCTATTTTTGTATATTTAACAATATGTCCTTTTAGACTTAATTTTGTATATTTTAACGTTCCAAAGAATAAAGTCATACGGCCTTTAAAGGCCAGCGCTACAACTTTAATTCTGTTCATTAGTAGAATCGTTTGGGGGTTTTTTTATAAAAGAAATTGAAAAAAAAATCCAAAAACTAATGCCGGTCCATTGTAGCCTTGTAACTGACAGGAAACATGGACGTCAAACCATCATTTGATATTTTAAATTGTCATAAAATTATAAAGAACAATTAATATAAGATATTATTAAATTGTTAATCAGAGAAAATAAAAAAAAAATCCATATAGTGAACAAAAATATGAAAGCTAACCTTAATATGTCCCTTCAATGTGCTATTACTTTGCCTTCTCTGTGTCAAGTGTGCAAATACAACTAACGATGGTCTTCAATCCCTGATCATCAAACGACTGTCGTCATCAGAGATGAAAAATATAAGACAGAATCGAACCGCCACTCCGAGTCTCATATTGTCGCTAATATCATAAAAGCACCAAACTAATATCTGGATATATACGGAAGATGGACAGATGACATTTCAACAAAACACACACAAATATTAAAAGCTTTCTTATTTCATGTTTAGAATTTGCTTCCATTTTAAGCCTGAGCTAATACACGATGCTAATGGGTTGTCTTTACATAATGGAATCGGTAATGAAACGAGTTTTAGCTTTCATGTAAGCTTCGAGTTTATAGACAACCAGGGTACTCAAAGAATATATGTTTCTATAAGAAAGAGATGATGGAATTAAAAATAGTTGTTTATTTGTTTGTTGATGTATAGAAAGGTTAGAAGGATGTCTTCGGTTTTTAAAGTAAACAAGGGCGGATCCACAGATGGATAGGGGGCGCAAGGGCATATTGCGAGTGCCGAAGGAGCGAAGGGCACAACGTGGGTTCAGGGAGGTCTCCCCAGTAAAATTTCGAAAATTGTAGTAGCACGGAAATGCTATTCCTAGTGATTTGGTACAAGAATCGGATTCTAAAGGGGCGGGGGTCTGTGCCGTATGCCCCCCCCTTCACCCCGGCCCCACTTGATCCGCTCTTGCGAACTATTCTAAACCATTAGACCATCTGTCCCCACCCCACCCTTCACAAGCTAAATGTTAAGACTTAGTAGGCCTATGTTATTAGTACAGCACATGATTAGATCATCTGGCCACCCCATTCCAATGTGAACCAAATGATAAGTTTTATTATGTTTTCGGTACAGTAGGCCTACATTACATGATATGATTTGGGTCGTCGTTTAAGAAATATACACAGCTTTTGTCACTTCGAGGATAAAATGTAAACTTTTTAGATACTAGTAAATAAATTGAATGTTGAAATAAAATGTGAATACAAATGATTTCCCCTGTTAGTCCTTTTTAAGCCTGTCTCACACAAGTGTGCATTTCCGTGGCGTAGGGAGTGCGTAGGGTGACTCCTTGGTGACGCAGCGTAACACCTGATGTAGCATGTACCCCAGATTCAGATGGCGTCACCCCTACGTCGTCTTAAGTGAAGAACGCTAGACCGGAAACGATCTAGCACATGGAGTGTGGGTTAGGGTTAGGGCAAGGATTGTATATTTCGTCAATGTCTCGAAATATAAAAAGGGCTAACGCTAACCCTAAGACTAACCCTAAACCATACGACATTAAATCTAGGCCGTCTTCGATCTAGCATTCTCCGTCTCAAGTGCCTCGTGGCTAAAGAACCCTGAGGCAAGTTGGCCTTCTGCAGCAGTGCATGCGTCACATTTCACAGACATATAAATATTGATATAATTCTATGGCGTTTCTATTTGCGACACCATTGCCGCAAATTTGCGAATTTAGCAGTGAGGCGGTTATTGCGACCCCTGTGATTGGTCCTACTCTTACAACTGTCTCGGTCTCACACACTGACCTACGCTAGGCCCTACATGGTGGAAGGGGTTAAATCGTCTGAGAGAGAGAGAGAGAGAGAGAGAGAGAGAGAGACACACACACACTCGGCACAATCAAGGCCATTTCGCGACTACCATATGATTCAAGTTTTCTTCAACGATTCGCTTGCACGACCCTGCTCCTTGTCACGTTTGAGCGGGGAATCGAAACTACGACACTCTATTAGTCAGACCCTGTGGTTTCACACGCACACATCGAATTGAACCACTAGACCAGGTTATGGACTCACCCGAGTTCTGCTTTGGCAGAGGGATGGAATGGTTGACTTAAAGTGGCGATGCGCCGTGTTTATGTTCTATTTATGTTCATGTTTCATATTCTGTTCCTGATGTAATATACCATCTATTTAAGAAACCGATACTCTGTTATTTGTGGTCATCCTACACACAGAGATCCATCTACTTCATACTTCGAGAATAGATCTCTGCGTTAAATAGTCGCCATATCCAATAATTAATATACTGTTTATGTAATGCGGTTCTACTCCGTTTCACATCTGTCAAAGTTAAAAGCTCAGTAACATATCTGAAATATTTTCGCGCCTAGGCGCTCAATCACATTATGTCATCATTCTTCCACTCCTCTGTCTTATACTATCTCATCTTATAGTTAATCCCAGTGAGTGGTTCGTGGGACGACAGACTGTACACATGGTGTGTCAACTCTCACAAAACAGGTGGAATCAACAGATTCTTTCCTATTTCCTATCCTCTCGTTCACGAGAATTTGCTCCCAATTGCCATGACATTGACTAAAATTCCCAGGCCCAATCCCAAACAATTTAAACCTCAGTTGCATATTATGCGTTGCTATCTGAAATTTGTTTCGCGCCGATGGCGCTCGATTCAATTATGCCATTATTCTTCTGCTCCTCTGTGGCCCCAGCACTATCATATTCACGGTGATAGTAAACTGCCCAGTTTAAGGTCCTCTAGTTCGTGGGGCGACAGACTGTACAGATGTTTTGTCAACTCAGGTGGAATTGACAGGCAGATCTCGAGACTATCCCACTGACTCCCATTTCTGGGCCTCTCATTCACAAGAATTTGCTCCCGGCAATGACCTCAAATGCCAGGATATTGACTCAATTTTTCAAATTTTTCTCAGGCGCAGATCCCCCTCTCCCTTCAGGTTGTTCAGTATTATAGCCACTGCCCATAAGGTTCACAAAATTTAATAACAAAATCAATAACAATCATAATGACAAGAACTTTATGTCAACTTGAATAAAACTGCTTTCCGGCGAGATAACGATCGGAGAACAACTATGGGGTGGGATTGCGGATGGCGCCCTAGATTAGCACCCACCCCCCCCCATTCTCTTCTTCCTGACCAGCTACACCCCGCCCCCTCAACCTGTTTCAGACATATTTTACTCTGTAAATGCGCCGCTGCAGGTGAGTTCGCAATAAGAACGTCGGTTTCCTGTGACTATCAGCACCTCTTATATGATGTCGACGTCATGTTAATATTGTTAATTTAATTTAAGACCAAACAACTTTCACTCCTTGTGGTTTATTGGTAAAACTATTTTAAAATTATATCATTAATAGAATATTAAAATAACAGCTTGACTTCGCCTTTGATAAATATGATAACTTTTCTATTTATTAAATCAGATAAGATAAGATAAGATAAGATTTTATTGTATCAAGACATCCATTAAGGACAGCATACAATATGAACATGTATATAAAGATATGATGAGAAGTGATGAGTTAATAACCTTATGTAAGAGCTAAATCTGTCTATCGAAGATCTTTATTTTGCCTTGCTGTGACGACAATGAAACATAATAGGCTACTCAGATATAAAGACAACACTATCTCAATCTATATTGACTGACATTCTTGATGGAGACAGATTGTCATCTAGCCATTTTGAGTTTAACATTGTGTTTATTGTTAGAAGACGTAGATGCTTGGAAACAGTAAATTCGGACTAGAGTAGGTCTCGGACATGGGTTAGTGGACAAACACTTCATATCACAAGAGAAATTAGGGTAAAGATTCCAAGCCCCGGGTCATATCTCTTAATGATGTCGTTTATTTCCGCCTTGAACAAAGAGTCATGGTGTTCGCTGGCATAAATGTCTAATCAGTTAAGAATAGTGTCGTGACATTTATTGGAATTGGAATTCGTCTAAGTATTTTCTAATATATAAAATACTAACGTTTATTTATATGAACTGACCCCACTGAACCCCACCGGTTTTTTGATAGTATATGAATAGTATATGATATGGGCTACTGACCTCTACAAACCTCTTCATGCACGGGTATTTCTCGTGTTTTAATTACAAACTTAATAAATCCAACATGTAATTGACAAAATACATATGATCTGTGTATAATCTTTGAGTGACATTTGACGATCGGTAAACACATAAACAGGACACAGTTTATTTCTTCAAATGAAATTCTCGTTGCTCAGCTAATGCCATACAATAACTTGTATATTATGATGACCCTGTGTTTTGAGAACCAGTTCCGTATAAGCAGGGGCGGATCCAGGAATTTTTGCAGGAGGGGGTTTGCCAGGTTCCTGAGACAATGTATCAATGTATGGTCTCTATCGTCATTTTGGCGTATATACATACACATTGACACATTGAGCTTTTTAACAGAGAAATTCAACACCTCGTTTGGCAACAATTTTTATTATGAATTAATACAATGACATTGTGATTCAATTTCATGGATGCAAAGCATTAATTGTGATATCACATAATGTCTATATCATTATCTCGTGCTTTGAGTGCCCATCCTGCCTGTCCCATATCTGACGATAAAGGATAAAGCACACAGCCGAGAAACCTTTCTCATAAAAAGTGTTGATTTACAAAAAAATTTATGTAGCTGAGCGGGGGGGGGGGGGGTCTCTGGATCCGCCCCTGATAAGATGTTCGTATCCACTTTCCCCATTGCTTGACGCTATATAACCTCGAGTTTGCTGACACATTGACAGACTTGAAGAAACGTTTCATCCGACTTATTTCTATTTCATGTTCATAATAAAGTTCATATCATTATGCTGTCGTTCTGTTATCTGTTGTGTTACAGGTTTTCTCAAAGCCAGCACACCGCATGGTGTATGTCCGACCTCATTAGCCCAGTTGCTGAAGAAAAGTAAAACGTTCAGTCCCATTTCATTGCATTAGAAAGGATACAATTATTGCAGTTAGGGATTTCTTGGGCCATTGCTTCAGGAATATGCACATGTGATGTGCACATAGCGACTGGTTATTTTGATAAATATGACATCCGTTTACAAAAGCTAAAATGGGATCATTATTTCTTATACTCCCTGTAGAGGGCATGTCATTATGCCTTAATCACGCGTCTTCAATTAGCTTACGTGGATAGCAAAAGATTTTAAAATCATAATAATTATTCGTGGGTGTTTCGGGCATGCATGTTTTAATATCCTAATTATTTGGATTCAAGGGTAAAATGTGTAACATTATATACTTTTAATTTGCAGGAAATGATTTCTAATATTCCATAGTTTCATTAATCTAGATTACATGCTGACCGACTTGTTTTATTATTACCATGGAAACACATCCCATGGCGTTCAATTCTCCTTTCCCTTCAACTAATTATCCACCATGGAACTGAACTTGCAGACATTTTTACACAAAAGAACAATATCAGTACGTGCCATATAACCTAAATTTCGACCACAATGAATGAATGCCACAGGAGTCAAAGCACACATGTCTCGGTACAGCTCCTTTGATATCTGCACGGATAGTGAAGTGGGTGTTCTGCAGATAGCAACATAATATTTAGTGTAGCCAATTTATGCCTTGTTTCAGACTGGTTTTTTTTTCTCAAAATTTTAACAAAATGAGAAAGAAATGTTGTTTGGGAGGTTTGTATTCAAATGGGCGTGACAAGGAACAACGTATCGTCCTTAGAATGGGACGAACCCCCGACATGTTAGCGTGCACGTAAAGAACCGGTGACATTTGGAATTCCATTGCGCCTGCTTCCACTAAAGGGATATCCCAGACAAGACGTAGGAGAGTCGAGGCTTCTTCCTGTTTATTTAGAATATGATTTTGCAATCTTTACGGCCTTACACATGGAGTGGTTTAGTGGGAAGTTCTTCCCTTTATTTAATAAAAAAACCCATATTGCTTAGTAGTTGAGAGAGAGAGAGAGGGAGGGAGAGAGAGAGAGAGGGAGAGAGAGAGAGAGATGGGGTTTAACCTTGACCTTGACGTATTAGATGTTTGAAGCCTTGAATGGCTTGTTCATCACTCCAATTAACTAAACTTGCATTCTGTTGTTGTGGCATGCGTGGCACTGATACGGGTGGCAAAAGTTAAAAACAACATGTTTACATAGTTTAGGACTGGCAGGTTAGGTTGTAGACACTTGCCAGTTCTTTCCAATGACCATCGAATCTGCTTTAGAAACTGTTCACAGATGGTGCTCTCACCACGGCCTTCGAGGGGGGGGGGGGTCATTCCACATGTTGACCGCTCTCTGAGAGAATGTTCCGCTGCGAACGTCTAGCCTACAGCGATGTTTGTTGACCTTAAGACTGTTCCCCCTTGTTGCGCGGTCACTAGTGATCTCAAATTTAGGTCGATCTGAAACGTAGATCCCATGGATATACTTGTACAGGTCGATCATATCGCCTCTGTTTCAGCGTTGCTCCAGAATGGGTAGTCTCAGTGTTGCCAACAGCTTGGTTGTACGTCTTCTACATTACTACAATAAAGGGTTTTGTAGTGCGGCTGCCACACCGAGTGTCCGTATTCTAGGATCGGGCGCACAAGGCTCTTGTACAGTTGTACGAAGAGTTCGTTGCTGAGAAAGTCAAAGGTGCGTCGAATAATGTCAACAACTCTATTGGCTTTTGCTGTTCTTTTTGCTACATGTTCTTTGAAGGATTGTTTGTTGTCGACATAAACGCCAAGATCTTTTTCATGCTCGTGTTCCTCCAACGTTATTGTGCCCAGTGTTCCATCTTGCATGGTGTATACTGCGTCGGATCTTTTACTGCCGAGTTTCAGGACACTCCACTTATGCGGATGGAAGCGGAGTAGCCAATCCTGCGACCACTACTGGAGCTTGTCGAGGTCAGCTTACAAGGTAGTCGTGGCTCCTGGGACGTCACTGCGGACGAATAACTTTGTGTCATCTGCAAACAGTTTCACTTCATTGGCGCAGATGTTTGGCAGGTCGTTGATGTAGATGACAAATAGCATTGGTCCAACGACACTTCCTTGTGGAATCCCGATCGTCACTGGTGCTGGTTGTGATTCTGCTCCATTCACGACTACACGCTGCTGCCTATTCGTCAAGAATGCCTGGATCCAGTCAAAAACCTTGCCCTGGATGCCATACGCTGTAAGCTTCGCCACCAGGCACCGGTGAGACACAGAATCAAATGCTTTCACGAAGTCCGTGTATATGATGTCGACACTTCCTCCTGCGCCAAGAATTTTGGTCCAGACATCCATGACATCCAGCAGTTGCGTGATGCAGGATCCTACATTCACGATGCCGTGTTGCTGCTTGCTGATAAGTTGATGTTCTTCCAGGTATGTGATGACCTTTTCTCTGATGAGTTTTTCCATCACCTTACGGAGTATGCATGTGAGGCTAACCGGTCTGTAGTTACATGGTTGTAGTCGACTTCCCTTTTTGAAGATAGGCGCAACGATTGCTTTTCTCCAATCCTGCGGCACTTGTCCATCCTCAAGAGATTTACGGAAGAGTAGCGTGATTGGTCGAGCAAGTATGTCAGCAGTTTTTGACAGAACAAGGGGGTTGATGCCGTCTATACCTGTAACCTTGTGTGTCTTAAGAGTTTGGAGCAATCTCATCACTTTCTCTTCTAAAATCTCAATCGTAGACAAGGCTGAGTCCGTTCGTTCGTTCGTTCCTAAAGTTTGACATCCACTTTCATCTAAGGTGATATCGTAGACAAAGGCTGAGTCCGAGCAACATTTTCCTCATATACACTATCACGGTGATCCGCAGTGAATATTCGCTAGGTCGACTGAAATCACTGATTATAGGGATGACATCGGTGCGGATTGACATACTTGCAATATTAGAAAATAAATACAGGTGTTTGAAGTATATGTAGGTAAGACATATTTCCTATTTAATGTAAATGGGTATATAACATCGCACTGATCAGCAGTGAATATTCGCTAGGCCGCTACAATCATTTAAAGGGATGATATCGGTTTTAAATTCTAAAACATTCATTTTTTTAAAATTATTAGAAAAAAAAAAAAAAAAAATATAAAGGTGTTTGAAGCATATCTAGATGAAAAAAAAAATTTCCTATTTAGTGTAAATTATGGGTAGATAAACTGAGTAAAAGGCACCATTCTGTCCGGACCATGTTAATGCAAAAATCGTCTTATGTGACGTCACCTGTAGCGTACTTGAACTTATCAGTCATCTAATTAATACAGTATAAGAACGCTTTCACAAAACCTCTGTGAAACAGATTGATATAAAATGAGTAAAAGGCACCATTCTTTCCGGAACAGTTTTACGCTACAACGTTTTATGTAAACAATGCACGCGCCATTTAGCAAATGATCGACGCCACGTGATGTGACGGAGAAAGCAGTCATGCAGAGATAAAAGACTTTCAAAATACCTCTGTGAAACAGATTGAAACACTGCATATACGCGTCTTCATTGGCCCAGTTAGTGCAGAAAAGTAGGACGTTAAACACCATTTACCCCCCCCCCCCCTGCCGCCCCAATACAATTTAGTTTCAAGGAACTTATGTACCCCACGCCGTTTGTCCTCCCTTTATTAGGAAGAGTGGGACATGCTTAAACTTGTATTATAGTTACTCCCTGTCTACCAGAAATATCGAAGCCTATAATTTAAGTAAAATACTTTGACTTTCCTTTTTCCGTCAACTTCTTTAACCACAAACCCTGCTGTCTCTCATTGTTCTCACAATCGCTAGCCAGATTCAATCGGCAGACCTTAACCGCCCACCCCCACGACCCTTAGCTATCACTCGAGTAAACAACAACTACATAGCTGGCAGGTTTCCAGTTCATGATACCCTTACGCATGTTTGTCCTGTGTTTTTTTTTCATATTCTGTATTTGTATATTTGTAGTTGTGTATTAATATATTCCGGGTTTGTATATTTGTAGTTGTATATTATTGTGTGTATTAATATATTGTGTATTTGTATATTTATAGTTGTGGGGGAGGAGAATTATTTTCAATGAATGTGTGTCTCTAATTGCCATGATATGTCATGCTTTTATTGGAAATAAATACCTTTTAACTGTATTAATGATCGCACGGCTTACGCAAAGCAAATGCGTTTTGCCCACTTTACCGTTTACTTTTATGATGAAAATAATATTTAGAAATCGGCTCCCTTCGGTTGTCACTTTGCTTGTTTGCCGAATGGTGTCATATTACGAAGTCCAATCGAACACATCTAAACAAATATGGCTGCCAGCGAAGTAGAAAAACAAGTTCCAGAGGGTAAGTTTGTGCATATTTAACAGCTTGGTGCACTGTGTATTATTTTTTGTGATATTTGTTTATTACGATGTACAATAGGTAGACTGATAGGCCTATAATCTATATTGCATCAGTGAGTCAGGGTCTCATGGTCGTCACGGATGACAATCTCCAAGTAGTCCAAGTTTTGAGGTTTTTTCATTTATTAAGGATGAAGACCACAATTAAGTTATTATAATTTTAACGCAAAACTACCTTAAAGGGACCATCCCGATTTTAACAGAGTCTCAGAAATAAAAGTCTGTGTACGTATGAAATTTAGAGTAATGGTGTATTTACCTTGTCTGAAAATTTCAGCTCTAAATATTGAGTTGTTTGAACTTGAACTTCAAAACCAATTATCCGGACATGTAACGTACCCTTTTAAGTAAATTTTTTCGTTGGGTGACCTGAATCTATTACCATTCCGTTAGGCTAGAGGTTGTAGTTGATAACGCAAGGTAAATTCCACCTAAGCATTACTTTTATATAATAAATATCTGGTTTTATCCAGACACCGTATAATACAACTTGGGACATCGGTCACCATTTCCAAATGAAGACTGATGTGTTTAAATTGTTTGAAAACGTATATTGAGTTGGTTTCTTGCTCTAGAAGGTAGTGGTTTTTAAGGGTTTTCACATAAAAATTAAACAGTTTTATTCTGCAAGAATTTTGAGATTGACCCTTTAAATCCTTTTACATATAAATGCGTCAAATTTGCCTATTCCACTTATGAGCGCAGACCCCTCCCAATCATAAAAAAAAATATTATATAACAGTGTCAAATATATTATATACTATACACCCTATGGCTTTCCAGAGGACCCCCATATCTTGAGGCCCTAGGTTTCAGTCTGCTAGGCCTTAAAGATGGGTTCCCGCGTACAAACTGGGTGATTTAATGGTATATATGGACCAAAAACATATTCAAACTAATTTATTTGTCATAATTATGCTTCAAATCCTTCTCAAACATTGTAATTGCGAAGGAATGCCCTGCTATTAAAATTCGATCAAACCAGGTCATGTTTACGTCACGTCTTGGGAGTCAAAGGAGAAATCATTGCATACATAAGACGATGTTGTCTTTAATCGCTTACTATTTATTACAAATATCGAATCCTAATTAAATTCTCGGATTATCCACTACCTGAGTCTTTTTCCGTCATTTTTATCTCAGAAAGTATTGTACGTCTCTAACTCATCATAAAGTTGATCAACTTGTACATCAAGCGCTCAATGTTTGCTTGTGACCTTTGACATCGTGCGTTCAGAAGGTCATAATCGTCGGGCTGTTGATTAGGGGAACCCTTACATTTTTGTCCTGTATACGCTCCATGAGTGTTTTTCGGGGAATCCAGTATTTTTTCTAGTAAGATTGGATATCTCTACTTTCCATATATACCAAAATTGCCATACTTTTATTGGAAATAACCACCCGATAAATACTTTTCTGGGAACCCATCTTTAAATAAAAACGGTCTAGCCCGTACTGAAGTGCCCCGTTTAGTGTATGGACCAGAGGTTGGCAATGCTGCACTAACATCAATGTTAAAGTAGCTAATTACATGTATTATATAGTTTTGGTTTTGTCTATCTTGGACTCTGTCTCTCAAATATTATATGGGTGTAAGTAAAGTGTCTAATTCAATTAACACAACTTATATGTTGGTTATTTTACTTGTTCTATCACTACCAGTACGGTAACAAGATAATGTCTTATTGTTTATTTCACAGAGGATAACTTAAAGCTCATAAAACAAGAAGCTGAAAATGGATCCCAAGAACATCAGGCGAAACTTGGTCAGCACTATCTCAAACTGGCTGATTCAAACATCAACCGAGATGAAAATTTGAAGTTAGCCTTGAATTGGTTGGTTAAATCTTCAAAACAAGGAAACGAAGAAGCAACCAACTGTTTGAAAAAATGTGTGGAAAATGAAACTGGTAAGGATAAAAAAAATTTTACACCACATTCATCTTTGTATAATTCGCCTGTCCAACCTCGTGGGTTTTCTCCGGGTCCTCCGGTTTCCTCCCACTGCTAAAGACCCCTACGCGCAAGCGAATTATTGAAATAAAATTAAACCATATGTTAGTCCCGAAATGACCTAGTTTGTGTCGAGTGGACGTTAAACCCTATTTCTCTCTCTCTCTCTCTCTCTCTCTCTCTCTTTGTATAATTATAATGAGCTTGAAATTTGATTTGTTTTTTTTTTATTTAAATTCAGTTTTCAACTGTAGCTGTGTATTATAGATGTTAACCCCGAATAACCTGGTCAGTATCTGTCTGAGATCACTGAGTATGTTGTTTTAACTATGGTCAACTCAGAAGTTGGAAAACTGTGAATTGAAACTGTCAATTAGATTGGTATTTTTGCTTCCATTAATTTTTGGCAAAACCTAGATTTAAAATTGTTCATGATTAATATTTTCTTTTTAGGTATAGATGAAACAAATGGCCCAGACATAAAATGGTGCCTTAACACGTCAACTTTAGAAAAACAGATCCGCCATGCTTCGGCTCGTCTGTTTCAAAATCTCAACTCGACTCACAAGAAGGCGATTAGTCGGGATGAATATTTTGAAGCCATTAAAAGTCTACCTGGTCAAAGACAACAGAAATTATTGATGGCTGCCGGTAAGTCTTTTAAAATAAATGACTTCCAGAATGGTGATATTGAAAAGAAAATAATCTTTATATTTCCAAATTAATTTGCGACTTCCCAAAATTGTAAAAAGAAAATATTGAAATACAGTTGGGTGCTTTTTTGCTTGGGTTTTAATGCTTTATGAAGTTATTTGAAAAACTGCACATTTTGTATTATAAAGGGCGTGTGGCTCTATTTTTTGGAACCTTGAAATAGACAAAAATGGTTCCAAAAGCACATATTTTAATGTAATATGAATGTATGTAAACTGATTTATATTCAGTTTTTGAAAAAATACGTGGACAGTTCAAATACAAAGGCACTCGTTTATGTCTGCTTAGTGCATTCTCCACGTTTTTTTAAATTATTAATTTGTCGTTTGTGAATCAGCCTTTACTAATTACTTCCGCATATGGTGTTGACGTGTTGTAGAATATGTTTTTATTTGTTCATTACAAAATGGCACCGAAACCATAGGGTACACGACTCATGTACTGATTATAAAATGTTGTGTCTTAAATATTGAATATTAGGATCTGATAGTTTCATGGCAAGATAACAACATCAATATTCATTAAAATTGATAAATACTGAATTCTAATTCATGTTTTTTATTTCAAATATTATGGAAAATATTGAGTCAGAGATTTAATTAGCTCCTTTAATATAATGTTACTAGATGATCAAGACCACATTACATTGTCGCAAAACGTTAATACAGTTCAAAACATTAACATGCAGTAAGAGTCTGATGGAAACTACATACTAGCAATGAACACATGGTTATCTAGTAGAAATCATCTAAGATTATGCAGAATTAGGAGTTGAGCTTTTTGAGTTTGCGTGTGTTCGATCCCTGCATTGCCCGAGACAGTTCATTGGGATTTTCTGGCGTGGTTTTGCCCTCGTCAGTGGTGCATGACGGAGGGACTGACAAGTTTAGCTGTCTAGTCGTTTGGACGGGACAGAATACAGAGGTCCCGTGTATACATTTGCGTGCACGTAAAAGATCCCTTGGCAGTTGGTATTCAATATAAAAAGTAGGCCATAGTGCCACTGCCCGGGCAAAATTTCCCGCATAGTACACTGTATGGCGTATGCCCGTCTTCATTAGCCCAGTATGAGCTGAACAGTGGACGTTAAACCTCATTTCATTTCATTCCATTTTTGGAGTTTGGTCATAAAATTTACATCACATTTTTTCAGGTCGTAAAATTGGACAAGAAATAACTGAGAATGATTTTGTGAAAACTTTATCAAAGAAAATTCAAGGTACTCTCACTCTTACATCTGATGAAGAAGAGGGTACGACAGAAGCCTATAAATCAGCTACTACACTTCAAAAGGTACGTTGTTATGGGTTACCTTTAAGAGAATAAGAAGCATCATGGGTAAACACAGTCCCCTTCCATTCACGCAAGCATTCTCTACCCTAGACATCCATTGCTATCAAATCAGAAAGATAACTGGATTACCTCCAAAACTTGTTGATTAGCTTTGTGAAATTATCTTTTTAAAATGATACTCCTAAATTTAAAAGGAGGGTTAGCGCGTTCGCGTTGTATCATAAGGCCTGTCATTGAGTCAACTGGCGTGGTTTCGATTCCTCGGTTATTCGGGACAAGGAGTAGGGTCACCTGTCCAACCTAGTGAGTTTTCTCCGGGTCCTATGGTTTCCTCCCACTGCTAGTCTAAAAGTAATCACTAGTTTTGCTTGGCAGAATTACGTAACACATTCCATTTAAGGAATTCAATTGTTCATTTCTACAAGTGACTTGGTAATTATGACGATGATTTGTCACTTATTCAAGGCGTGGAATTTGGGAATTTATCACCGAAAGCTTTTGGTAGGGTGACCCATGTACTCACAGAAATACAGTCCACCGCTGATAGTTCGAGACTACCACTGAAGCGTGCACATTCGCCGTGCCGAGACCAACTTTCTGGCAGTATGATACTATAAATAGCCATGGCACATGCAATTCTCTACAAATCTATCAACTATTACAGCCGTAAAAAATTTATTGTTGACGATTTTGAATAACAGTAAAATTAAGCTTCTTGGTTATTACAGCAGATTTAGAAATTACGTTCGTTTCATTTTTTAAATTGCTTTATCATTAACTGTACCGTTAAGAGCGGCATCTTTTGGTTTAGTACAAATAATATCTCTGAATCACTCGGGTTAGACAGGAACATGATACTAGCAGTAGTTTCATTTTACTATTACAAGCTTCTTAAAACGATTGTTGAGCTACCTAACGTGCTTATTTCTAAATTCAATTTCTTGTTCTAGCTTTCTGTTATGTTTCGTAAAAAAGTAGTCTTGATTATCCCGACCTGTCAATCAGACGTAGAATGGTCGATAGACTGGTTAAGCGAGACTAATTTCAAAACAAGGGCACGTAACCTATCTTTTACTCAAAAGTGTCTGGATGTTATGGACGACTCTTGGAACCAGTTTTCAGTCTATTATTTATACATGATTAATGGTCATAGCTTATTAAGTACAACATGATCGTTTATTTAGTGACTATAATTGTGTGAAACTGATTTGAGGCTTGGCATATATATAAATATTGTGGCGTAATTGTCGAGATATATGGAGATATTTATTTATGGTGGGTCACCCTACTTTTGGAAACAGAAGATTTGTATTTCCGCAAAAAAATATTTTTGCCACATAGATACAACCTGCTGTTTTTATATAGAAGCTATAAAAGATACCAGATTTTTAGTATTCCTACTTTTGCTTTTCAGTTTGTAAAGTTCCCAAGGCAGACAGCAGGTGTGATGATGGATCATGTTCTAGAATATTCATCTAAAGAAGGAATGAATTGGGTTGTCTCCCTTATTCCCACCAATCAAATTTATTTACTTGCTCTGTTATTTGTATATAGTTATATCACACCCAAATTTCTCTTCTTTTTTATTCCCTTATTTATCTTTTATTTATCTTTCGCTTCTCTCACGATCTCCTCCATGCAAATGTTCTATAAACGTAAAAAGCAGTCTGATGCCGCAAATCTTGCTGGCTTGTTGAAAGAATACGACATGTCTATTGACATAGAGAAAACTGAATCACAATACTCATGGAATTCTCTCACACCATATTTGGTATTTTTTTCCAATCTGCCAGTAGCCATAGCAAGTTTTTCATTGGCTAATAAAGATTATATACCAGTATCCGAGTTATGTGTTATTGCACTTTTCTTTGCTGTCTTCTGCTTTATTGGACTTGGTGACAGCCATGACAAGATAACCTTTTTAACCCTAGGTGCAAATTTACTGGCGTCGTTGCCCGTTTTCTTGCAAAATTTTCCCGAAATTCCGGTCATCAAGTGGTTTGTGATGTTGATAAGTCAACCGTTTTATCAAATTGACTTTGGTTTCGGTTTCTTTGGTAATATCAGTCTTCCATCAGTTGCATTTTTGCTGATACCTATTTTCTTTATACGAATGGCTATGGCTAAATCATGGCAGGGTACGTATCGCATTCTGGTTCCACATTTAGTCTGCTACTTCTGGTGGAACATAACAACCTCTTTCTTTCCCTACACATCCTTTACTGGGTTGCTAAGGGCAACAATAGGATATATCTTAATGCCAATTTTGTTACCAATGGGTCTATTAATATTCTTAGTTATGACAGTTTTTGCAATTTACAAACTGTGTCAGACTGCACTTTTCGGTAAAATTCTTGTCACAGCCGCTTTGTTGATGATTCCTATAGCTTTGACTCAGACGAAGGCAATGTTTGGGAAATCTGCTGATAAGAAATATGCTACAATTAAAAAAGTTCTAATGGTATCTTTTAGTCTTTTAGCCATCGTACCTCTATTATTTGTTCGCATGCCGTCGCTGAAAACCGAAGCGTCTCCTGTTCTTACATGGGATGACTTTAAGGCATTATGTATCCCAGAATCAGAAGATAATATCGCAGGTTTACAACTACGCTGCGATCATTTTGTGGGAACAAGAATAAGTTGGACTGGAGAGGTAGTTAGCACAAAAATTTCAAAGATCGAAAACACTGCTGATGGCTTTATGAATACTCTGCCAAACTTTTTAGCCGATCCTCTACGTTGTATTTACGGCGTTGAATTCCCACCTTGCGATCAAAATACATCAGGCTCTGATGAATTCAAATTTTGCAACTTGATGAAAAGTCTTGGTCATACTTGTCATGTTAAGAATCATGCTACCTATAATTTTCAGATAGTCGTAAAAACAGATGGTGTTTCTTTAAATATTGACGTAGGACCAGAGTTTAAAGAAACCGTGTTTGCATTGTCTCCAAATATTCATATTGCATTTAATGCTACTTTGACAGGTAACTTAGGAACAGGAGCTCCATCTCTGAAACTGGGTTCTCTCAAATCACTGGATAAAGAATTAATTTTAATGATGGCTGTTGAACAGGAGGATGGTTTTTATATTCGATCTCTTTACGAATCTTTTTCTTTTACATTTAATTTTATCTGGTTTCCTGTCATGGAATTGGTCATCTAACTTATTTTATGAATATACATCTGAAAATTATAAAAAAGCCTATCATCAAAAATATGTCTTTCAAATCGCTGTGGATGAATTTTATAAGAGGGGATTTGAGACGAGAGTTATTTACTCATGAATAGAATATGAATGCAATATATACATGTTGATAGTCTTTAGGCATAATACCCCATCTCAATTTTATTAGTGCCTGTGATTGAGGTTCACAATCACAGCTTTCTTTCATCTACGATTTATGGTTGGAAAATCGTAAAATATGATAATTCCACAATATAAGACTTTTACTATGATGAATACAGTTATTAATGTTTTATTGTTTCGAAAATAATTTCTTTCAAAAATAAAATTACAATATAAAATAACAAAGAGCAAGTATTGTACCCTCGAAGTATTGAGGCATTTTTACGTTCCTGAACTGTCTAATGTTTAATTTTGTTCATGTTTTTGAGAAATTGTTTTGCAAATTTATCTAAATATTAAGAATTACAACCATATGCTTGTAAAGTATTGATGAAATTTAGATGTGACTTATTTTTTTTTAAAGTAAAAATATCAAAGTGTGCAATTTGTTGCAAGGGCCACAACAAATTCATAACAGAAACTCTCAAGAGTTATTAGCTTCAAATTTTTAAGTTTTATTATAATATATTATGATTATAATATCTCGAACCCTGCTTAAAATGATCCTGAAGAACTCAATCTGTGGGTAAACCACTAGAAACGTCAACGATAATTAATTAATCAATGTCTGATGTCATAGGGTCAAAAGCCACTTGTATGACCTCTGATGCAACCTTCCTCTACAACCGGTCAGATCTTCTTCTTGTGCAGGCCATCAAATGTATAAAAAAAATGAAATGAAATATAGATCTGCATTTTAATCAGATTGTAAAGAGAACTGAAATGGGTTTGGCCTCTTTGTGTAATATTGTTTACCATATTCAATATGGTTTTTTTTATAGTTGTTTATCTTGTTAGAATGGGATTGTTAATAGATAATATTTATATTAATAGATGTATAATCTAATGTCATGTTTATCTTTTTAAACATGTTTTGTTTATTTACAAATGTAGAATATTTATTATTAGCTATCTTAGAAGCTATAGGTATAGAATAAACAGGAACTTATATTAGGTGTAAAATACGCCAGAACATGTAACAAGTGTAAAATGCCCAAGAACTTGTATCGGGTGTAAATTGCAGACGAACTTACATCAGGTATAGAATTCACAAGATCTTTATCAGGTGTAAAATTCACAGGACCTGGCATTGTATCATGTGCAAAATACACACAAACTTGTATCGGGTGTAAATATAAAAGAACTTGTATCAGGTGTAAAATTCACCCGAACTTGCATCAGGTGTGAAATACACACAAACTTGTATCGGGTGTAAAATACACAGGAACTTGTATCGGGTGTAAAATACACTGGAACTTGTATCAGGTGTAAAATACACAGGAACTTGTATCGGGTGTAAAATACACACAAACTTGTATCGGGTGTAAATATACAATAACTTGTATCAGGTGTAAAATTCACCCGAACTTGTATCAGGTGTAAAATACACCCAAACTTGTATTGGGTGTAAAATATACAGGAACTTGTATTGGGTGTAAAATACACACAAACTTGTATCAGGTGTAAAACACACATGAACTTGTATCGGGTGTAAAATACACATGAACTTGTATCGGGTGTAAATATACACGAATTTGTGTTAGGTTTAAAAGCATATTATATATTTTAATTACATGCATTATAATTTCTATATATTGACCATGTTCTTTCAATCACAACTTTTCTATAATTGTTGAATTTAACAAAGTACACAAAATTGATTTTATATATTTATATTTTTCTTGTTTTTTGCCTGAATATTGTATCACTTTGTATCTATCTATTATTAAACTACTTGGGGGTTTTCCTGCTACTATATATGCTGTTTAACTTTAAATTATATATCATTTTATTCAGATTTATCAATATATTTGAGATTATTTCTTGATTATTTACAATTTTTGAATTTTTAGGTTTCAGATAAGAATGGTCGGTCTTAGTATCATATAAATGTTGTGTACTATACAGTATAAAATTTATACTGTATAGTACACAACATTTATAAATACCTAGAACTGTTAAATTTTGAATCCTTAAAAATTGATTTAAACAATATTTATTCATAAAATATTGAATATACCATGACATTTATAATGATATAATACAATATGTAAAAACTTAGAAACATTTGTTTCAAATAAGGCATTAATGTGTGATAATTAAAGATTTTATTATTACCGACTACATATAAGAAGTGATTCTGAAATGAGATCTCTAGATATATTACAGCAAGTCACTTGCTTTTTACAGGACATGATTGCTATTGCCTGAAGAAGGGGCGATCTTAAATACTGGTGTGAGGATTTTCCTTTTAAACACCCTTGATAAACCATGGACCGTATATAGACAAACTAAACCTGCCTTTTATTCACCCTTTAACATCCTACCTTCCTACACCAAACAGACTAATGAAAACAGGACTGTAGCTAAAAGAAACATGTCTCAAAGAGAATATTCAAATTTAACAAATAATATAAGTAAATAAATATGTAAATAAATAGGTAATAGGTCTTTCAATGATATTGGTGTTAACTGAGTATGATAAACAGATCACTTTAACATTAGGTCTATAAATTACAACACATTCTTTGGGCTTTAGACGTAACATCTCAAAAGGAATTAATTCATACTATTTTAAATTTCCTGTTTTTAGTGTGAGAGATGACTAAAAAGCTCTTACAATTTGAGTAGCACTTGAGTTAAAGATTTATGTTACCCACCACAAGTTTTGTCTTTCTTACTCAGAACATTACAGATACACAAGAGTTACTAGCAATCTCGGTAATCTATGTCTGTGTTCAAATATATTGGTGTACTGAGAGAAATTGGGTATAGCTAGTGTACCTTGTCTTTCATATATATACATTTATAGTTTATTAAATAGTTCAGTATATTATTGGTATATATTATGATACTATTTATTTAACAGGGATGGATTTTATAGTTTAGTTCAAATTCCGAGAATAAAGATAATTTGGAACAAGAGTACCGTAAAATTCGGTTCATCGAAATACTCAGAATATTAAACCGAAGTTCATACCAAACAATAAACCAGGTCATCAGTGCATATAGAATGAATTTTGGTTTATTTTGGTATTTCATATATATAAAGAGAACAAAAAAAAAAACTAAGTAAATTTAAATGTCTTTTAACTGTTGTTTTTGTAACCTTGGTTACATATTTCAAAGTCACTGATCGTCATTTTGCATTTTTTTTCAGACAATATCTAATTTTTCATGGCTTAATAATTCAAGCTAAAATGTACTCAAATTGAGACCAATCAAAAAATTTTAACGATTTAGGTGTCGCTGGTTTGTTTTCACCATATCTCGTTTAGATCATCTGCAGAGGATACCAAATGTTCTGTTCATCATACTGGATTTTTAGAACGATATTTCTTTCAGAGATTCAACTCTCCCAATATAGTAGTTTGCAAGGGGCTCAAAATGCCAATTAGAGACTTTAAGACCATTAGAAATGATTTGAAATTAAGAATTATTTTTGTTGTAATATCTGAACTAGACTGTAAACAATATCAACGGTTGAGGTTATATAAATGAAGATAATAATAAAATATAGTTACATCGAAAAGAAAAATCAAACTCAAAAGCAATGCATTTAAAGTGACTGGCGTTCCAATGGCCAATGTGTATCTTATTTTTGATCTAAATTTATATCCTCATTTATTTACATTATAGATAACCCAGAAACATCCATCATGACCCACCGCTCAGTCTGCTTTAGATTAAAATTACCAGAGGAGGATGTTATGTGGTTATATAGTTGTTATACAATAGTTATAGCCTGACTCTTACGTAACAAGTATAGCTTTCCCTGGAATTAGACATTTCCCTTAATAGTTCTTAAATTATAATTGTTACAAATATGAGTTAGTGGTAATTGAAAACTTTACCAATATTTTTGGTGGGTTAGAGATAATGTATAGTTAATTATTGTTTTTAATTGCAATGGGGTATCCATTAATAGTTATGGTAGGTAGTTAAAGCTCTCATGAATTAACAAAAAACAGTTGATCAAGGGATGCATGAATTACACTGTGAGGTGTTTTTTTAATATCCAAACAAACTTTTTGTCACTTCATGATAGCTTGCAGTTTATATCTAATCTGCTAAATACCTTTAAAATACCATTGTAACTGATCAAAGTACATAATAATCAAACTATTTAAGTTGTTAGAGTAACATGTAGAAATGAATTATGAAAATAAAGATATGTGGACTTTGTTGCTCTTCATAACCCAAAGCAATCTTTACTAGATAGCTAGACATATCCATTAGCAATTGTAAATACAGGAAATGAAATGAAATGTGTTTAATGTCCTACTTTTCTGCACAATGAAGACAGAAGTGGTTGAAATGGGGTTTACTGTTTAACTGACTGGGCTAATGAGTGTCATGAGACAAGCCTGGACAGGGGCACTACGACCTACTCTTATTCTGAATTCTATCTGTCAAGCGACATATATTGTCTGTTTGTCTGTTCGTTCACAATTTTTATCCGATTTTGACGAAAAAGTATTTAATTTTTATACATCCACATTTTCATGTGGACATATATCGTCTGTCTGTTCTCAAATTTTATCCGTTTACATCCCAAAGATCTTGGTTCCTTTCGATATTGGCATGTAACTTCGTGGATTATGGGCACTGGTTGTATGAAAAATCATGTTTTTAGGTTGTGGAACCTCTAGAGGTCACAATTTTGATACATTTAAAACATGTGTTTGTATCCCAACAATCTTGGTTCCTTTCCATATTCATCGATGCATATCAGACCGTAACTTCCTGGATTATGGCCCCTGATTGTATGGAATAAAATCTTGATTTTAACTTGTGGAACCTCTAGGGTAACAATTTTTATTTGATTTTAAAAATTGTTTAAATATTTCATCGTAACACCCTGATGATGGTTGAGTTTGAATTTCGTAAAAATCAGACTGAGCTGCCCAACAAAATGGCTGCTGCTTAAACGCAAATAGTATAAAGGTATGTAATACCAAAGTATCTAATATCTGATTGTGATGAAAATAAAAATATATGTTTACATCCCAAAAATCTTGGTTCCTTTCGATTTTCGTGCATATCAGACCATAACTTCCTGGATTTTGGATCATACACAACCAACCAGTATTTAATTTTCGTAATACACAACCAACCAGTATCTAATTTTCATAATACACAGCCAACCAGTATTTAATTTTCATAATAAACATCTTGTAGTTCTATCATTCATGAATTGAGACAAAAACAAATGGTGGGGTTTTTTTTGGTCAAAATGTTTTATTTATTTATATATACATTATTATATACCAGGGTGATTTACATACACAAAGCAAATAACCATTGTTATCCACTAAATAATAACCATTATCCAACAAATATAACTTGCAATGTTACAATAACAACTTAATCACAGGGTCCGGTTGTTCAAAGCTCTGTTAACGTATAACTATTCGTTAACATGGAGTTTCAACAGAGAGAAATTCTGTTGTTTTCTGTAGGATATATAACAGTTATCTTTTTGTCTTTAATCAAGTTTTGTGAACAGACTGCACAGTTAACCCACTTCCTTCATTTTCTTGTTAATCATAACTTCTATGAAGTGACTATACACGTATACTGAATTTAAAATTCAGCCAATGATCAAACAGTCTTATCATATTAACATCTGTGCATTAGCTAACAGATAATGAAATTGACTTTCCAGCAACAGAAATTTAATGGCCAGTTAACAACTGACACATTAGCAAGATAATCTGTTACAGTTTAACGAATCACTAAAATAACTGAGTTTTGAACAACCGGCCCAAGAATTTTAATAGTTTTGTATCACAAACAAAATGTTTAAATGTTAAAAAGGAATGGAATAATAATATTTAAAGATGCATTATGTAAGAACTAAATCTTCCAATTAAAAATCTTTTTTCTTGCTTCAAATGTTATAATAATTTGACATTTATTCACCTTACAAGCCCGTAATCAACTCTCTTGATCATTGGATGGCTAAGATATTTAATGGATTAGAACCAATCCTCTAGCCATTTAAAATTTAATTAATGATAAAATGGATAGACGAGAATTTGTTTAACATCTTAGCAATGGTACTTGACACAATCGAGAATATCTTAAAATTTCAACCACTCATAACTTTGCTCAGAATAAAGTAATTTGGCCAAAATTTTCAATATATTCATTTCTCACTATCTGTTTTTGAACTATTATAGCGAGAATTGTTGGCTCTATCTAAATTTTTACATACTGCATCTTTAACATGTCTAACATACACCAAGTGATGATAATTTGAATACATGTACATGATGAACATAAAACTTTACATTTTGTGGGATCAACAGGTTTTTTTTTGGTTTTTTTTTAAAACTCTTCAGGCATATATATATCTGGTAATACAAACTTATGGATTTGAAAACTTCTATATTAATTATTTAGCAGGGCTGCCGCTGAGAGAATTTTGATGTGCTAGGGCTTTATGGGCCCTGGAGCAATGTACCGATTGCACCCCCTCTCCTCTCCTTAGGTCTTATTACTTAGTCTTTTTCAGTGCCAAATTTATTTAGTAGCTAAAGTAGCAGTAAAGGCCTATGAAATGGGGGTGCAGGGGGTGCAAAGGGTACACTGGTCTCTAAACCGGACCCAAGAATTTCCTGGGATCTTTAAAAATGCTCCATTCCACCGCTTTCAAAGGCTTGGTCAAACATGTATCATAATTCCTGATGACATGAGTCGAAAACTGTGTTGAAACACTATCGTATAAATACAAAAGCTTTGAATCCAAAAATAGACATTCTTATTGAGTTTCTCAGCCCTTCACTCCACCAAGAACTTTATTGATGAACGTAGAGTAACAGAGATAGCAAGAACTCCTGGGTGTAGAACTGTACGAATCACCCAATATTAACATTTAATTGAAGAGATCATACAGGGCGATTATTTTGTGTGTGAAATTTAACGATGCATTATGTAAGAGCTAAATATACCTACTCCAAATATTATATAAATTGTTATTTAGACATTTGTTAACATCACAAGCCCATAATCAACTCTCTAGGTTATCGGATGACTCAGATTTTCAATGGATTAGAGCAGCCTAGCCATTTAAAAATTTAAGAAAATAGATAATATAGACTGTGTATTATCGTAGCAATGGTACTTGACAATCAAGACTATCTTTATTCACTCCGAATAAAGTAAAGTAAATTTTACATAATGCATCCTGAAGTATAAAAATTCATGCTTTATAACAAAATATAGTTTATAAACATTTATACCATACACGAAAAAAATACTGTGCTTTGGAATGGAAAAAAGGTACAATAAACTGAATTGTGAAAAACAAAAACACCAAAAATTTATTTTGGGGGTAAATAAGATTCTTTAAAAACAAAAATTCTAACCATTTATGAAAATGAGTTTTACAAATAAGTGGTACATATTGTAAACAATGATCAATAGCTAAAGGTGTAATCTTTTTATCCCTGGAAAATAAATTTTACCCCTTGAGTATGTTATAGAATATTCCTCAAGGATGATTTTCTAGAACTAAGAGAAGGAATCATCTTGTCATTGGAAAAACTAACATGTCAATTCATGACATAATGCCAATATCTTGTCCAAACTATTGACACCCGATTCCAAGTTACTGGCACCTATTTTAAACCTGGAAACAGTAGGAAATCAGCCCAGATCAGAATATCTTTGAGACAAAAGATAATTTTTTTTTACTAAATATCTAAATATACATTAAGAATGACTTTTAAGGGAGAAAGGTTCAGGATAGACTAATTGATGGTATATTTGTCCTCTTCAGAATCATTTGTATGTCTGAAAAATACATTTTCTATACATTTTTGTATTTAATGGAGAAAACCAAGATCAAACAAGGTAATTTAGTATATGGTAACTTGGTATTTCAAACATTCACGATTTAACTAATATAAAACAAACAATCTTGTAGCTCTCCTTATCAATAAAAGTTTTAAGGTTTTGGAATATGTTAAGATATAACAACAGAAAGAGGACCAATAAAACATTCACAGTTTCAACATCAAAATACCCACATAAATAATGATGTTTTATTCAAAGTTAATGACCCATCTCCAGTGCTGATAATAATCATAAAATACCAGTACATGTCACCCATGACAGCAAAACCACAACAAATTTTATTAATCAATACCAGATTGTAGAGTGAATGTCACAAATGGGATATTCCTGCATTTAACAAATAATATATGACATAAAATTATAAGTGCTTGTTGTTTTTTAAAGGGTGAAACTAGATAACAATATATTTAAATATACATGTATCTACAATTTCCCAAGTCACACAACCAAATCCCGTTGAATTGTTGACCTCTGCCATTATAAACAATAATTCACTTGCTAAAATACATAATGTCCTGTTGGAAAATAATCATCTGTCTTTTAGTGAATGGTAAATTTATATTCAAGGCAATTTCATTATCTAATGTAACAGAAATTCTGCAAATACCACAGGTGCAAGCAGCATTTAGTAACTGAATTAGAATAACATATTACATAATTATATGGAATACAAGTTACTTAAAAGTTTATTTATGGCGATGGTTCGATGAGGGATCTCTTGTTATTTATCAAGCAAAGATAAAGACGAGAGAACCATCGTTGAAACGTCGCCAGAAATAAACTTCCAAGTAATTTGTATTTCATATAATTTTGTCATGTGTTACACACGCTACAATATACATTGTTTGATTAAAAGGTTTGGAAAACAGGCAAAATACCAGCCTATCCCATTACTTATAGCACTGTAATTGGACTGTAATAAACACTAGAGAAACATGTAAAAAATATTTCAGGATAGGTAGAAACAAGCACAAATCTTTATTACTAGAATTGACATAAATTTCTCACCAATATAAGGAAATTTAATTTTTGATGGTTATATATATCATAAAAAAAACACATACTATTAATGGCAGTAAATTCATGTAAGCATCTCTTATATACACAACAAGGTAATCCTAATTTCAACAATCATTGATTTTTTCAAAATATGCCTGACATTTCACTACTACTTTGGCAAGTGGGAGGAAATCAGAGAACCCAGAGAAAATTCATGAGGTTGGACAGATGAGACTACTCCTTGTTACTTACAAGCTGTGAATCGAAACCACACAACTTGCCTCAGTTACAGACCGTATGATCTAAAGTGCATGTGTTCGTCCACCCAACCTCCACATACAGCTGTAAGAGAAATTGTGTCAACTACATATAGTTTGTGGACATTGTATCAGGAGTCATATAGGGTATCAAAAGAGAACACAGGTATTAATAAATTCTTCAGATCTTGGTATTGTGAAGAGTAATAAAATGAAATTTGAACTATAGAAAGAAACGATTTGTGTTTTAATTTGATTGCCCATCCCTCAAGAAATAAGAAACAAAGGAGTAGTGAAGTGTCAGATTTAGATATTATCTTGTCCTGTACCTGCATCCACTATTACGTTGTCTATCCCTGGTAGGGATGGTACAAGAATTGTTGTATTACTAAATAAAGGATAGAATGGAGTTGAAGACACAATAGTTCCGTCATTTTGGGATTAACATATCATTCATCGTATATATCATAATCTATTTAACCGATTCCCAGCAAAAAAAAAATAATTCAATATTATAGATCACTCAACAAGTTTGATCTGGCACAGTGAAAGTATACGATACAAAACATAGCTGTATCTTTAAAACTCACAGAATAATGTAGTCTTGATCATTTAGTAATACAACAGACATGTCTACCCTTGACAATTAAGATGGTAGTGGAATGTCCTAGTGGTTTTAGGACAAGACCAAAATGGTTACCTGGGTTACAGAGGAAATACATGTACATTATTTACATTTTATCATCCAATTATTTTACAAGTTTTCCTTAAATAAATACATCCACAATTTACAGCAACAATTACTAAATTTCTTTTTCTCCTCCAAAGAATCAAATCAAATCCACTGATGCTATTCTTTGAATACATTTTATTCATCCATTCAGTAAGTCCTTTCTTCTGTCGCTCAATATTTATTTATTCCAAAAAGTCTAACCCCATGTAGTTGAGGCATTTTGGGAATTAGACTCAAACACAAAAATGAAATATTGATAATAAAATGATAGGAATCATACTTTGTGTAAAAACTTGCCAACATAAATCTGAAAAGAAAAAAAATATTGAAGCAATGAAATGAAACATGGATGTGCAGACATGACTCATTTTTTTTATCCCAATTAATACACAAGACATCTCGCTGATAGCCAAAGTGAACAGGGGCCTGAATAATGAAATAAAATGGGGTTTAACGTCCTACTGTTCTGCGCCTGAATAATGAGTTCACACAAAATTCTACAGAGTGATCAACGACGGTGGCAGGATTTATAATTGTTTTGAGATATCTTAAGAAATGCAAGAAAATCTAAAGCGATCATTTTGTGGGTCGATAATTGTGAGTTTTTGGCTAGTGCGGTACTTGAGTAAAACGCCTATGGTTAATAATTGTGTAATAATATGAAGACATATATATATCTACAATATATGTATGGTCAATGATTTTGTATATCTAATAATATATGTATAGGCTATATGTTTAGTTTTATATTGGTTATTGGAAATATGATCCATTGCCATCTGTCACTCTGAGATAATGATTAGCTATAATCTTTCGCGATAAGAATTTATATTTTATAATACAGACTTTCATAACCAATATTTAAAGTAACTAAAACAAACCCGTATTAAATACTGGTAGCAACACAAGCATACAAAATTTACGACCGGATCTAACAAATATTATTTCACCATACAATAGAAGGCTAACCCTGTACTACTGCAAACTGGCTTAGTCTTATACAAATCATAAATATCTCTTCTTTTAGTACATAAATAACCTAATTTGTGTTGAGTAGAAGTTAAATCCCATTCCTCTTCCTCCTCACTGTATATTCTTCTTTCATTATCGAGATTGCATCCAGCAATGAAATCTGGGGAAAGCCCACTGACTAAAACTACAAAACCAAATTACTTACAATGCAACAGGTACACAAGTTAGAAATTTTTTAGTAGCAGTAAATTGTTGACCATAATCAATCTGTTCCCACTGCGTCTGTGTTCTGGCGTCGCCTTGGTCAGATGTGACCCAAGGGGTTCCTTTAGTTACATGTAACATCACAAACATTGCCTGTAGGTAGAGAAACATGATTAATAATTAATAAATAATATAAACATATGATCAATCAAAAAACATGTAATTTAAAACTATTTATGTCTTATGTGCATATACCACGCATACATGTATAACACACATCAGCCCTTCAGGTATGCAAATTTAATCAATCATTTTAATATCCAGGTCTTGATACTAGTTAATTCAGTGTTAAAAACTCTTAGAAACCTTTATTCTAGTCATGTGCAAATATCTGAATCTCAGTGATTATTTTTCAAAGACATTTTCAAAATTCTTAACTATATAAATCCCTTGGGGTTCTTTCAATCTTTATCAAGCAGATATACATTGTATCATCTGTTTAATGGGACAATATAATGGCCCGTTTTCATTCATGACAAGTTAATATTTCTTCACATTTTGGTTTTTGATTTGCATAATTAAACCCATTATAAGGTGCCCTATGAAATTATTATTATCATCAATTACTTTACTTAACAAAATATCAATTTCTTCATGTATGTCATAAATCATACTTCTGGCCTCCCCCTCAAGGATTTTACTTTCGGTCTGGTTTTGAGAGACGTTCTTACAGAAAAATTTGATTTTATTTTCTAGTAAGTATAAAGTAAATATATGTACTTACAAGGTCATGTAAAACATTTGTTAATGTCCAGGCAAGGGCAACACTGAAATATGGTATACTCAGTACCAGTAAATGACCAATAAAAATAATCAACAGATACGTCAACCATATTCCTTTACTATTTAAATAGGAATGAGTTGGGTTGGTATCACTGTGAGCTACTCCAACATTCATCTTCAACAATAACTATTGTGTCCTGAAAAATACAAATATATATTCATCTTAATGACAGTCCAACATTTCACACTAGGAAATGACCAGATCTGTCATTGTATTAACATCTTGCTTTACCTGAGATTAAAAATTGCAATTAATCTAATTAAAATATAGATCTATATTTCGTTTTGTTTTTTATACTTTCGATGGCCTACATTGCATGTAGATCTAACAAGTTATAGTGGGAGTTTACGTTCTATGAGGTCGGGACCAAGCAAGCGACATTTGACCCGATTACGTCAGTCATTCGATTAACCAATTAGCGACCGCCATGTATTTTTTATCTACTTTTGCTTTGTTTTGATTTCTATTGCCGCTAATGTCTACCCACAGTTCCGCGCAGAAAAGGTCAAACGCTCGATTCGACAGACAATTTGATTGGCTGACCCCTCATTTCAAGCAGAACACGAGTTAAATAACAACGCTTCCAGATCCAAGTGTAGTAAAGACAAGTAAAATTGAAATTTTGAACTATAAAAACGAAACGAAATTGGATCTGTGTTTTAATCAGATTAGCAATTAATATAATGAGCCTTCCTTCTAACTGGAATATCTAAACAATAGAACAAGATACAGAGACAGAAATGGGGTTTAACGTCCACTTAACACAAACTAGGTCATTTTGGGACTAACATACAGTTCAGTGTTATTTAATAATAATAATAATAATTCTTTATTACCTTACAGGAATTCTTAGACATAGACAAGAGATGAGAATTTGATACAAAATAATAAATAGATATAAATAATACATAATACATGGGTATATGTTAACAAATGACAGCCTATTGCATTTCGTCTTATATTGCTTGGTTTAGTATACATATGCTTTGGGGGATAAACGATGACTGACATCTTTTTGTTTTAAATTTTGGTACTCTATTAGTCTCTATAGCGACGTCCCGAGGGTAGTAATTCGTATTCACTGTAAAGAAAATGTGTTTCATCAAAGGCTATTTTTTTGCTCACATTAGGTAAAAATTTATTGTGCAGTCTATTGAGTGGGGTGTGCTGAACCCCTGAAATTTTGCTAGCCGTGTTGACAATTTTGTTTAGCTTAGCTTTGTTTTGTACGGTGAGGGAAGGATACGAGCATTGGATAGAAAAACAAAGAATGCTTTGTATAAATGAAGTGTAAAACACTGAAAGTATGGCTTGGTTAACGTGAAAAGATCTCAATTTGTGCATGTAATAGAGGCGTTGTTGACACTTTTTGTACACTGCGTTTGTGTTTTGGTTCCATGATAGTTTGTCATCAATAATAGTACCTAGATATTTGTATTCTGAAACTATCTCAACAGTTTCATCATCAATTGTTAAGGGAACTATATGTGATTTATTAACCCTAAAGTCAATGATAAGTTCTTTGGTTTTATTGACATTCTGCAAAATTTGCAACATCACCTCTGTAATGAGTGTCAGATTCAGCGTCGCTTAGTGAGCTAACAATCGTTTAGTGAGCTAACAATCGTTTGCTCTTAGGGGTCTTTAGCAGTGGGAGGAACCAGAGAAAACCCACTAGTTTGGACAGGTGGCCGTGGGCGCAGGCGCTAACCATTTGGCCATCCAACCTCCAGAACAAGATACATGTACATGTTATGGTCTAGAATTTGCAATAAGTAGACTTAGTGATTATTGAGAAATTTAATGTCATAGCAGTCTTGTACTACAAACCACTCAATTAATTATTAATATGACTAGAACTAGAGATATAATCATTTGTAGTCTCCAAATATTGAGTTGGATTTCTTCCTATTCCTGTCATGGCCAACTTTTATCATCAGTGGTTTAAGAAACAGTCTACTCCTTCAGAAATTATCAGAATGCTAATTTCATAACTGACTATTCTTTCAGTCGGAGCACAATCACCTTTTAAGCAACCAAATGAATGTTGTTATATTGCCTTGTCAAACAGTTAAAAACTATATCAAACTTACAAAACATTTTACTCCGTAAAATTCAACCTACTAGATATTACTAAGGAATTTATTTATCTAATTTACATGTAATTACTTATTTGTTATAATTGAAATACTGTAATTATGCTTTGTCTATATGAAATTGTACATATATTATACATCCTACCCACAAGGAAGAAAATTAATATAAGCCTATTTGGCTTGTTCTTGTATTCTATTCACAGAGAATTTGTTAGCAATCTTCAAAACAGCTCTGTTTTTAAGTGTCAAATTACAGTAGGTCAACTCTAAATAAATTTTAGAGAATAAAAACTTCATCTCTTTTGTATTTTATAAGTATTTGGTAACACATTATCACTCAAATTGGTAGATATGTTACACCCACTTGGTGCAGCTTGCTGTGATGACAACAGATTTTATAAGAAAATACTATTTAGCCACATATTAGGAGTGATTCTTAACACCGAAAAACTAACTGGGATACTATATACTGAAAAACCTACTAGATATCGCTAAACACGCTAAATACCGAGAAACACCTACCTTACCTATAAATAAAATAAATGGAGTTATGTGAATAGACATATTGATATGGTTATTAAGAGTTAGCAGGAGTGAATCCTTGCCACATTTTCCCTCGCCCTGCAATATTTGTAAAATACAAACAAACCCAATGCGAGAGATCATGTTCAGAAGCGTAAACAAGAGCATCGCTATCGCTGCAATATATGTCCACATTCCTGCTTTGATTGATATGGTACTTTTTAAAATGAAGAGAATGAAATATGAAATGGCTGTAATATGACAAGAGGCAAAGAAGGCTAGGCGGTGAGTGTGTTTTGCCAAATTTACAGACAAAATTTTAACAAAAAAATGGGTGTGATACTGCCCCAGGGGGTCGGGGCACGCACCAAAATAAATAGTTGTTGTCTCTACGGTATAAGGAATAAATATGCAAAGTTCCAAGATGATCCATTCAGAATTGCAGCCTGTAGACGATAAATACAAAAATTGGGCGTGGTTCTGCCCCCTGGGGGTTGGATATGGAACAATATAAATACACTCAAAGCCATTAAAAATGCAATGGCTAATTTGTGAAATATTTCTGGTTAACGTTTTCTTGGGCTTTCCTATCTTATGGCACATAGGTGAAACATGTGATGGGTCTCTTTTTGTGGAGTTCTGGGTTTGAACCCAATATCAGTTCTCGGTAATGAACTTTGTTTGTACAAATGCAACACTTGTCTTTTTTCACGATTTTAAGCAGTCCCATGTCACACGTTTTGCACGTGCATTCCCTGCACTCTGGCCCTTTAAATACAGATCCAAATTTCAACATTCAACACTTCTGAAAAATGCCACGTCTTACACAAGAAAACAGGAACAGAGCTATTGGCATGCTAAATCAAGCGGCTTCACAGGTAACCGTCGCCAGACACTTTAATGTCCACACATCGACCACTGCTCGCCTCAAGACAACGCTTCCACGCCATTGGAAGAATTGCCGACCTAGAGCGCCACCTGTAACAACCGCCACATCCGACTACAGCATCTGCGCAACAGGTTCCAGTCAGCTACTGCTACTGCCAGGGGAACTGTTGGAACACGGCAACGTCAGATCAGCCCTCAAACAGTCTGAAGGCGACTGGCTGCTCTTTGGTTACGCTGCCATTGACATAACCAAGGTCAAATCCTTTTGTATTGTCATCGACTTGCCAGACAGCAATGGGCCGCAAATCAGGGTATCTGCACAACACACCATGGCGAAATGTCATCTTCTCGGATGAATCCTGATTCAACCTCAAATTTCCTGATGGACGTCACTGTATCTACCGACGTCGACATGAACACTTTGCTCATAACTGCGTGCTGGAAAGGGATCGTTTCGGGGAGGTGGCGTCATGGTTTGGGCTGCTATCAACGTCACTTTCCGGTCCCAGTTGGTGGTGATCCAAGGCAATCTCAATGCTCAACATTATGTTGACGCTATCCTTCGTCCGGTGTTGCTTCCATTGCTGGCTCAACATGGCGTCCGTCGACAGATGGTTTTTCAGCATGAAAACGCCCGACCCCACACTGCCAGGCTGACAAGAGACTCTCTAAACAATCATCATGTCTGTGTTATGGATTTGCCTGCTATGTTTCCCGACATGAACCCGATCGAACACCTTTGAGATGAACTCAATCCGTGCCACCACGAACTATTGCAGAGTTGGCACGAGCACTCCAAAATCATTGGCAAACAATCCCACTGCGTTTAGTGAGACATCTGTGCCAGTCCTTCAGGCATGTGTAAGAGCTCGGGGTGGACATACTGATGGCCGATATTGACTTCAGCTGACCCCTGCTTTGTTTCATGGTTCTCTGACATTTCGGTTTTGTACATTTGTAGTGAATTTATTCATGAAATTATCCACAGATGCTTGTTATGTCGATTTTGTCAATTGTTATGTACATTTGTTAAAAGTTGTTGCAGTAAATAAACTTTGAATTAGGCATTGCATTTTAAATGGCTTTGAGTGTAGGTACCACCCTGTTATTGAAATGATTGATATGCTGCTATCCTTACCGTATAAGGAATAAATATGCTAAGTTCCAAGATGATCCATTTAGAATTCCAGCCTGTAGACAAAATACACAAAATTTGGGCGTGGCTCTGCCCCTGGGTCCAAATCTGTTAATAATCTCAACCTGTACATCATTTACAGACAAAATATCAACAAAAAGTGGATGTGGCACTGCCGAAAGGGCTGGGGGTCATGCACCAACATCAAAAAGAGAGAGAGAGAAATGGGGTTTAACGTCCACTCGACACAAACTAGGTCATTTCGGGACTAACATGTGGTTTTTAATTTTATTTACATAATTCGATTGCGCGTAGGGGTCTTTAGCAGTGGGAGGAAACCGGAGGACCCGGAGAAAACCCACGAGGTTGGACAGGCGACCCTACTCCTTGCCACGTACAACCGGGGATTGCACCAACATCAATAGTTGCTGTCCTTAGGGTACATGTGTAAGGAATAAGTATACCAAGTTCCAAAATAATCCATTCAGAATTGTGGCCTTTGGGCGCTAAAGACAAAAATTGGGCATGGCTCTGCCCCTGGGGGTAGGGGCATTCACCAAAATCAATAGTTGACACCCTTAGGCTATAAGGAATACATATGCAAAGTACCAAGTTGATCCATTCAGAATTGTGGCCTGTAAACGATAAACACAAAAATTTGACGTGGCTCTGCCCCTGGGGGTCAGGACATGCAGTTGCCGTCCTTAGGCTATACTATATATAAGGAATAAATATCCCATGTTCAAAGACGATTCATTATGAATCGTGGCCTGTAGACAACACACAGAGACACAAAAAAAAGGGGTGTGGCTATGCCCCTGGGGGTTGGGCAATCACCAAAAAACAATAGGGGTCATCCTTAGGGTATAAGGAATAGGTATGCAAAGTTTCAAAAGGATCTGTTAAGAATTGCAGACTGTAGGCGAAACACAAGACACAAACATTGGGCATGGCCTTGTCATAGGGGGTTGGGCATGCACCAAAAATAATAGAGGTCAGCCTTAGGGTATAAGGAATAAATGTAAAAAAGTTTTCAAGACGATTATGAATTGCAGGCGGTAAGTGACACAGAGAGTACAGACACACAAAAAGAAAATGGGCGTGGAATAAGTATGCTGTCTGTAGATGACAAACAAATAAATACAATAAATGGGCGTGGCTCTGACTCTGGGGGTCGGGCATGCACGAAAAACAATAGGGATCATCTTTAGGGTATAAGGAATAAGTATGTAAAGTTTCAAGATGATCACTTAAGAATTGTGGCCTGTAGGCGACACAGAGACACAGGCAACGGCAATATACATCCACACAGAATGTGAAAGTAAATGCACTAAATGGTAGTTGAAACCAAATTTAGCTGGGTCATTATGATTCTGACCTTGTACAATTCAAATACATGTACCGTACATGTATATACCAGGTCAAAATGTGTGAGAGAGAGACTCAGAAATGGGTTTGAAGCTCCACTTGACACAAACTAGGTCATTTCGGGACTAACATGGTTCAATTTATTTTTATTTCAATAATCTGCATGCGAGCAGGGGGCTTTAGCAGTGAGAGGAAACCGGAGGACCCGGAGAAAACCCACGAGCTTGGACAGGTGATCCTACTCCTTGTCACGTACAAGCTGGGAAGCGAAACCACAACACTTGACTCAATGACAGACTTTATTATTTCATTATTGCAATGTCGAAAACTGTCGATGATATTGGGTTAAAGACTTGGCAGGAAAATACCTCCTTTATTATACATTATACATACATGTTGGTGTTTTTTGGTATTACATTTAGTGTGGTTTTTTTAGTATATTGTGTTTCTAATTTTATAGTGTCTCATAGGGTATTTCTGTGTTTTTCTGCATCAAGAATAGTCACATGATATTGCAACTTTCAGGAAATCCACCTGTAATATGACCTATCTCGTTTTGTCATGGACTGGAGTAGATGTTGGGTCCATGTTTTTGTTACCGGTAATGGTGTCACTGGCCAAAATTAACCTTATCTTCTTATAGACTCAATGATTCGAGAATCTACTAACAATTACATGTATGTTATACTGACTCACTCAATGTCTCAGTCCCAACAAGTGTTGTGAAATTACTCAAGTCAAGCAAATTTGTTTTATAACATGAGACTGAGTATTTCAGTATTATTTTATTGCGACTGAGTCGGTGAGTGACGAGATTTACTGTCTGTGACTGTAGCCTACAGCCTGTAGCCTTCGGGAATTCTATAAAAACTAGCTTCACATAGATTAGACATATATCTATTTCAGAACAAAATGGAACTTTTATATTTAAAATCGTCAAAATGAATCATCAACACATAAAAATAGAAACAAACCTGCAGCAGCCTCAAGTTATTTTGTTTATTAAAACCACCAGCAAAACACAGGACTAAGCGCGTGCGTGTAATCGCGGTTATCTAGACGCTAATTTAGAATATAACAGAGAAACTATGTCGGAGTTAAAGGCGTTTTTATCGACCTGCCAAATCACTTTGAATTTAGTTTCTAAATTCCTTCAAATATGAATTATATATTTTAAGAGAAATGTAGAATTCACCTCAAATAAATGAGCTAATAATTTAATGGGTTATTTGTGAGTTATGTATTTTACATCCGCTTCCACCGAGGTGATATCGCAGACAATGGGTTAATAGAAAAACACTTTAAATATCAAATGAAAACCTTAAATCGAATTGTATCAAGGGGAGGTAATTCTCAGTAATTGGACCAGTTATCCAGTCTCAGACGTAACGTCAAGTAGCCATAACCTGCGTTGGAAAAAACGTCGTCTGCTAGATGCATCAGCATAAAAGCTGGCATTTGTATTAAATAGGAAATGGTATTTACATTTTCCGATATAAAATTTTAGGACAAGCCTAATTTATTCTAAAGGATAATTATTTAATTTGATAGTACGTTTAGTGTATAAAGCTTGTAAGTTGTTGAAATCCGTGGGTAACGGCAGATCGAGAGTAACGCGTCTTGTCAACACGCCTGACTTCTCCGCGAGTTCTGGGCTACAGTTTGTAGTTTGTGTATGTGTATGGTGTGCCGTTCTCCTGCACCATAGATAATACCGTATGATTGCCGACTCATGAATTCTCGACGTTATGTTGCGAAACGCGTGAAACGGCGAGAAAGGTGGTTGATCACTTCCGGTCTTCTGTTCTCGCTGTTTGTTTACTATAGGCCCAGTAGCGATATTTTTATTTAGTGCTTTCTTGTAGTTTAAATGTGGCATCATCTGGTTAAATGGAAACGAGAAATAGAAGGAATGTTCGAGGTAAGAATAAAAATGAATATCTTATAATTTTGATATTATATTGTATTATAAATAAGTATTACATTTCATGAAAATCTCGACACGTGTGTTGCCCAGTTAAGGCAAAGTTTGACAGCTTTGACCTACTTTTAAAAATCGTCAAAATAGAGTTTTCAATTCATTAATTTGTAAAATAATACTTGCAGATCATTAATAAATCGTAAATACATAAAATACAGTTTGGTATGAATAATAACATTGCTGTGCTGGCTATATATAAGCTTTTAATTACACAATTTTTTAAAAATCTTTTGTATTTTCAGCAGAACTGTACTGCCTGGTAGCCTACCTGTCTTTTGTTTGCTACCTAAGGGCCTAGGGGAGTGCCAGCTTGTGAAGCAAATATATTTCATGTTGATTTATTGTGATACTGATAAATATTTGTATGTTTTATTTATGTTATTTACTTCTTTTCATATTGTGTGTGTGTGTGGGTGTGGGGGGGGGGGTATAAATATTGAGACACTAGACACTAATATATTGATAAAGTATTTTATTTTATGTATCTATTTATTTATATTTTTATTTTTTTTTATTTCATTTTTTTTTTTGGGGGGGGGGGGTATTATTATTTTCATTATTTTATTTGTTTTATTTTAATACTCAACAAGGGATTTGGTTTAAATTGTTTGATTGTATTATATCATTATTGATTTTAATTTTGTATAGTTGAATTAAGCAGAATTATATTTAATTTTATGTATTTCAAACATCAGAAAATAAACCATTCAAGCTATGTGTAATGTGTTTGTGTGGTTATGTTGATGGTTAAATAGATTGAGAATTGAAGCCAAATGACCAATTTTCGCGAAAAAGGGATCTGTCAGTTGGTGTTACAGAATTCAGTCAATTTTGCTCCGATATTGATAAGGTTGGTTTTGTTACAATGCTAAGATGTATGGCTTTTCAGGACATAACACGGTTCTGGAGAAAAATTAATATTTAAAAATAGCTGCCGGTCGATATGTAAGGATATGGGTTTACTGTTCCATGTAATTAAATTAATCATTAAAAATATAACCTACAATTTTTGTTTCAATTAAATAAGTTAATCTTAACAATAATATTAGGCTGTTGCATTTTGTGATTTAAATAATTTAATCTTATCAGTTGAGGAAGAAAGAGTTGGTATTTCAATCTAATAAGGTGCCTATAAATTATATAATTATGATTTATTATAATTATGTAACATTAACATTGTCTGATCGCTTTATTTAATAATACATTTATTAATTTATCATAAAAGTATTGTTAATTAAAGATGCGTTTTTAAATGTTAAACAGGCATTATGTAAGAGCTAAATCTGCTTATTGCAGGTCTTTTTTTGGGCCTTAAATGTTATGTAAATTATCAATAAGACATTTATTAACATGAAAAGACCATAATCAACTCTCGATGCCATCTGATTGCTCAGATTTTAAATAGATTAGAACGGTATGGTGGTAAATTTTCAATATATTCAATTTGCATTATCTATTTTTGAAATGTTATAGTTAATAGCAAGAATGACCAGCTCTTTATCTAAATCTTACATAATTCTTCTTCAAATTTATGTCTATTGTTATTGTATTATTTTAATTTAGGACATAAAGAAATATATTTTGGTTCTCGCTTGGATGACATGTTTTAATTTTATTTTTTTTAAAAAAAACCCTAACAAAACAGTCTTGTTAATTACTGCATGTAAATATTTTACCCCGGTTACACGAAGTAATTCTGTAAAAAAATTTGACTAGATCTATAGGCTAATTTGTCAAGTATGCAAACAAGTTAAATGTTAATGACATGAATGGTATTGGATACCGTAATCATATATTCATATAAACAACATGATGAGATAAATGTAGTGCCTTACAATTTTTAAATACTCATCTGTTTCAAACAGCTAAAGACTTCGTGTAGGTATGTTTTGTCAAGCACTATGAACACAATTTTTGCAGAGTTTTGGCGTTCATTATATTTATTTATTTGGTTCCTCTGGAAAAATACATACATCTATTTCAACACCAAAAGTACTTGGCTGTTCTGTTCAAAAGCTTATAGTTCCAAATTTTTAAACAAAACATCTTTCACATGATTTAATTAGCTATTTATTTTTATATCGAAGCCCGAAGAACAGGAAATCAAATTGGTGTGGCCAACATTGAAATATCAGATACCAAGGATGAAGTTGCCTTTATCAACTCTTGTAAATCTTTTAATGTACAGGATTCCTGGAAGCATCTATTTTAGAACAAAAATTCCTTTTCATTGATAACTAAAGCAATAATTCCTTTTTTATTTAATACTAATAGTGTTTTCTTTTTCCTTATATATAATTGTTATATCTACCGAAGCTAATTTAATTTCTCAACAAAGCCTAGATCAAAAAGACTATGAAATAATTGCTTACATTGGGGTGGATTTATATAAGTAAACTTTTTTCCAGATGTGCAAGCTGAAAAAAAAAGTATGTGTATTTTTTTTTTTTTTTTTTTTTTTTTTGGGGGGGGGGGGTCTGCATTCTTACAATAAATAAATGGCTATTTTCTAAAATTATTAATGAGGCCTAGATTGGAAAAGAATTTTGTAGGGATATTTACATCTTTATCAACTAAAGTATACAAACAAAGCTGAATTTATTTTAAAAAATGCACATTTGAATATAAACAAGATTTTTAAAACTGTTCTAATATACCATGTAATTGATAATAAAATGCAACATCTAATTTTATTAATTATACTATAGATAGGCCTATACCGTAGGCCTGTGTGTGGCACAGAGGTGCGGGTTAGTTAGCTCGCAATATAACCTTTTTCCTTTGGCAAATTAAATTGTAGAACATTTTAATTGAAGTATTAGAAAAATAAAAATAATGGTGTTTGAAGTATTATCTCTATATCAAAAATATTTCCTAATTTTAGTGTAAATTGGTACGGTACACGTCATGAATGAAGAAAGGCATTTTTTGCCCATTTGTAACCTTTTTTCAACTTAACGTCACACAGTAGCTATTTAATGTTTTGCAATAATCTAAAAATATTTTGGAAGGAGATATCTTGTTCTTTTTTTTCATATAATTTTTATATACGTGTTCATTTTATTAATTTCATAAACGTAAGTTTCAAAAACGTCAATTTCGCGTGTCACTGTGCGTACGTACTGTCGAAAGCTAGACCGGAAGTAAACAACCCCCCCTGCGCAAAAAAATATGCGCACGAACCAGAACGCAACATCACGTAAAGGGCTAAAGACGAGTCGGCAATCATACGGTATTATCTATGCCTGCACTTAGTCTACTCATGAGTCATAGATAATAAAACGATATTATCTATGATTAAATTAATTAAACATACATTATGCAAGAGCTAAATCTGTCTATTGCAGGTCTTTCTTTAGGCCTGAAATGTTATCTTATTTAATTAACCTATCCAGACCATAATCAACTCTCGATGGCATCGCAAGCCTGCGATCTTTAGTGGATTATGAGCCGATTTACTGCATTTAACTTTCCTTCCCGATTTAACGATTAAATGGATAATCGAGACTATGCTGTTTATCGTACTGACTTTAGTAATGATGATCAAGGCAAGGCGGAAATTTCATTCGCTTAATTCTCGGTTCATAGGGGATCAATCTGATTGAAATTTTCAGCAAGTTGCCTTTACATTATCTAGTTTTTTAACTATTATAATGAGAACTGCCAACTCTTTATCTAATCTCCCATAATGTATCTTTAAATTAAATTATATATCCGACTTTTTCGAGTTCAATAGTGCTGCTGTGTTGTCTATCAGTATCATGCATAATTTTTAATTTAGTAATTCTCTGTAAAGCCACGATAGTATAGAATTTAAACGGGGTACAATAACTAATTACAAATCGGCGTTGACACAGCGACATTATGATTATCAATGACTGTCACAAAAATTTGTTCTCATAAAAAAAAAATAAAAAAAAATAACGTTATCAGAAATCAAGATATCTACTTCAGTCTATAAAAAGCCATTAAGTAACAGAGTAAATAAAATATTGTTTTTATTTCAGGCATCACTATCAGATGATTTATCAAGTTTTGAAGAGAAAAGTTGTGGTAGTTCAGTCGAACAAATGTTAGCTTCCATTATATACTCTTAAAAAAAGTAGGGGATATTGAAATGCAAATATCTATGCAGGTTGTCATATGATAAGCAGTCATGGACACTTGACATGCTTTGAGAGTATGTTCACAGATGAAGAACTTATTGCCCCAACAGAACCACTGAGCTGCACATGCGACACGCAATAGCGCCATACCCGTGGGAGGGGTTCATTGTCAAATTTGACACTTCAAGGAAGGGTTGACGAAACTGCCGCTTGCTGATTTATCCTATCCATGTTTGCTTTCCTATCGGTTCATGCATAATATTTACTGTTTAGCGTATCTTTAATTTAGTGTGTTACGTTTAATTTGATTGGGAGACGTGTTCGTCGACGTCAACGTCAACCGACAACACTGCGTGAATTGGCCGTGGCACTGCAAAAGGAGTGGGTCAGATTGCCCCAAATCTTGATTGGACCGTTGATTAGGAGCATGCCACGACGAATTGCTGTATGTCTGAGGATTGGTGGAGCAATTACTCATTATTAAGCCAAAAAACAAAAATTTCCATTTTCACTTTTGACAGTGTATCTCTTTGCGAGTGAAATGGGGCCGTAAGATAAGCCGCCCATATGAACTGTTTGTGTTCATGTGTAGGGAATTGGCCTGTTATTAACATACACTGGTTACCTCTAATAAAAACAGCAGTGCATTTCCGCATTTTGTATTGTTTCTGAATATCCCCAACTTTTTATTGAAGAGTATATAATAATAAATAACGAACACACATTCATGTTAATTTTAATTATTCTTTAACTATGATTCTGTAAATACTTTATAAAATCCTCATAATGATATGCACGATTAGTCTTAATAAACATACGTATGATACAATTACTCCATTATCCCACTTATTGCAGTCTCTCTCCATATAACTTCATGCTCCATCTTATATATTTAAGTTTACACCCTGCTACTGTCACATTATTTATATAGACACATTTTAGGCCCAACCAGTCCCATCCCTACAAACATAGCTCAACCAGTCCCACCAGCAAACTTAGCTCAACCAGTTCCAGCCCTGCAAAGATAGCTCAACCAGCCCCACCTGCAAACATAGCTCAACCAGTCCCATCCCTGCAAACATATAACTTATGTTTGCTGGGATGGGACTGGTTGAGCATTAAATTGTGTCTATATAAATAATGTGATAGTAGCCAGGTGTAAACTTAAGTATAAGACTAGGTATGTATCATCATTAACCGCTTTCTTTACTGTACAACAAACTAATAACAAGGACAGAACAAGTGTAGCTAATGAATCCTTGTCCTACATTTCTACACCAACAGCTAGGCATACGTCATGCAGTGGGCAATGGGGGAAATTTGACCCCGACAGCAGTGTATCTGCCCAATTTTCATCAAATTCTAACTGCTAAGGGTTCTTTATGTAGGCTCTACGAAGCCTACAACGAATGGATGCTGTTATTCCTTGCTGATCTGCACCAATGACGAGGGGATTCATGGGAAATCAAGTGGGAAAATCCTGAGGAACTTTCTTAGTATATAATATTATAGATACGCTAGATTTATTTTATAGATTTTAATCTTGATTTCCGTTTTTTCCCCCAGGGAGAATCAAACAGAATATGGATCAAATACAAACAATAACTCTGAATACACGGCAGCTACTGATGTAGAATTTTCAGTTGATGTTCAAGAACCTTTTAAAACAACCAGAAAAAGGAAATTAGATGTACGTTTTTATATACTGATATATATATATATATTTATCCTTTTACAAATAGGTCTACTTATTTCAAATGGAAAAACCTTTCAGGATAACCATTTTATGCACACATGTATAATCTCTACTTGCAACTTCAAGTCATCAAGTATTGCTTATGACAAAATCGAGGGATTGTATTGAATGAAGAGGGTGGAATATTGTTCTGAATTACAGGAATAAATTTGAGTGATTTAAGGTAAAAAAAAACCCCGTTTACCCTTCCTGGCAGAACATCGTGATGGTAGATGAAAGTTGGTAGGTAGGATTATAATGTGGTCTAAAATCAGAAGAAACAGAATAAAATTGTTATCTAATTTGAATGCTCTGTCTATTTTTGGATCCCGCATATCACATATTAAATTTGTTTTTGAATAAAGGATGAAGGATTTGTAACACCAGCAACTCCAGATATCCCAAAGTCATCTAGTAAATATGAGATGCCATCTGGCAATGCCGAGATGCAGAGGAATGGTGGTAAGTAAACGATAAAGTTGAGGTTCCTTAAACCCTTTGAGGTCCAAAATGTTTAAACTGTTTAGATTAGTTTTTTGATTTAGAGAGAGAGAGAGGGGGCGGGAGGGAGAAATGAGGTTTAAGATCCACTCGACACAAACTAGGTCATTTTGGGATTAACATAAGATTTAATCTTAAATCAATAATTTGCTTGTTCCTGTAGGTAGTCATTAGCAATGGGAGGATACAGGAGGACCTGGAGAAAAACAACAGCTTTGGTAGGATTTGTCACTGCTTGTCACTTACAGGCGGGGAATCAAAACCACTTCAGTCAATGACGGACCTTAGACCATCAGATTCCCCCCTCCCCACCCTTTTAATTAGGGTTTGAAATTATCTAGACTAGATGCCAGTTATATATTCAGTGGGTGCCAATTCCTCAGAACAGGCACTATGTGAATGCACGATTGTTATTTAAAGGATTTTGAGATTATATTTTGAAACTAGACGAAGGGGTTCCTGTTGATTTTTATTAGTCTAAGAGTTCAGCTGAATATTCAGAAGTTTCCTCACAATCTCTGAATAACTGTAGAAATGTCAATTGACGATCCCATTCTTTATCCGTAGTCTCACATATCAGCGAGCAAGTCGCTGGCTTTTTAACCAGGAGGTGCCGGGTTCGATCTCGGAGTTGACCGACAGATGTCTCAGGATTTTCAGCCTGTTGCCTGACAATGAAAATCAAGTCCTGTGGATGGAATGCAAAATTGAGTCCACTTGCTAGTGTACTCGTTGGTGTGCGTCTAAAAGCTGCTGCCTGGGAAATGTTTCCATGATAGCACATGCCCTTTTTCATTAGCCCAGTAGTTGGTGCAAAAGAGTAGGGTTTTACCCCCAATCACATAATTTCATTTCTCTACAAGTACCTCTAATATTAACATTTTATTTTCCTTTTGTTCGATTAATTTCTTCTTAGGCAATCATGATTAGTTTTCTCTTCTTTCAGATTATTTAGAATATTATGATTATGAAAAAGGGGATGCGGGCGGAGGGACAGGTTTTGAGGAAGAAAATCCCCTTTATAAAACTCAGGTTTATAAAACAGCTGCAGATTTAATTAAAGGTAATGAACGAGGAAGGCTTTCTCAATAGGGTCTGGAAAATGATTCCACGATTAGGTCTCAGGTTGTATTCCCTTCAGTGTCGGCTCTCGGCAGCCAAGTGATCAGTCGATGTAACAAGGGTTGCCTCCCACCTCTTAGACCCCAGTGCCCAAGCGAATATTTAACAAAAAAATGTTATTCTTTTAAAACCAATTGATGCCATTCAATTTAACTATCCAGTCAGATTGTGTGCAAAATTTGAGATCAATCCACTATTTGTTTTTAGCAAGGTGCAGTTAAAACATATAGAATTTGCAGAAACATATTGAAGGTGATTAGTCCTCGCTCATGCTGACTGCATAGCTCTAAATTAATTTTCTTGGGAAGTCAGAATGGCTCTTAACACCCCCCCCCCCAGCAAAATGATAGGCCCTACATTTTAAACATTTGTTTAATTGTGTTTAATTTATTTAAATGAAGCACAAAATGTGATTTTTTTTTTCAGATATTGCTGAAGAAAGTAAAATGACGACGTTGGAATGGTCAAGTGAACTTAGGTGAATTATTTTATCTGTTATGAAATTATTAATCTGGGTCCAGTTAATTAAGATCATAATAAGTTCAGGGTTCTGTGTTTTAGTTCATGATGTTTTCTACTTGACAACTTTAAATCCAATCCAGTCTTTCCCTGTAGTTTTATTTGGAAAATGATAAAAATGTTGGACAAGTTAACTTTACTGAAAGGACTCTCTTTGTAACTCATTTAATTATTGCATTTACAAAGTAGGCTAAATGTAATAAAATGTTATAGGACAAGTTGAAAGATATTGACAGGACTCTTTTTGTAACTCATTTAATTATTACATTAACAAAGTAGTCTAAATGTAATAAAATGATATTAAGTTGAATTTTGTAAACTCATTTCAGTGAAAGTGAAACCTTTGAATCGTTTTGTGCTTCAAGATTAGATCGTTTGGTGACTGACGCTAAAGACCTAGAGGAATCACTGAACAAACAGAAAGATTTGCTACGTAAACGACTTGGATTTATATCACGAACACTACAAGATATCTGAATCTTGACAAGTTCAATCCAGGGAAAACACGTACGATGCAAGATGTATAAAAGATTGACCCATATCCTTGAAATACAAAAAGATGCAGTGCCAGTTATTAGAGAACCTGTCTAGGATGAAAGAACTGAATACAGGGTATAAAGATATTAAAATATTATCAAAAAAAATAATGATTTATTCAAATCTTTGAAAACTGAGTGTATTGTTTAATTTGTTTTGCCTTTATTGGTTTTTGTATGCCCACAAAATTATCATTCTCGGAGTGCATTGTTGTTAAACTTTACACACTACAGTTGTTGTTAACTTGTTTTCAAATTTACTGGTATTGATCATTTAGTGGTTAAAGGGAAAATTCTAAATTTTTTCAATGCATATCACAGTTATTTCTTCATTTAGAGTTAGTTCGTCATGCAATGTTTTAAAGGTCAGTGGGATGGCAAATTTTCTTCTGATCATATTTTGAATTTTAAAGCTTGTGAAAATGATGCAAGAACAATATTCTGGATGGAACACTATGGAAGGAGTAATCTGAACATACTGAATGCTATACGCTATGGAGATCTCGACAAAATTTTTTGAAACTTGTCAATATAGAATTCTCATTCTATTCATAATGTTTTTTTTATGTTCACATCTTTACTTTGAAAGTTTAGTACATAATTCATAATATATTTTCTTGCTATGAGAAATTTGTTGGCACTACATGTAATTCTAGATTCACCAGTAGCATAGGCGACTTTGGGGTCAGATAATCCCTTGTCTATGTCAAGTTTATACAGGTATAATATGATTCACCAATACTGGTACTAGTTATAAGTTGGCCAGTGCTGTTAGATGTATTTCTGGTAAATATTGACCCAAGTGAAAATAAGACCTTTTTCCATTAGACCCTGGTGTTATTTATGTGTGTTATATTTTATTTATTAATTGTTAACCTTATTTAACTGGACATTCCATTGTAAAATATTTGTAAATTACATGAATTGTACCCATCTGTATATTATTTTCTTTATGAATTGATAAAATATATTGAACCAAAATATGTAAATTATTTCATTTGATCTGATTGATAAAGAGGCATACTTTCAACCATACTTACATATCATATTCATAAAAACCTCAGCCTCCCCTAAATATCAATGGACACCTTGGCCATTATACTGCTCTAAGTCCAACTACTGGTATTTGCAAACTATTATAGGTACTTCAAGTAATTTCTCATTGTGTGTGTACTGGCTTACTCTTATTTGTCATTTAGAGCTCCAAGGAATCTTACAAAAATACACATTTCAGAATTTAATCCAAAAAAACAAAACAAAAATAAAAATAGAAAAAAACAACAAATGAAATTAACAGAAGACAAGCTAATATAAAAAACTTAAAGCTTGGTACTTAAAACTATAACAAGTCAGAATATCAATAAAAAAAACATTGAAAACAAAAATACAATGGACAGGATTCTCATTAGGAATCATAGAAATTACAGACCATTATTAGGCATTTCCAGATTACTCCCACTTTCAAATGACTTCACATAATATCACTGTAAATTCTATACATCATATAGTTACATGGTATTTATATAACCAAAGAAAAATCTTACAAATTAAGATTCAAAGTACTTACTCTGAAATTAATTATGAGTGATAAATGTGAAATCAAAAGATATTTGGGAGCAGAGGCAATTCCAAAATTGACAACCAAATTCAATAAATAACCATGATACAAATTCCCGATATATTACCTTCTTAAGAGAAGTTTGCGCCATAAATATTTTCATACAGTGGTGCTTTCAAACTACCAAGAAAAATATACTTGTTGCTAAAAACATGATATCTTGTGAGATATTTCAATCTCAGCACATTTATACAATTATTAACCCCTGTAGGTGAAAATATGAATAATGTGTTATTCTACTTGTAAGTTTTTGATGGGGGCACTACTATACGATGTTGATATTACACTGTTGTTCAGTTTGTAATATTTAACTTTATTAATTTATTTTGGGCTACAAGTGCAATATGTATCTACATGTACAATTCTAATTTTCCTGGTAATTGGAAACATAAGTCAGACAATACTGGGTTGATCTAATTATACATCAGTGAACAAATCTCACAACATAGATTATCTTTGGTTTGATTTTTAAACTAGATATAAATAATTGAAATCTCTTATGGCATTGATGATGTGAATAATATGAAATTGTAATATAAGAATGCCGTTTACACTGGAAAACTGAACACATTAAAATGAAATGGATTTAATGAATATGTACAAAAATATTGAACAAAATAAAATAACTGTAATATTTATTTCCCAGTTCACTGAGTTATTTACTGCTCATGATATGAACTAATTATCTACTATTTCCCAGTAATTAATCCAACTTTTTTCAATTGTACTATGGCATACAGAAATTAGGGCTGGCTAGCCTATAGCAGATTCAGAATAGATGTAATCTCATTGCAAAACATGCAGGCACCTCAGAGGTACAATTATTACCGGTATATCTCTTTTTAATGCATGGCCCAATAAAACATAATTGTTGAATTATTGTCAATATAAACAAAAGGTTCTCTCAAGCAATAATATCAATAAAACTAGTTGCTATATTAACCTCTGTGTACCTTTGACATGTCAAGGCTATATTTTCTGAAATCCGATATAAGCTACACCGCCCCACCCCCACCCCCGATTATTGTATGTCATAGGCGTGTTTGAAGAAACTGAAATCATCATCTTTGTGACAGACATCATTCAGAGATCGGTGAGTTGGAGACTTCACCCTGGAAGCTTTCTGTTTAGCTGAAGAAAAAAAAAGAGACAAAAGATAGGTTGTCAGTTAATGCAACATATACCCATCAGCAGTTTGTGGTTGCTGTAGAGTCAATTTAGACACTACAGAACCAGTGTGTGCCAGGGAAGATACACCCACATTTTGCAATAGATGGATAAAGAACAAGCTTAGAAAAAAAGCAATTTTCCGTACAATCAGGTGTTATAGTATGAAAGGAAAAAATATCAAGGGGAATGAGAGATTTGGGATATAAAGTTATTTTTAAATTTCAGCAAAATCAGATAAAAATTGTGACTTCTAGAGGGTCTCCAACAAAATTGGAACTCAACCGTCATTATATTTATTAGGGAGTAACGGTGATACATTTAAACGTTTTTTAAAATCGGTTAAAAAGTTGTGTCCACAAACTAAAAACGTGATTTTCGTACAATCAGGGGTCATAATCCAGGAAGTTACTGTCCCATATGCACAAATATTGAAAGGGCCCAAAATCTTTGTATTATAATCACATATATCAAGTTTCTTCAAAATCGGGTACAAATTGTGACTTCTAGACTGTCCACAACCTTGGTATTACATATTTTTACACCGAGCAGCCATTTTGTCTGGCAGTTTGGGTAAGATTTTTTATGAAATTTGAACTGAACCTTCATTGATGTGCAACGGTGATATATTTAAACTTTTTTTAAAAATTGAATTCAAATTGTAACTTCTAGTGGGTCCACAAGCTAAAAATGCGATTATTCGAATAATCAGGGGCCATAATCCAGGAAGTTATGTTCGGATATGTGTGATTATCGAAATGATCCAAGATCTTTGTGATATCAATATAAGTTTAAAGTTGCAGCAAAATTGGATCAAAACTGTGGCCTCTAGAGGGTCCACGCCCTTGATATACACTATTTGCGTATGAGGGGCGGCCATTTTGTCTGGCAGTTTTGGTCCGATTTTCACGAAATTCAAACTCAACCATCATTACAGTTCAACAGTGATATATTCAAATGTTTTTTTTTTTAAATCAGATAAAAATGTTATTTTTCGTAAAATCAAAAGCCATAATTCAGGAAGTTACGATCCAATATGTGCGAATATCGAAAAGAATCAAGATCTTTGGGTTATAAACATGTATTTCAAGTTTTATCAAAATCAGATCACTAAAAGGTCCACAACCTTGATATACCATATTTTTACACTATTTGCATATGGGAGGCAGCCATTTGTCTGGCAGTTTCAGTCCGATTTTCATGAAATCAGTTAAAATTTGTGGACTCTAGAGGGTCCACAAGCTATAATGGCGATTTTTCGTACAATTAGAGGCCATAATCCAAGAAGTTACGGTCCAATATGTGTGAATATCGAAAGGAACAGAGATCTCTGGGTAATAAATATGCATTTTAAGTGTTATCAAAGTCAGATAAAAATTGTAACCTCTAGAGGATTGAGAAGATAAAAACATGATTTTTCGTACAATCAGGGGTCATAATCCATGAAGTCATGGTTCGATACATACCAATTTGAAAGGATCTGAAATCTTTGGGATATAAACCTACATTTCAAATTTCGTCAAAATCGGATAAAAATTGTGACCTGTGTATTGTCGACAAACTAATTGTGGACGGACAGACAGATGGACGGACGGACAGGGGCGACGACAATATACGTCCACATAAAAATGATTCAGATTTGTGACAACCGATCAGATTTATATCCTCTCAATGTTTTTGAAGTCATCTGTCGGTACAGGCCAGACATAACAATCATTTCTAAAAATTGTACTATACCTTTCTGAATGGAGTTTTCAACTTCTTTTTTTAATTGGCAATTAGTTGCATGTTCATTTGTAAGTTCTGGAAAAAATAGGATAAGATAATATAAAAGTTTTTGACAGAAAATGAAGATTGTTGGATACCCCTACCTCCTCCACACAGTCCTGGACCATTAAATTTTTTTATTAAAAGAGAGAGTTTAACGTCCACCCGACACAACGTAACCCATTTTGGGACTAACAATATGGTTTTTAATTTTATTTCAATAATTTGCTTCCGCATAGGGGTCAGCAGTGATAGGAAATCGGAGGACCCAGAGCTAGAAAACCCATGTGGTTGGACAGGTGCCCCTACTGCTTGTCATGTACAAGCAGGGAATCAAAATCACACCACTTGACTCCATGACAGTCCTTATGGTTCAATGCGCATGTGTTAACCAATAAGACATCTGATCCCCCAGTAAATATTGAACTTAGATTTTATTTTATCCCACAGGTGGATAAAAAAAAGGGCATTTGATATTTTGTATAAAGACTTGTGCATCTTTTTGTCTAGAGACTTGGGGGAACCTTAAAGGGCTAATCCCGATAATATTTTCGAGAATAAAACTGCCTAATTTTGTGTTGAAATCCCTTAAAATCCTCTACCCTAGGCCCGAGCAACTAACTCGATATGTGATACGTTTTCAAACAACTTAAACCCGTCAGTCTTCATCTGGAAATGGAGACCGGTGGCCCAAGCTGTATTATGCTGTGTCTTGATAAAACTAGACTTTTATTTTATAAAAATAATGTGTAGGTGAAATTAACCTTTCGTTATCAAGTACAGCACATAGGTCATTCACTATATAGACCTCTCAAGGAACGGGAATCAATGATCGGGTCACCCAACGAAAAAACTGACTTGAAATCTTAAAAGGGTTATGTGTCCGGATAAGCAGTTTTGGCGTTCACGTCCAAACGACTCAATATTCTGAGCTGAAATTTTCATACGATGTAAATACACCATTCCTCTATATTTTGGCGCTTAAATTTCATACGTAATCAGACTTTTATTTCTGAGACTCTGTTCAAATCGGGATAGTCCCTTTAATGTATACCTACCAGTTACAATTGCTGTCAGTTCTTCTGATATTAATCCTTCTTCCTCTTTTTTCTTTAACTCATCCTGAAGTGACCTCAAATATCTAACACAAAAAAAAGTTAACTAGAGAAAAAATTTCTTTTTATTAAAAAATATGGTTAATTTGTGCAAAATTATAATAAAAGTAATTGTTTAAACAATATTTTGTTTAATATTTGAAATTAAAAACATGAATCAAAATTCAATATTGGTCTATTACAAATTACAATTTATATTGGTGTTGTTATTTTGCTGTGAAAATATGGGATCCTAATATCCAATATTTAAAACATAATAAACATTTAAAAATAAGTACACAAGTCATGTATTCTAAGAAAAACATATCCTACAAGACAATGCAGAAATAATTAGTGATTCTCAAACGACAAAATAATAATAATAATAAAAAATCCTGTAGAATGGACTAAGCAGGCGTAAATGATGGAAGTTCAATTTGGACTGTTCACATATTTCAAATATAATTGATAGAAATTAACATAAGACATTTTTAAATTGAATATAAATCACTTCATATACATTCGTTTTACATTAAACATACATTATGCAAGAGCTAATTCTGATTATTGCAAGTCTTTATTTAGGCTTCAGATGTCATAGAAATTATAAATTAGATCTTTATTTACACAACAAGCACACAATCACTGTAGACCCACGGATGGCTTGGATTCAGCTTGGATATAAACAGGATTTCGTTGACTGATTTAATTTTAATTGGCGTTGTGAGCGGAGATTAACCGTTACGTTGACGTCATACACCCGGATCGAGGCTAAATGATAGAGTGTACGAAGCGAGGCCGCTGTTGAGCGATGCCTTAACAAATGACATCTAAACTATTTAAAGTGCAATAAACTAAACACAGGTAATGACAAATTATACAAGTCCTGGAGACCGTGTGATGACTAATACAGACAGACAGGTCTTCTGTCTTAATAATATCAATAAAAATATTTTTATTTCCCCAATAGGCACGACGCCACTGGTGTATACCTATAGATTTATCATAATTGTATTATAATATTATGTCCTATATTCAATTGATTTAATGCATGTCCAAAATACAAGTAAGAATGAAAATTTACCCTCTCACTCATTTTGTCCAATTGTTATAAAAATCCAAAAAGGTAAAACACAAATTCAGATATGATGACAGCAGACAAAAGACAGCAGAGATTATGTAGGTGGAGTTAACGCCTGTCAATCAAACGATCGGCCATACAAAGAATCGGTGAAGATGGAATTCAAGCCCATTTCTAGTCAAAAATTACACTGGTGATAACTATGTTCAGAATAAAGTAATTTGACTGAAATTTTCAATATATTCTTCTTTCATCATCTATTTTTGAACTGTTATAGCAAGAATGGCTAACTCCTTATAAAAATCTCCCATAATGTATCTTTAAAGATACATTATGGGAGATTAGATAGAGAGCTGGCAGTTCTCACTATAATAGTTAAAAACTAGATAATGTAAAGGGAATTTGCTGAAAATTTCAGTCAAATTGATCCACCCTGAACCGAGTATTTAGCGATTGAATTTTGGGCCTAGCCTCGATCATCATTACTAAAAAAACATTGATTATCCATTTTTTTGATTTAATCAGAAGCAGAAGACTGGGTTCTAATTCAGTGAATATCGCAGGCTAGCAATGCCATCAAAAGTTGATTATGGCCTGGATCAGTTAATTAATGTCTAATTAATAATTTAGAAAACATTTCAGCCAATTTCAGGCCTAAAGAAAGACCTGCAATTGGTAGATTTAGCTCTTGCATAACGTATGTTTATTATGTGCTTTTAGACCCATTTTCTTCTATTTTAAGTTACAAAAAATAGAGCCATATACCATTAAAGTATATTGCTGTTCTCGCATCCATTCATACGTCATTCGACCAACACATGAAGCGCTCATTACTTAAGGAAACAACAAGCGGAAAGGTTGCCAATTAGTGACACCTTTATATTTTTGTACTGTGCATGCCTGATGTTTTATTTCAGGAAATCCAGTATACTTTTCTTGGAAATATCTACCTTATAAATACTTCCATGGGAATACATCTTTAAGCTTTCAATAATGTTAACTGTAAATAAACGTGATCTAAATTGGCTGGCTCGCTAGTCTGGAGGTTGCAGGATCGCTCCCGGTGTTGACCGAGAAAGTTCATCAGGATTTTTCGGGGTGGTTTCCCCTTGTCAGTGCTACTATGGAGGGCCTATAAAAACAGCCGTCTAGTTGTTCGGATGGCACAAACAAACAAACGAGGCTCTGTGTACACATTGGCGTGCACGTAAAAGATCTCTTGGCAGTTAGAATTCAACATGAGAGTAGGCCACAGTGCTGCAGTCAGGGCAAAAATTTCCCTTGTAGTACACTCACTATACTATATGGTGTATGCCATCTTCATTAGCCCAGTCAGAGCAAAATAGTAGGACGTTAAAACCCCATTTCATTTCATCTAAATTGCCAGGATGCATGTGTAATAACAAACCTGTGTTCTCTGCCATTTTCTATTTGTATCCCTTTTAAATCTAAGATGGCTTTTTCGAGTTGTCGTCGTATTTCTTGATTTTCCACAAACAGGAAACTCTTATTCTGTTGTAGTGTATTGTCTTGAAGTGGACATCGATCAGCACTTCTGACAAGATTAAAACAGAAAAAGATAAATGAGAAAAACCATCACTTTTTATAAAATAGCCATGTAAAGCTCTGAAATACGCCCAAACAGCAGCATTGTATCTGAAAGGAAAACTTGGATTTTGAGCAAATTTGACGAAATTTGTTAAAAACTAAAGCATCTAACGCACAAGGGTTTTTGTCAAAATGGGGATAACTCCAGAATAAAAGTCGCAGAAAGTTGAATATTGCTAGGGTTCATCCTCTTATGACCTCAATGCTTCCAGCCAAATTTGAAGCAGAAATGTTCCTTAGACCAATATAATCTTTGACTGTCCATATGACAATGAAGATTTGTACCTGTCAACACTATTAGATAGTTGAAGAACTTGTAGTTTAACTGTATTCAACAGTTGCTTCATTAAACCATATTCACTCTTTAGTCTTTTAGCTATGATCTGAAAAAATATACACAAAAAACTACTACAGTATGGAATGAAAATATACACTAATTACTAAACTACTACAGTATGGAATAAAAATATACACAAAACTACTACAGTATGGAATGAAAATATACACAAAACTACTACAGTATGGAATGAAAACTAAGGTGAAGAATGGTGTCACCAGACATTCTAATTAACTACTAATGAGATCAAGATAGGGAGTGGTTATTTGCCTTTTACTACTAACACCGTTCGACTTTCAGGGAATGTAGCTCGTCGACACGTGTTCTTTAAGTATCAGAAATGAATACAGATTCTTGGAATGGATCTTCAACACTTTATTTCAGCAGCAAATAATTAACAGCAACAATTTAACAACTAGTATAGGTTCCCTAAGCTGGTCTCTCCAACTAATGAATATCTTCTTACATACATTTGTCTATTTATAAAAATCAGTTACTTAGAAAGTGTTGACATAAACATATAATTATCGAAGGATTAAGACCTATAAGGCATTTAAAACAATAGTAAGAAGAGACTTAACAGATCAACCACGTTGCCAGCATGTCATAATTTGACTGACAGGTTAATTGCTGTATGACTAACCAAGCATTAATGAAAATTAAAATATATACTTGAAATTTAAAACAGAATTGACAAATAATAAAATAACAAAACAACATATGACCTAGACATCGGTCATACTACAATGGAAATAGTTTTTTGCCACCCAAATTAAACAACAAATATGTTGTTCTTAGATATATTTGCTTTTTGCAGTCTCTAAGTCTAAATTGTTCATAAAAATATTATAAAATATCAAAATCGTAGTTTTATTCACTGCCCATCCAAATTAAAGAGGCATATATGCCAGAGCTACTGTGACTGATGCAGTGCATTATTCTGGCTTCGATTAAATATTACGGATAATAAATTATCATTTATTTTTTTAGACATGACAGTCCAATAATCTGTTGCCCATTGGATTAGACAATGCTTGCAATACATGTAATATGTATCTGTGTTAAATGATATTCATCCTCCCAAGCCAAAATGTTTCAAAAATACATGATCTCGACATCACTCACAGGGTGTAAACCCGAGTCCTCCAGAATAGGCCTTGCGAGCCAGCGTCTTCACCAATCACTGTGCCACCCCGACTACTGTCCTGTTTTGTATAATAATAATATGTAGGCCTAGACGGCCACCTCTTTCTAACTTTCTTCTCTAAGCCTCCTTTAGGCACATACATATCGATCTTGTTTGGGAGGGGTCTGTTTATTAGGGGCCTGTATATTCAATTTGCTGGTAGCCTATAGTATAAGCTAAATATTGGCAAATTGATCAATTATAAAATAGGGGCCTAACTAGAAAGAATTGGCCTACACACGTGTCACACAAAATTTCATAATTTGGCGGACATGTTACGTGAATGTTGTCGTTGATTGACATCGTTTTATAATTCCTTCGTTTCTATAAATAAACAAAGACCTGGAAGCATAGGTCTGTAACACCTACTTTGGTTTGAAAACTCATCACGTTAGGTGAAGAATCATTTGATTTTACCGCCGTTTCTACGTCAATGACCGTTTCCATTCTCTGCGATGTCATCGGTAATGGCCACGTGACAAATAACACGCCGGTAACTTCGGTTAGCAACTTTCTCCGGCAACTTTTTTTTTTTTGATTTAATTAAATATCACGAATTTCAATTAATCAATGTGTATTTTAGAATAATATTTACTACATAAAACTCAGACCCGAGTAAATAACAGTTATTTCGACGACAAAGTTCAACCAAAATTGGCAAAGTCGCTAATCGAACTCGGCCAAAACAACGGTTGTCTCCCTTGAGTCGTTTCTTCGACATTAAAGGAGTAAAATTGGGTTTGCGGTTTAGCGGCAAATTTGTGCGTGAAGAGAAAAAGTAATCTAAAAGTTAAAGGTGAAGGAAAGTGAACTTCTGGGCTTACGTAATCATTCTCCCAATCTTTTAAAGAAGCTTTACCTCTAACTCAATATTTTCCATAATAACATTAAAGGGACAATAACACTCTTGCTGGCTTGAAAGCTCCAGAAAATAAATAATATCTCTATCTAACTAAGTACTAGATGTTTAAGTGTCCTACCTGTTGTGTAAATTATCCATTACATCCTATTTTACTTGTCCAGAGGGTTCGAAAATATTTTTAAATCGAAGTTTCATTTGAAAAGGTTTACGTTAGACGTTTCAAACCATTATTTTGAATTTTTCAAAATTTTTAAATAAGGTGTGTTAAGATGAAATTTGTATCATCAATTAATTGAAATATTCTAAAATAGTACAATTTGTTGACCAGAATAAAGATTGGGACATATTATTCAGTTACAACAAGAGTGGTATTGAGCCTTTAAAGGAGCTAAATCGCTAACATTTGGGACCTAGAAATTGACAAAAGTGGGTCGCAGCGCATATACTGTAAACTGTAATATGAATGTATATAAACTGATTTACATTCAATGGTTTCCGTTTTTACTCCAATTTTAAATCAGTTATGTTCGGCGAAATAAGTCAGCAGTCTCAAGCGAGTGCAAATTTCTAGCGTCTGGTTATTCCAGTCTACATATGCCGTTTGATTTGGTGCAATGTGTCTAGCCTCGTCCCTCGAGTCTCTTGATACAACTGGGACTGAAGCGCATTATGGTACACAATTCGTGTACCAGTGGTAAAATATTTATTTTGTCTAACTATTGGATATCAAAAGCCCATCTTTTTCCGGTAAGATCACAACATGAATGTTGATTTAATTTGACAAATAAATCGTGTTTTCAATGTTGAAGATTTTGGATGATATTGAGTTAGAGACTTAGCTCCTTTAAACCAAGCACGCACAGTCCAAAGAATTCATTTTTGACAACATGAACCCCATACTGATACATTGGACCCATAAATGATACATCTCCCACCCCAAAGTGACAATCGGATCAATCCAATTTTACATTTGAATTGATCTGCCATTAGTATAGTACGCGAGTCACAAGCGGTTGTTTATGTTTTGTTCAGAGACCGTTCTCAAAGGAACTACACGACTGGTTACACAAAACAGAAATATGAATTAAATTTTCATTCATAAAATTTTGATTTAAGAAAAACAGTTCTGAATCAGCCAAGGTCCAAATCAGTGTATATACCGTTGATCTTCCCATTAGGCGTACATAGTGATTTTGGTGTCTTTTTTTGTCCCCCGCCTTTCGAAGAAAGCAGGGGACTATTAAAATGGGTTCGTCCGTCTGTCTGTCCGTCTGTCCGTCCGTCCGTCTGTCCGTCCGTCTGTCTGTCCGTCACACTTTTTGGGACACAATAACTCTCTTCCTAATTGAGCTAGAATGTTCAAACTTGGTGTATGTGTTTATTAGGTCAATGCCTTGATGGAGTTCGAAGATGAGCATTTTCCGCTTAGGGTAAGCAGAGATAAGCAATTTGATTGGTTGATGCTTTGGGACACGATAACTCTCTTCCTAATTGGGCTAGAATGTTCAAACTTGGTGTATGTGTTGATTAGGCCAATGCCTTGATGGAGTTCGAAGATGAGCATTTTCCGCTTAGGGTAAGCAGAGATAAGCAATTTGATTGGTTGATGCTTTGGGACACGATAACTTTTAATTGAGCTAGAATGTTCAAACTTGGTGTATGTGTTTATTAGGTCAATGCCTCGATGGAGTTCGAAGATGAGCATTTTCCGCTTAGGGTAAGCAGAGATAAGCAATTTGATTGGTTGATACTTTGGGGCACGATAACTCTCTTCCTAATTGAGCTAGAATGTTCAAACTTGGTGTATGTGTTGATTAGGTCAATGCCTTGATGGAGTTCGAAAATGAGCATTTTCCCCTTAGGGTAAGCAGAGATAAGCAATTTGATTGGTTGATGCTTTGGGACACGATAACTTTAGTTCTAATTAAGTGAGATTGATGAAACTTGGTGTATAGTTTCATGACAGTAATACCTTGACTAAGTTTGATAATGAGCATTTTCTGCTCAGGGTAAGCAGCAATTTGATTGGTTGATACTTTGGGGCACGATAACTCTCTTCCTAATTGAGCTAGAATGTTCAAACTTGGTGTATGTGTTGATTAGGTCAATGCCTTGATGGAGTTCGAAGATGAGCATTTTCCGCTTAGGGTAAGCAGAGATAAGCAATTTGATTGGTTGATGCTTTGGGACACGATAACTTTAGTTCTAATTAAGTGAGATTGATGAAACTTGGTGTATAGTTTCATTACAGTAATACCTTGACTAAGTTTGATAATGAGCATTTTCTGCTCAGGGTAAGCAGAGCGATACGCAATTTGATTGGTCGAGACTTTGGAAAACAATAACTCTCCTACTTTGATTGTTAGACTATAAGTAAAGATATACTGTTTGATTGTTCAATACTTTGTAAAAGATAATTTGTGATAAATTTATATGTGTCCTCTAATTATTTTCCTATTTCGGCGGGGGACATCAGCCTCACTGTTGGCTTGTCAACATAATTATGGGCTTCTTAATCACATTTTTAAACGAGTTAAATTTTTCTATAATTTTCCTAAACCTGTTATGCAATGTAGATTAGTTTAACCATTCGTCATGGAAATGGAAATGAGAACTTCCAATTGTAACTTGTCTAGTAATATTTTCAGATTATAGCCTAATCATGGGTAGAAGAAAGTCTACAAAATCACCTTCAAAGGAATCAGAAGAGTTGGAAATTGCGGGTGATGAAAGTCCTATAGCTCTTGTGCAGATGACTTTACGACAGAGACTATCACAGTTTTCTAGTCCATTATCTATAACAGGATTAGAAAAGGAAAAAAAGTAGGTGGTTGGATATTTTTCTTACCTTTGTTGAAAATCCAGTCATGCAAAAAGGTTTTGTATTAGAATTTTTGTATCTGCTGACATCGATTTCCTGACACAACCAAATATTTCTTGATCTCATCTTCTTAATGATAATAAAACATTTTTTTTTAATCCGTCCTCTATATTTTAAATACTTCAGGGTTTTTTTTTGTGTGTTACAGACAACTATATGATCTGATACACAGAACATCTACCACCGGTGAAAGTAATTCTGTTTTAGTTATTGGACCTCGAGGTGCTGGCAAGTCAATGGTAAAAATACAAATTATTTCCAAAAGCTGATTATTAGCTTTGTAGCTTTGTGTTACTTGCTGTTAAATTAACTGGGTAATTAGGGTTTGGGACTATGGTTAATCTTTATACAGGAGCAAAACTGGGTCTCGGTCCAAACATCTGACATGCATTGCCATTGTTTAGATGACTTTATCCCACTTACTGCTTCTTGTCCATGATAATTTGGCAGATGTATACAAAGAAAATATCCGATGATGGCTTGGCTAACTTTGATAGAAACTGCTCTGTCTTCCCTCCCCCTCCACCTCCACCTTTCAAGTGGTGCCCACAGCATCTGCTATACCACTCATGATCTTCTATGCCCTTGACAAAAATTCAGTAGTGCACTTTTTATGCTAAGCAGATGCACCTTTTTTGTGAATGTATGTTTAAACTTTAAAGCAACTCATACTGCTCTGATTAAATAATGAAAAGAATTTATACCATTGAGTGTTGGGTGGATGTTAAATTCTGATTCTCAGACTACCCTATTGATGTTGATTGGCAGCTCAGGTTTATTTCTCTGTGTTTTGTATTTAAGTTGTTAAAAACAGTTCTCAGTGAGTTGGGTGCAGAAAAAGATTTCAAACAGAATTTACTTCAAGTTCATTTAAATGGTAGGTTTGTTGATGTTAAACCAGAATTTTTTACCTTGACCTTCGTTATCTTGGTTTTCTTCTACATACTAATCATAGATTGAATCTGTGATCTGTGCCAGCTAAAGAAAAGGCTCATACTCCTGAATGGGATTATTATTAGATGATTATTTTGTTTTCTAATTAACTATTTAAATTAGCACCATAAACACCCGTAACTACTGCTCCCTCTAGCACCTCAAACTGACCAAATCATGTGAATAGACGTGAACTATTTAAAGATTATATATGTACTAGATATGTGACATGGGAACTTTGAGACTCTCGAGAGCAATGGTTTCAAATTCAACAAGACAGTGACTTTGGAGCAAGTCTAGTATAGTATATTAGAACATGTTATCCAGTCTACTGACAAAAATTGATAATTGTTATCACTCAGGATATAGCGACTATGCATTTGTTTGCTTAATTTTAAAATGCATAATTCTGTGGATGATAATTATCCTGTGACCTAGTGATGAGAAAGAAACAAATAAAAATTAAACATTCTGAGGATGTGATGGAAAAAGCAGTATTTAATATTTTAGCACTGTGCTTACATACATAGTCAATTTCAGATAGGACAATTTGTTAAAGTGGCATTATGGAAGACTAGGTAAAGAGCTGACAGTTCATGCTAATAGTTAAACAATAGGTAATGTAAAGGGGATATGCCGAAATTTCAATCAAATTACTTCACTTCAAGTCGAGAAATCCTGATTTTAATAACACTGTAGCCTTGATTGTCATTGTTACCGTTGTTACGATAATGGCATTGAGGGTTGATTATGGTCGTGTCATGTTAATAAATGTCTAATTAATAGTTTATATAACATTTAAGGCCTAAAGAAACACCTGCAATAGGCAGATTTAGCTCTTGTATAATGCCTGTTTATTTGAGAGAATAAATTTTTATATAAGAGAATTTCTGTAAAAAGTCATGAATAAACCAACGATTAGATAAATCAAGAACCTTGAAATGTGATGTTTGTGAGAAGTCATAAAGGATAGTGATCCCTTGACGTAATAAAATCACATAAATAAAAACCACACTTCCTAAATTTTGTGGATGAATGATGGTTTTAGAACCAGAATGTCTTTTTAGATGGCCTTATAATTAGAGACTATTTGTATTACAGGTTTATTACAGACAGATGATAGAATCGCATTAAAAGAAATAACTAGACAATTACAACTAGAAAATACAGTTGGTGATAGAGTCTTTGTAAGTTGAATATTCCAATATTCCATGTTTTCAAACCTTTGTTAGGTTTAGATTCAATCAATTTTAAATTAAATAGCATTTTTAAATCATGGCAATTTTGTTTTTAATCTGAGATCTTTCGTGTGTGTGATTCCAAAGCACAGATCACAAATTTGAAGAGTTGTTGTATGTATCTTACCATTTATAATAATACAACAGTTTATATAACATACCATTTATAACATTATAATGTGTTTTTTTTAAAGTGTGCATTGTTACTTTATCTTTTGTAACTTTCATTCCCATCCTTTTTTGAGCAATGTAAGTTTTGTTATTGCTTTGAATATATATGGTATAGGTAGCAAGACCAACTAAACACCTCATCGTTTCATTTTCAGGGATCATTTTCTGAAAATTTACAGTTTCTGCTTGATGCTTTAAAATCTGGTAGGTTTTACTTATGATCAGTTGTCCTCCTGAAATGTATATCGTCTCTTTTATTTCCAAAATTTTATAGAGAGAGAGAGAGAAATGGGGTTTAATGTCCACTCGGACACAAACCATGTCATTTTGGGACTAACATATGGTTCAATTTTATTTCAATAGTTTGCTTACGCGTAGTGTGGAAACCCACGAGGTTGGACAGGCGACCGTACTTGTCATGTACAACTGAGGAATCGAAACCACCCCAGTTGACTCAATGACAGACCTTACGATATGATGTGCACGTGCTAACTAAGGCTGGGAATCGATATGAAATTTCAATATCGATTATCGGCAAGAATTTGTCAGCGATTATCGATAATAATCGATTATCATTATCATTATCATTTTACCGACCTGTTATTTGTGTTGGTCGACACAGGCTACCACTATTTTGTTGTATTTGTTCTTCAACAGTCATGTTTAATAATAGTATTGTATAATAAAAATATTCCAAAACATCTTCAGTCTTTATTACTGTTAATTTAAACACATTATATTTATTAATATTATTATACAATCTGTCAATACTCAATCGTAATAAAAAAAAACAAACGGAAGTAAATTGAAGTTATTTATCTTCATTACTAGAGTCCATGAAGGTAGATAACTGTTACATTTACGGTCGTCGGATCCGTAAAAACCAAAACAATTCCATACATAGCTTTTTGCCTTTCCCGGGAAGTCAAAAACGTGTTTTGTATTGGCTGTATCTGACATGATTTAGTAATAAAAGCTGAGTCGATCATTAATAATACAATTAGTTTTATCGTGAAAGCAGACGATTTCTCTACAAATCAATCAAGCGCAAAGAAGGGAGATAATTCTAATTTTACTAGATATCACGTGCGATTGTCATTGTTCACAAAGTGCGTGACCTATTTTAGTTTCAACTAGTAAAAACAACGAAAATATTAAAATAATGTATTTAATCTTAAAGTTTAGTTTTTTACAATAATATATTTAAAATGTGCCAGTTTGTAAGCAAAGGGAGAAAATAGTTGTTGTGTTGACGTTGTGTATTCATTCATTCGTCTGCTAATGCCAGACTACGGCAAGTTCAGTCATGTGAAAGTGGCCGTAACTTGCCGTCAGAAGGTAAATATACCGATAATCGATATTTGAATTTCAATATCGATTATCGTATCGCTAAATAACTTCTACCGATTATCAATTATATCGATATTTTTGCACAGCCTTAGCGCTAACCATTCGGCCATCCAACACCCCCACCCAAATTTTATAATTACTTAAAGAACTAAGAAACTATATTTGTTGGTGAGTTTTATATTTATTTTTTTCTGTTCAATTGCAGGTGGCCAGAAAAGTAAACCTGTGTTATTTATCCTGGATGAGTTTGATCTGTTTGCCCACCATAGAAACCAGACATTATTATATAATCTGTTTGATATATCACAGTCAGCCCAGACACCTGTCTGTGTTATAGGCGTAACTTGTAGATTGGTATGTAGTCTTAGACAGTCCAGTCTCCATCTCTACCAGCAATGGTCTGTATAACATGTAACCTGGTCATTTTGGGACTAACATATGGTCAAATTTTATTTCAATAATTTGCATGCGCTTAAGGGTCTTTAGCAGTGGTAGGTTGGAGTCCTTGTCGCGTATAAATGGGTGTTACAACTATAGCATATGACTCGATGACAGACATTGTGATCTAACATGCACATGTACTGTTAAACCATTTGTCCACCCCAACCCTCCCAACTCTTTTATGAGCCAGACAGAATGATTGTATGATTGGTTAGTCCACAGTTTATGTTGTCATATTGAGACTGAGAGGTTATTACATGGTTCAGTTGCTGTAATTGAATGGTTGAGTTTTGTTCAGTTGCTCTAATTGAATGGTTGAGTTTTAACTTGTTTATCATTCACAAAAATAACGTCATCTGTATAAACTCATATTCACTAGTTTCAATTAGACTACTAGCTGATCAGGCCAACACTTATCCCAATTTTACATTCAATATTTGTACGTAAAATTACTTTCCCATATTTTAGTTGTGCAAGATATTATTTACGCTAATGGCTACCTGCTAACTATTCTTAACCTCGCTTTGTACAAAATGGTGTGAAGACAGAAATGGAAGTAAAATATAGGCTTAATGAGACTGGGAATTACCCAATTTTGTCTGAAGTGATATATCTTCGAATTTATTATATGCAGCAGGTTTAAATAAAAAATAAACAAAACTAAATTTATAAACAATATAACTTCTACTTAGTCAATTCAAAAAGAAATGTGATAATATAGAACTTGTTCCATCACTAATATAAATAACAGTTCAGATTAACCCAATTCAAAATGTTATTTTGATGTATAAGTGCTACTTGAAATGGTTCTGTCTGCTGTGATCTCAAGTGAAATGATTTGAATTAAATATACATAGGGCTAAATTCTGTTTAGCACCATTACTGTTTACTGGTGGATGACCTGGTACTGCACGGGTTGAAACTAATATACCTCTGAAACCGGAAACGGTAGTCCAACGCCACCAAGCCTATGTTACTCCCCGGTCCGAGCTACCCCTATACTGCCCTAGTGTAGCTGCCAACCCTGATCCGACAGACAGGCAGACATGACAGTCACAAATATCAGTATAGATTACTACGCAACATTTCAGCTAGGATTCCCTAATCAAAACGTCTCACAATAATAAACAATAGTATTTTTTTCTAATGTAGTTCCAGTTCAAATACTAAATGCCATTAAAAGTGTTTATGATTTAAATATATGAATTATTTTTTACAGGATGTGATAGAGTTGTTAGAGAAAAGAGTAAAATCACGATTCTCTCATCGTCAGATACATGTTTTTAACGCTCTATCGTATAAAGATTATTGTACAGTTTGTAGAAATCTACTCAGTTTATCTGATCAGTTTCCAGACAAAACATTTGCCAAAACCTGGAATCATCATATTAAAGTAAGTGTGTCTATATATACGGTATGAATCAACTCCAGTTCAAAAATAGATAATGAAAAATGGATATTTTGAAAATTTCATTGAAAATTTCATTGAAATTACTTTATTCTGAACGAAGTTATCAGTGTTTGAAGTTTTGACAATATGTAGCATAGCTTTTTTATTATCTTAACAGTACTTGACAATCAAGACTTAGTCAAACCAGATTGTAAATACAATTGATCTTACTCCTAGAGAAGTGATTCCCAACCTTTTACCGTTTGAGGACCCCTTGGCTACATTGGGCATATATTTAATTACATGGCAACCTATCTTTTCCCATTTAACATTAGTTAACCTTGATTGATAGCTCTCAAATTATAGTGTATTGTGCTCGGATGTTTTAACTGTAGGAAATGTGGTTACAGGAATTGCAGAACAGTAGGACATTAAACCCCATTTCATTTCATTGTACAGGAATTATTACAAGATAGTGTAGTTGAAGAAGTTTTATTTCGTCAGTATAATTTAAATAAAGATGTAAGAGGACTTAAGACATTACTGGTAAGTTTATGAAGACTTTATTGTGTAAAGTAAGATAACTCTAACATATCTACAGGAAATCTTGTTTGATAAGCATATTGATCTTCTGATCCTCATAAAGGACAATATTGGTGTCAGTCATTATCACATATGTGATAGAACTGGTTAAACACATTCCAAATATAATTTTAACATAGAGATCATTGCTACGATAGATGCGTTATGAAGCGTTCAAGAAAGGGAAGTGACTCATCACTTAAGTCAGTTATATAGAAGGATAACCTGTGTTGGTGTGGGGGGTTGGATGGCCGAATGGTTAGCGTGTGCGTGTTACATCATAAGGTCTGTCATTGAGTCAACTAGCGTGGTTTCGATTCCCCAGTAGTACGTGACAAGGAGTATGGTCACCTATTCAACCTCGTGGGTTTTCTCCGGGTCTGCCAGCTTCCTCCCACTGCTAAAGACCCCCACGTGCAAGTGAATTATTGAAATAAAATAGAACCATATGTTAGTCCTGAAATGACCTGTTTGTGTGGAGTGGATGTTAAACCCTCTCTCTCTCTCTCTCTCTCTCTCTCTATCCATAATTGGTGTCTGGCCACACATAGTCCCTAAATGATTTTGTGGGCCTCTACCATGAGTTCCTGGAACTAAGACAACATTTGTTGGTATGGCTCCAAATGGTCAGACACAGTCTCTTTAATACAATATAAATTTTATATTTTTTGTAGGTACAGCCTATATGTCAATTATCACCAGTGAATCCTATATTAACAACATCAGCTATTGTAGATGCTTTTAAACTTATAGCTACAGACTCAAAGGCAGCTATGTTACATGGTAAATATATGACTGTATACAGTCCTTATCAAGGATCTTAATCGGTCCTTAAATAATATATTAAAGATGCATTATGTAAAAGCTAAATCTGCTTATTGCAGGTATTGATTTTGGCTTCAAACGTTATATAGATGATTAATTTAATATTTATTTAATTCCAAGATTGCGATGAATAAACTTCTTACTCAAGTAGTAGTAATAGGTGAAAGAATCCTTGGAACGGTGGGGAGTTGGATGACTGAAGGGTTAGCACGTGCGCGCTGTATCATAAAGTCTGTCATTGAGTCAACTGGCGTGGTTTCGATTCCCCGGTTGTACGCGACAAGGAGTAGGGTCACCTGTCCAGCCTCGTGGATTTTCTCTGGGTCCTCCGGTTTCCTCCCACTGCTAAAGACCCCTACGCGCAAACGAATTATGGAAATAAAATTGAATCATATGACCTAGTTTGTGTCGAGTGGACGTTAAACCCCATTTCTCTCTCTCTCCCTTGGAACAGTGCAGGTCAGCATGGATTTCGGTGATTATAATCAAATCTCTAGACGATTACTTCGCTCAGTATGAAATAATTAGAGTGAATTTTTAATCTTATCCTTGTTTATTATCTATTTTTGAACTATTATAGCGAGAATTGTAAGCTCTTTATATAAATTTTACATAATCCATTTTTAATACTTCGTTTTATATGTTGGGTTATAATTTCATCACACCACAGGAGGTGAGGGGTGGGGAGTTGTTTTGAAGTCATCTAATTTATGGGGGGTTGGATGGCCGAATGGTTAGCACGCGCGCTGTATCATACGGTCTGTCATTGAGTCAACTGTCGGGGTTTCGATTCCCTGGTTGTACGTGACAAGGAGTAGGGTCACCTGTCCAACCTCGTGGGTTTTCTCTGGGTCCTCCGGTTTCCTCCCACTGCTAAAGACCCCTACGCGCAAGTGAATTATTGAAATAAAATTGAACTATGTGTTAGTCCCGAATGACCTAGTTTGTGTCGAGTGGACGTTAAACCCCATTTCTCTCTCTCTCTCATCTAATTTATGTTCATAAGTTTGTAGAGCCACTTGCCTTATCACAGTTAGTGAATGATTGACCTGGTTAGTGTTGAGTGGACATTAAACCCAATTTGTCTTTTACATTGTAGGTATATCTATATTGGAGCTGTGTTTAATTATAGCGATGAAACATTTATCTGATATATATGAAGGAGAACCATTTAATTTTGAAATGGTTTACAGTGGTAGGTTAATGAATTAATCTTAATAGTCTCTTCATATCCCTCTATGTACTTGGTAACGATAAGAGAATACTTGTCGAAACGTTGTGCTATATGTGTATAAACCAGTGATTGTATTCCATATAAATTGTGTTGTGGTTTTTAATGTGCTCAATCACTAAACACCACTCAAGGATCAGATTCTTTAATAGTTTCCCAGTCCACAGTATGCTATGCTACTACTGCTACCCCATGCTAACTTGCCTTTTATCACAGTTTGTTAATATATTCTCTTTGTTTAGAAATTGTTTTTGAAAAAATATGTTGGAATCTAAAATAACATTATTATTGATCTATTTTAGAATATATGAAGTTTGCAAAAAGGAAATCAGGCATGCAGATATTTGAAAAACCTGTCGTCCTAAAGGTGAGTTCCAAACAAATTATTAGGATTATGGGTCTATTAACATCAAGATAGAAATTACGAAAAGAAAGTTGTGTTCTCGGTTTGTGACAATATCATAACAATACCCTTTCAAGAATGTTCACATGTCAAATTAAATCCTTTACAATGTCCTCATATTTCTTTATTTCCTGTCCTTCAACATACCAACCTTCTAAGTTATATTATTTGCTTATTCATTATTTAATTCAGGCTTTTGAACATCTAATGGCTTTAGAATTAATAAAGACAATTGATAATGGTGGAACAAGAATACAGAAAGAATATCGACTAATGTCTTTATTGATACACCCCACACAGATAACAGATGCCTTACAGAAATATCCCAATTGTCCGACTGAAGTTAAACAATGGGCTACAAGTGCTCTTGCATAATTTCTTTAATCTATAACCATACAGGCATTTTAATTTGTAAATAAATATTTGTGCACCATATTGTTCTAGTTATTTATTTTTGGGGGGCAAAATTGAAATATATCCTGTGTTAGTTCCGAGATGATATTATGTTGAATAGAGGTTCAGACTCGTATCTATTACTGTCTCAAATTGTGGGTTTTGAAGTCCAAGTGCATTTTAGATAATAAAATCTGTCATTGATAAAATTGTTATGATGCATGTATGTCACAATGATTAGGGTTGCCAGACTAGTGGATTTTCACAGGTTCTCCAGATTCGGCTCACTACTAAAGACCCCATGCCTGCAAGCCAAGATGGAGCCACGGTAGTTTAGTGAGTAAGACTTTGGCTCATGGGCTTACAATGCTTGTAATTATTTCGTTTGGCTTTACATGAAAGCTATTAAACCCCACTGGGGCGTCCTTACAAGATCTTGCCTCCCTTGCAGTGATTGTCCCACCACGGTATTTATCAGGTAGTTAATGTAATTTTTTGATTTTCTAAAAGAAATTTGATCTTTATATTGAACTACAATTAAAGTAAACAAAGATACAATTTAAAGATCTGATATGACAAATGTCAGATTTATAAAACAAATATTGATTTATAAAACAAATATTGATTTTAAGATACAAATGTTATTTTAGTATATGAACTAAGAATTAAGAACACTGAATAAAGAGCTGTTTCGTCTTCCATATTTGATAGGATTCATCCCAAATATATGATTAAGCATGCAAGTTTTAAAAAAACTAATCAAAAACAATTTGCCTGATAACTTCTTTGGCAACAAGAGGAATAACCCAATAATTCTCTTCATATTTTCAAGTCTGGAAAAAGAAATTATTGCGCTAACAATTTATGGCCACATGAACTAAAATGTAGGCAGATAATTTATAACCAAATAGGCCAACTGCTTTAAGACATATTTTAGGTCTAGCGTACACACTGGCATACACGTAAAAGAGCCCTTTTGGAATTTGAAATAAGCACTTTATTATCCACATAATTTACACAATATAGACCATGGCGAAAGTTCTTACAATCGAGCCTTGGTCAGTGTTTTTCTTATTTTGGCCTAGTCTTTATTTTGTTGATAGTAATCTGAAATTAAAGGACACATAAAGCATTGTACAAAAACAAGATTGTCATATATGCATTTCTGTATTTCAAAACAGATGTATAATCCCAGATGCTTGTGAATCAAACCGAAAAATGAGAAAGAGAGAGATCAATAATATTTAATACCTCCCCAATAGTCATTTTACTTTATCCACTGAATGTTTATTCTGTCGCACATCTCCATAGCAATCTTCAACCAAATTATAGGCCTTATTAATCTCAGGAACAAGAGCATCGGTACCGCTGCAATATAGGCCTACTTCCACATTTCTGTTTTGATTGATATTAAAGAGAATTAAATATGAAATGGTTACAGCGACTGTAATATGACAAGAGGCAACAAAGGGTAGACGTTGGATTTGTTTTGCCAAATTTACAGGTGCTAATCACAAACATGGGGGTCGGGACATGCAACAAAACCAATTTTGCCCGGACAGCTGCCCTACGGCCTGGCCTACTCTTATATCGAATTCCAACTGTCAAGGGATCTTTTACGTGCACACCAATGTGTACACGGGATCTCGGTTTTTCATTCCATCCGAACGACTAGACAGCTGTCTTTGTCGGGCCCTCCGTCCTGCATCACTGACCAGGGGGAACCATACCAGAAAATCTGGATGAACTTTCTTGGCCAATGCAGGGATCGAACACCCGACCTCCAGGCTAGCGCGCCAGCGTCTTACCCACTTAGCCACCGTGACCCCCATCCATCCTTAGGGTATAAGGAATAAGTATAAAAAGTTTTTGAGATAATCCATTAAGGATTGCGGACTGTAGGCGACACAAGGAGAACATGGGCATGACTCTGCACCTGGGGGTTGGAGCTGGTAAAATGTTTATTTTGTCTTAAATATTGTATATCAGAAACCCATCTTTTCCAGGTAAGATCACAACATCATTGATGATTTAAATTGACAATAATTCGTGTTTTCGATGTCGCTGATTTTGGATGATACTGAGTTTGGATGATACTGAGTTATATATATTAATAGATAAGATTAGATTATAGATAGAGACAGCAACTTTAATTAGAAGCAGTTATCGTGCCCCAAAGCATATCGACCAATCAAATTGCATTTCTCTGCTTAACCTAGGCAGAAAATGCTCATCGTCGAATTCAGTCAAGTCATTAGGGCCTATCTAATAACTAATAAACATCAAAATTGTAATGTTATGTAGAATGTTTGAAAATTCTAGGCCATTCTACTAGGCCTACGCTATAGCTTAATAAATTAGAAGCAGAGTATTGTCCAGAAAGTGTGACGGACAGACCCATTTAATGGTCCATTGCTTTCAACAAATATGAAAGAGAGAGAGAGAGAAACAGCTAATTTGGGGGTGAATAAACTTTAAATCTTTAATTGTTATTCCAAAGTATAATGTGTTATAGTTTACTCTTTATTTCGAATGATATTTCGTCTGCTAGTCTCGCGAGCACCTGCGAGAGTTACGTGGCAAGATGGCCGGTTGGGCAGGATTTACCGATGATGATTTGAGAAAAATGCGTCAAACTTCCCCAGAAAGAGGTGAATATGAAAATTAGTTGTTGCCAAACAAACCAGATATGCACATTGTATGTGAAGGCTGAAGATTGCAGGGGTTTCCAAATCAGATCATTATAAATTTAACATGATTTTGATGCAAATGTACGAATTGTCAATTTCTATTTCTATAATTTTTTTTTAGCGTTTGTTTACGTTTTGTTTCAGTGAGTTGGTTCCTCAGCATAAGGCCTATATCAAATCGGAGAAGTAACTTTTTAAAAAATGTCATGTAAATACTGCCATAGTCTAATTAATATCTTATACATGTAAATTATGTAGTATTTCCAGCCAACTTGGCGATTGAGATAATACTATACTATAGCCTACCACGTGTTAGTGAATAGACTGAATAGTATAGTGTAAAGAGTCACCAGTGTTACTAGATACTTTTAGTAACGAATTCTTGGAGAGCTAGTGCTCTCCTTCGTTACTGACAGATCCTATACAGAAGTAATATGAAAATAAGGCTTTTCCCCCCATCTCGCCTCTCGGTTCTAAGGCTATTTTGGAATCCTTAACTTCTATTTTCACCGTGATTCTTCTTTGTTTTCGCCAAAAGGAATCATTTTTTGCCACATCCGACACAAATTTATAATTATCCAACACTGTTTTCATGTAGAATTTAGTGATCCAAAAACACAATCAAAATTCATTTGAAATAATCCACCATTGTGAAAGTCGCGTCTGCACGCTGCAAATATTCCAAATTTAGGAATGGAATAGTACTGTTAACAAAAATTCTTGCCTAAAGGTTAATGTAAATATAAATTTATACACAGTGTTTAAAGTCATGAGACAAACAATTGAAACAAATTCTAATGATTTCTGATAATTACTTTATGGGTTTTTATTCAGAATCAGATTTTATTGTCTTGTAAAGGTTTTCATTACTGACAAAAGAAAAAAATATGCGACAATCCGTTGTTGACTCCCCAGAGGACTTAGCTGCTGTGAGCATATGTTTCGTTGCCTGGCAACCTATCTTTGTATGAATTCTTGAGTACATCAGAAAATTAATACCTCTCTAATATGTACATATATGCCACTCTAATTGTTCTGTAGTCTTATTGTGCAACAACAAACTAGGAGGATGAATGTGTTTACTATGCAACAAGTGATAATTAGCTGAGGTGCCAGCTATGTGACCTAATTATTGTCTATGGAATATTTCTTTAGATAGTCTTCCATAAAAATATTTTATTGTCCCCCGCCTTTCGAAGAAAGCAGGGGACTATTAAAATGGGTTCGTCCGTCTGTCTGTCTGTCCGTCTGTCTGTCCGTCACACTTTTTGGGACACAATAACTCTCTTCCTAATTGAGCTAGAATGTTCAAACTTGGTGTATGTGTTTATTAGGTCAATGCCTTGATGGAGTTCGAAGATGAGCATTTTCCGCTTTGGGTAAGCAGAGATAAGCAATTTGATTGGTTGATGCTTTGGGACACGATAACTCTCTTCCTAATTGGGCTAGAATGTTCAAACTTGGTGTATGTGTTGATTAGGTCAATGCCTTGATGGAGTTCGAAGATGAGCATTTTCCGCTTAGGGTAAGCAGAGATAAGCAATTTGATTGGTTGATGCTTTGGGACACGATAACTTTAGTTCTAATTAAGTGAGATTGATGAAACTTGGTGTATAGTTTCATTACAGTAATACCTTGACTAAGTTTGATAATGAGCATTTTCTGCTCAGGGTAAGCAGAGCGATACGCAATTTGATTGGTCGAGACTTTGGAAAACAATAACTCTCCTACTTTGATTGTTAGACTATAAGTTTGATTGTTCAATACTTTGTAAAAGATAATTTGTGATAAATTTATATGTGTCCTCTAATTATTTTCCTATTTCGGCGGGGGACATCAGCCTCATTTTTGGCTTGTTTTCATTGCAGGAAAATCAAGTTTAAATGCGAAGAGAGTGCCTGTCCAAACCAAGAAACTAAAGATGCCTAACTCCAACAATAACAGTCGTGATAGATTGTTTAACAATCAGCAATCACCAGGTATTAACCAAGCTTTAGATCCCAGTCAGCGTTTGTCACATCCCAAACCTCAACCAGTACCAGAGAATCCCACCCAGAAACCATCACAAAATAATAAAGGAAAGCCAAATGAAGAGAGAAACCAAACCATGTCTGAAAAAAACACTGATACAGACGAAAGTAAAAAAAAGAAAGAAGAAGAAACAAGAGAACTTGATGAATCTGAAGTTTTGAAGTAAGTACATTCTAGCCACTGGTCATCACTTGAGGGATTTTGAATCAATTTAAATACATGTTAACACCGATTAAGACCTGAGTACCGTAATCAGGTATTGTCTAATATACAAATGACAATCCACAGCTTTAAAGTAGATTAACCTCAGAATAATGTCAAAATAAAATAAATGTTGAATTTGGTTGATCTGATGTGTTGTTTTAATTATTGAAGGGGTGAGCCCTATGTCATTGATATTTTCTTTTAATAAAGAAATGTTCTTATTCTCTTAATACTTAGATATAGTTTTTTCAATATGAAGACAGTTATGTACAGGTTACGTTGGAAGAATATCATTTATTCAAGAGCCAATTGCTTTAATATTAAACAATATTTCAGTGTTGAGTTGACAACCATGGAGAATTTCCAGAAGCAACAGAAAATGATTGAAGAAGCCAACAAACAGAAGAAAGCTCTTTTATCAAAGACCCTTGATGAAAGGTACGAAAATTTGTAATAGAATCATTGATCTATGAAATGTATGTGTGATATTCCAATACCCATCATACTGATGTATGCAAAAACACAGCAATAATTATTACATATATATGAACTTATCAAATAAGGAAAAGTGATATCAAGTGTTCATTTTAAGGAAGAGTAAGCATACCCATCCTCAGACACAATGCCCATCAATACTTACAGAATGATGTTAATCTAGTCTAGGAACTCAGAAACATCCATACAAATTTTCTAGGCTCTTGAATAGCTGTGTAGAATTTGTTTATACAAAAAAGGGTGGTATATTTTGTCTTTCTTTTAAAGAGCACATCGTTTGTAGACATAGTTTAAATATGGTCGCCGAACAAATCTATAATGATATTATGTCTATTACAGGAGAAAAAAGGCTAAAGCTGAATCTGTCAAGTTGACTAAAATACAGAAAGAATTAAATCATCTAGATCATCTGTTAACAGCTGATGTTAGTGTCATCAGAGATAAAATAGAAATGGCTAGTCTTGAATATCTAGATGCACAGTAAGTAAAAATGACAATGTATTATTTGTATGATTCTTATGCTAGGTTCCCACTGTCATGTGATGTGTTACAATAGAATTGTCCCTATTAAGTCCACAATCTGGTACTTACAGATACGTTCGAATACGTTTCGATACGATCCACACGATTGCTACCACTGAACTCAATATATGCTAAGACTTGATAGGATCACCATGATTACTCTGCGAATAAAACCACCATTTCAATCACAGCACAAATCGTGATAGTGGAAACATTATTTCTTCATCCCTGAACCCGGTGTAGGCTGACCAGTTCTTCAGCATGAGACAGTCTGGTTTCCCCTTGTTAATGGTAAGGGAAAGTATCTAGTCGTTTGGATTGACAAAAAAGTGATGTCATGAGTGCACCAATGACAGAGCTTAAAGAATATGCTGAAAAGTCGCCATTCCAGGAAAATTTTACACATAGCACACAGCATGGCTTATGTCTCAAACTCATTAGACAGGTTGATGGAGAAAAGTAGGGCATAAAACACAATTTTGTTTATTTATTTACTTCTTGTTGGCCATCATTTATAATTTCTAACACCAGTTGATATAAGAATTTAACCATAAGCTCGTCATATCATAGGTAAAAGAAATTAACAGTGACAAAATTATATATTTTCAGAAAACGCTATGATAAAGCTGAAAAAGAAGTTATATCGGCTAAAATGAATTTGTTTGAAAAGGGTGAACTCAAGGAAAGATTGACAGAACATCTTTATACAATAATTCATCAGAACGAAGTTAGGAAAGCCAAGAAATTAGCGGAACTTATGGAAATATTAGAAATGGAAATATCTGCGGAAGAAATGGAACTTCAAGTCACGTCCATTCCAACTTTAACAAACTTCAACTCAGTTCATACTTTAACAAGTCCAACTCGAAAACATTCTGAATCCGAAATAAACCATGAATCTCCAGATGGTGCATTGAAATCTGTTACTACAAACACCGAACAAAATACATCTCCTACAGGCAAGGAAGATAACTCTCCCTCCAATCCAGACACACAACATGTCATAAGTAAATCATCTCAATCATCCAGTGATCAAAATAAATCCAACGAAGAAGGAACGTCTCCAACAAACGGGTCAACCTCAGAACAAAAACCTGATCACAATATTGAGAAGGATAAGTGTAATAATAATATTGATAAGACTAATTCAGTGGTTAATGGAACAGACACATCCAATACACTAGCTAAAATTACAAAATCTCCAATCCTGTCACAACCCATCTCTTAATTATTTTTTTTTAGATACTTTTTAATGAATCATTTTATACAGCATTTCAGAAGAGATAAAATTCCCTTTAAAATGTTGTATTGAAAAATATTCCATGTGAAATATTAACATTTTACCATGGCCTATTTTAAAATGACATTTTTCATCATCCAAATTATTGTTAAAATTATGATTAAAATCTCAGATCAGGATCAACTTTTTATGTTATCTAATTGTCGTTGTCAAAATCCACATTTGTTTTTCCGAGGTTGCAATATCTTGGTTTCCATATCAACGCTAGTATAACTAGTTGTTATAAAATTTGTCCCTGGTTGGTGCTTGAAATCTTTATACCACTAGGTGAAATCATGTTGCAAAAAGGTTATCTCTGAAATGCTGTATTGAATATGTATAAAGTCAGTGAAATCTGGCTTATTAATGTGGGTATTGTATTTTTATCACCATGGTGTTCACTTTATCATTGTCATGTAGTGGGTTATAGGTCATTTTTCACGAATATCACATTGTCATCCAAGGGAAATAACCACAAATACTTTATTGTTACTACGTTAATAACCATATCATTGCAAGTGCCAAGTGATATAAGGTAAATTGCTTCAATGGCATTTAGTATTTGAACTTGACCTTGAAATATACAGGTCACAATTCTATGGAATACAATTACTGCTTATCACTGAATAACATTTCTACTATGGTTTATCAAGGAATGATATAAGGGGGGGGGGTTTTCAATTTTCAGTCCGGAACGTCCCAAACCGACATAATTACAATCGAGTGACGCCGAATTCAGTCTTGTCACAGTCCTGATAAATATTATGTTTCAGCTTTCATGGTTGATTGAGATATTATCTTATGCAGTCGTTGGCTGTGTTGTAGCCCAAAATCACCCTTTTCACTCGATTGTGAGTACTTATAGGATTGAGAGTTTCGGAGTGTTCAAACAAGCATCCCCTTAGTATGTTGGGGTTGTCTCTAGGATAACATGTCACAACTTAAAGGGATTTAGTCAGACTCAGGGGCAGTCAATATCAGGTCTATGTATTAAATGTGAAACAGAATTTTGCTCTTACTATACAACTGTAGCATGTACCTTCAAAAGATTAAATTACGACAAATGGAGTTGGAAACATTATTAACCTTTGTCACTGACATTTGGTTGCATTCGTTGTTTTTTTGAATATTAGATCATTATGCAATATGCCACAAGGAATGGTCCAATGTAGTGCTTGTGCCAAATGTTGGCCACATCTGTTATAGAATGACATGGTTGTTGTAATGCTAAACTCACAGGGACACAAACTGTCTGTTCAAATATCATATGTGACTTGTGATAGAAAAATGAGCCGGAAGTCCTGAGTCTTTTACGATATGAACAATATTAAAATAGGCTAAAATATATTTTTAATGATATAACTCGAAAGGTATAAGTTAAGATTTGACAATTAAAGCAAACTAAAAATTTTTTATAATTTTAGCCAATTTGATAATTTTGTTTGTGTGATTTGCGACTCATTTTGCCGTCACAGGTTACATATTGTATAATGATGTTCGTATCACATTGTTCTGTTAATTCCGTCCAGGTATATATTATAATAGAAAGATATAAAATTGTAAATAATGTGGGATTTATTTTATTAAAATATTATAAAATGTTTAATTGTTCACATACAACTGACTAATGTATTATTATTTTTATAGCTGTGTGTTAAACCTTGCTCTCTAATTTTGAAAACAGATCATATCAGTGACCTGGACAGTCAATAATTCTACTCAGGGCTCTTTGCCAGTTTTGACTGATTGGCAGTCCATTTGGCCTTTGGAGAACTTAGCTCTCTATCAATCCACACACAGTGAAATTAGAATTTCAAACAATTATACTTGACAATTTTGAAAAAAATATTTTCCTAATCTGAGCTAGACAAAATGTGTCAAAAATTGATTAGTGTAAGTGAAAGTAATTTGTTGACAATAAGGTCTTATTATTGAGAATTATCAAATCATAAACCTCTCCTACTGTCTGTCTTAACTTAGAGTAATAATTCAGACATGTTTGAAATTACCAGAATCATGTCCTGGGTTATATACTGGCCCCGTGTTCACAAAGCATTCTCGGACTTAAGTTGGTAATTTACTCAAACTTGTTTGCCTTATTTTAACTAAAATATAGCCCTTTATAAAACTTTTGTTGTTTTGATGTATCAGATATATCAATAAGAAACTATGAGCAAAGTTTTGTGTTTCTGCATCAAAGATATTTCTCATAAACAGTTGTTGAAAGTTGAGCAAATTCTCAACTTAAGTCTGAGAATGCTTTGTGAACTCGGGGCCTGGTAATCACAACAACCCAGATTTACTGACCTTATCTGTTTTTTGAAATTAGAGAGTTCCTCTTATTATTTATTTTATTAAAGATGCAATATTTTATAATGGTCTAGTATACATATATTTTGTAAAAATATAAAATTGATAGTTTATAAGGTATACATATAAAGGCCTTGTAGATTGACAGGAGCCGAACTATGTAATTTCTCACAATGAAATTAAGAAAATAATGTCTAAAGTATTTTATCTCTTCACTATTAACTGTTTATTTTTTAAAGTTTGATGCTTCATCTGTAATGGCTTTGTTTCAGCAAAGAAATGGCATGGAGTATAATGTTTTGTCATTCACAATTGTTTAGTCATTTTGTGACAAATTTATGGTAATTTAATTTATGTTTATTGTTACATGTGCAATGGGAGGCAGAAGAATTTTGTCTGGACATTGGCATTTCGGCCTACTCTTAATCGATTTTCAACTGTCAAGGGTTCTTTTATGTGCACTTGAATGTGTACATGAGCGACCTCTGATGGTTCATCTAGAACCTAGTACATTCTCGTTGCCAGTCCACTACCCTGACTGTTGGTCTAAAAATGATCAGTGAGAGGGACAACATCGAGAGGAGTGAATTAATTGTTTTAAATTATTAAGGAAATAAAATAAAGGTGTTTCACAATGAGTAAAAGGCACCAATTCTGTCTGGACTAGTTTGTGTTACTACGTCCAATTCCAATGTAAACAATGCATGTGTTATCGACTACTCATGATGTGATGTCACATGTAGACCTATATGGTCAAAGAACACACTATTTATAGATAACAATTCCTAAGGTTTATTTCACTGCGACATTTCAACAAGATTTCACAAGTTGTTATCAAGCATATAACACAAACGACTTATAACAACTTATGAAATCTTGTTGAAATGTCACAGTGAAACAAACCTTGGTAATTGTTATCCATAAATAGTGTGTTATTTGATTATGTTCCAATTACTAAATGCCATTCAAAGAATAGACCTATATGGCACATTAACTTAAAGGTCGGTCATTTTGTATAAAGTTAAAAGAAGGCTTTCACATTACCTCCGTGAAACAGATTGCATTTGTCTATCAAACCTCCTCTTGACAATAGAGTCTAAGTTAATGAAGACATTTGTGGTGTAAAAGCCTTCAAACATTAATGTAGTTTTCTTATATGATTGTGCCAAAAAATCAAGTATTTTCCTTTCTGTATCAAAATGGTACGTGTACTTAAACTTAATTTATTCTTTTTGTCAGCTGTAATAGTTGTTAAGTTTTGGTGGAAGACAACATTGTTTTCAATTTGATTAAATTATCTATGGCAATTTGTTTGTGTGTTTCAGTCTATAGCCTCTGACATCTAGGTTATGGTCAAAACTTTAGACTCCTACATCAGGGTTATATTTACGTTTTAAAACATTTACAAAATGTCTGAATCTACATACTAGTACATACATCTGTGTGTTCCTCTTGATCTAGTTTCTATGTGTCATTAAGAAATTGTCATTTTACTGCTAAATTCTATTTGCCATTATTAGATTGTAACTTTACTTCTGAATTCTAGATGCTAAAAAAAACAACTTACACTATTTTGTATGGTATATACTGCTGTTGTTTTATGTATGGTATTATATACTGCAGTTGTTTTATCCATATACAGTATCTATGCAACTGCGAAATCAACAATCTACAACATTTATTAACTGTTATGTTTTTGTAAAATAAAAAATATATGTGGGATATTTCAGTGATTTTGAACTTTTATTCTTTCTTGAAAGTTGCGTTAAGTGACTCTTTAAGTCTTAATTAGAATTATGCATCCTCCTTTAATTAATTGCTCTGTCATTCATTAATTACCCCATGACATTCTTTAATTTCTCCATGTCATTCTTTAATTATTGCTCCATGTCATTCAGGGGGGTTGGGTGGCCAAATGGTTAGCACGTGCGTGCAGTTTCATACGGCATTTCATTGAGTCAACTGGCGTGGTTTCGAATCCCCGGTTGTACGTGTCAAGGAATAGGTTCGCCTGTCCAACCTCGTGGGTTTTCTCCGGTTCCTCCAACTGCTAAAGACCCCTACACGCAAGCAATTATTGAAATAAAATTAAACCATATGTTAGTCCCGAAATGACCTAGTTTGTGTCGAGTGGACATCTCTCTCTCTCCATGTCATTCTTTACAACATGTAATTGCTCTATGACATTCTTTAATTGGCCCATGTCATTCATTACTCCATATCATACTTTAATTGCTCCATGTTATTCTTCATTTGCGCCATATCATTCTTTAATTGTCCCATGTCTTTATTTATGCTATTACATGTAGCGTAACATATACTGTACCATCAATGCAGTAGTTCTGTAAATTAGCAACTAGCTTCTGAATCCTGATCAGGCCATCAAACTTTGTGATTTTTAAAGGCATAACATCCGAGTCTGTAGAGTATTATTACCTGAAGAGTAATGTATAACCTAAATAGGCAGATTCAGAAACGATAAAAAAATATCTGAACAATTATCCCCATAGTATTCTATGTTTGTTTATTGGTACAGAAAGTGTGATAGTTAACATACATATAGTTATAATACAATCTGAATTGTTTTCTATTACTTGGGTGGAAAGAAGAATTTGACAAGAAAATACAAAAAATACTTTGTTATTCTTCTCAAAAGCTTTCAGTCAGAAATTTTGAAAATTATACTAGCGACTCAGTATAAGGCAGAGTTCATCATGGCTCCAAACAGCTTTCTGACGCTCTTTAGTCCAGTATGTGGCAAGTTATAACACAGTGAAACAGCAATACACTGAATATAGCAATTAATGGTTTTAAAAAACTATCAGTCCTTTGACTTTCCATTTTGTTATGCTTGGATTAATATATTTTGAATTATTCATGGAAAATTATTGTTATAATAATGAAATTAATACACAGAATGGAAGACTAGAATGATCAAATATATTATAACAATAACAATTACACAACTACATATCTCATATGAAATAACATTCATAATATTGATCCCTTTAGTGGCACTAAATGATCAATTAATATCTCATAAACTAAAGCGGCCCATACATGTTCAATTTTTTCGTCAATAATTTGATGGCAATTAATTGGCGAAATTGACCTTGCCCACACACGATCAATGTTTTAGCGTAAATTTTCAGTCTGATCGAGAATTTCGAGATGAAAGCACTAGCACACACGGTCTTTTTGATTGACGTGCTATCAATAAATATCAAAGGAACTTTGATCCGTCAATTAATTGATTCAATTAAATTGTTTCAATTAATTTGCCGTCAATGTCCTCCATACACATTCAATATCTTCTCAATATCAATTGACGAAAAAATTGAACGTGTATGGGCCGCTTTTACAGCGCTGAGCAACAAATATACTCTCACCAATAGCTTAGAAAGTTGGCTGTCAAGTTTTCAAGATCAAGGGCAATAACTCGGCATAAATGCTTTTCAGCTCTGAATTCCAATCCCTGTTCTCACCAAAGATAAGAAATGTGGAACTTTAATGAATTTTGGTTCTGCTGTAAAATTTTTAATCAAAAAACCCACCAAATTAACGGCTGCAGGTCAGCAAATGTTATGAGCAAAATAACTAAATAAAATATAGTCTAAAATATGGATAAATAAACTAATACCATATATAATTTATATATAGGTCAATCATCTACGCTACAGTACAGCCATATAAACCAGAACCATATATAATTTATATACAGGTCACATAAACCAAAACCATATATAATTTATATATAGGTCAATCTACAGTACAGCCATAAAAACCAGAACCATATATAACTTATATATAGGTCACATAAACCAAAACCATATATAATTTATATATAGGTCAATCTACAGTACAGCCATATAAACCAGAACCATATATAATTTATACATAGGTCAATCATCTACAGTACAACCATATAAACCAGAACCATATATAACTTATATATAGGTCACATAAACCAAAACCATATATAATTTATATATAGGTCAATCTACAGTACAGCCATATAAACCAGAACCATATATAACTTATATATAGGTCACATAAACCAAAACCATATATAATTTATACTTAGGTCAAACATCTACAGAACATCCATATAAACCAGAACCATTTATATATAGGTCAAACATTTAGTATACAGCCACATGATGTAACATATTTCGGACAGTTTACTTGCATAAGTACTCCTGGACAACAATACATAGAAGATAAATGAAACATGCTTTAACATCCTACTGTTCTCAACCCATAGTAAACTTAGACTGTCTGTCTACAGTTAGCTCCGCTTGAGAACAGACACTAAGCTAGTTGACCGACATTTTAAGTCCTAAATCAATGATTTTAGTCGAAAACATTAAGTACACATCAAGAATTTTGTTAAATATTTATTCTTCTTCCATTTAATCAAATTGAAAAAGTTTATTTAGTCTTTGTGTGTATGACAGATGTGAAATGGAGTAGAACCGCATTACAAAACAGTATTATTTTTGGATATAGCGGCCATTTAGGGCAGAGATGTATTCTCGAAGTATGAAGTAGATGGATCTCTGTGTGCAGAATGTTCTCAAACACCTGGGCTTATGATGTAGACAAGCATACACTATGCAGTGTGCTTTTAGTGAAATTTTAATTTGATACTCGCGCTATAGAAAACTCTTATATCGAATTCCAATTCCAACTATCCAGGGTTCTTTTACACAGGTCAATGTGTACACAGGACATTGGTCTTTCCTTACATCCCAACGACTAAGACGTTTTTTGGAAGGCATGTAGAAAGTTTTTACAATGGATAAAATGATAATAAACAATATTTTATACCAACAAATACATACCCATTATTTATACATTTCAATATATTTTATAAAGCATTCAACAAATAAGACACCAGTCATCCATTACATACCGGTATTAAAAATGTGACTATTTATACAAATTTCAATTTTGACAATATGTAATAGTGACAGAACTATATTAGATATTAAGACATTTTCAACCAAACAATTTAAACAAAAATACTTAAGTGTCCATACTTTACTTTTTCTGTGTAAAGAACTCTGACTTTGGTTCATAAAGTTATGTCTAGCTGACAAAATTTTGAAGCTTACGGGTTACACAGAAGACAAAGCATGCAACTTATTTCAAATACTGAATTTTTTCAGTTCCGTTCTATTAACATTTCTGTATTACCACACACAATTTCAGATTTACATTAATTCTGACACACACCAATATATTTACACTAAAAACAGTTCGATCTTTGACAATAAATAAATATACAGAGAAACAAACAGGGCTATTATTAATGAAAACTAGAATGATATTGCTTTCTCCATTGATTTAGAGCTAAAACTGGCCCCTTGTTCACAATGGATTCAAATAAATAAAACATTTATCAATGGTACAATATGATACTATCATTATTGTAGGAATTAGGGTTGTGCAATCACATTAAAAACATTTGGTTCTTTGCTCTTTGTGCCCTGGTTCTGTGGCTTAATGTTGAGATCTAGAAGAGGGATCATATAGGCTATGCCTGCTCCTCAATCCTTCAAGAATAATAATAATAATAAAAGTAAGGGTCATACAATTTATCTGAAATTTAAATATTTTGATATCATATACGATTCTAAAAAGATTTAACAGACATGTCAATAACAAGATCTGGACTGAAAGTCATACAATAAATTCCATGTCCACAAAATTAATATTATTCTGTAATCAATACATTTTGAATGTTGATAATGAGTAATGTTTACATATCGTCACCTTCTAAAACGTGTTGCATTGCACAACACCCATTTTTAAGAACAAATGGTCAAAAAACTCATTAAAACATATTCTAGGATAGCTTTTTGAAGTTTGTTCTAAGATCAAATGGTAAAAAAAAACCGCATTAAAACACATTCCACAATACCCATTTAAAGCTTGTTTTAAGATCAAATCATCAAAAAAATGGTTAAAATAAAATGTATAGTCAGCATTTCAAGGATTTTAAGGTCCATGCTCATAACTATGGCACTTCAAGTATATCAAAGTTGAGAAGACGACTGTTCGAACACACAGATAAGGTTAGATAACTCCCGGGTTCTACTGTATTTGTTGTTAAACACATTCCACTGGCTGGATTAAACAACTGAGATACACCATCCTGTAATTATAAACATAACAAAAACTAGAAATTTTAATACGAAAAATAAACATTTTCGATTAAAGTTGCTGTCATTGAAATTTTCAAGATGCATAAAATGCTAGGTTGCTAGACAAGAAAGCATATAACATGACCACAGAAAGTTGTCAGAACTGTTCAGGATGTCACTGTTACAAGAAGTTTCCAGAATTTTTACTTGTGCAGTGCTTTGGATGACAACAAATTAAAATGACTCGATTTAAGCAGGGTTCTGTCTCTAACCAGCTGAATATCATGATGATGGTATGTTGACAACCCTATTATTTGTCATTTACAGTGAAATGATAGGTCTACTTGCATAGAACAAAATATGTAAAACACTCAGTACTTTGGAACATTTGTACATATGTAGGTACTACTAGGTAGTGTTAAATGCTTCAACCAGGAAAATCTTTGACAGATTTTGTTCACCTTGGATTATCAAGATACTATTTCCAAAGGCATGAAAATTTTTATCTCAAGTTTTACAAATAAAAACTAAAAACATATCTGTATTCTTAGAAATTCTAATTTTCTGCATGTGATTCTACTGACAGGTAAATTCTCCAGCAGGTCAATTTCACTGTCCATAAGTCAAGCCTGCCAGCTATGTCTGAAACAAGAGCTCTGGTTACAAATAGATTTTCATTTATTAATTTACTCTATTACCTGTTTGGCTAAAAGTTAGAAAGAACATAACATTTTAACACAGTATGCTATCTACATACCTTGGTATTCCACACCCATTCTTGAGATCCAAAACCACCACATTTCATGAGTCGAGCAAATCCATGTTTCTCCTCTGACTGAATGTCTAAACATAAAACATTAGCCAGACGGAACTCTTTATCTTGTGTTTCATACCAGGTCTGTAACAAAAATCAGTTTCAAAATAATGTAACATGGTTTCAAAATTGTCTCTATTTGGGTTTAAATAAAATAGTTTATAACAATTATAAACCCGTTCATAAAATCACTGGGCTTTACTTCCTGTTGATTAGAGAGGAATAATAAGGCATCAATTTGAACTCAGCTATCATTACTTGTTAGTTTGCCCCTTGTATTTGGATGAACGACGGATAACAATCGACTCTCCCAACACAGCAGAGAAACATAAAAATACTTTTTTCTGGATCTTCCGAACTTACCAGTGATCTACTCCATATTTTCAAATAGTTCATAATTTCATAGAAATTACAAAACGATTTTGAATGTATCCTGCGTTTTCATGCTGCATCAAGCACCAATATTTTTATTGAGACTGCCAAGTATGGTGTGTCAGTTCAATGAAAGCCTACCATACAAAACTGTTGCATAATAAAAATATAATTTCTGGATAGGAGGGTCAAAATTCTCACATTAAATTGGTTAAAAAAAACACAAAAAAGTACTGTAAGGAATAATGACATGGGTAAGTGACATGGAAACTTTAACAAGATGAACTAACACAGGATCACTCATTATTATTTTGATTGTAAACTGGATTCTATAAGGTGGATCACACAAAAAATCCACAAGGTTATAATGAAGGTGACCAGTTTGGTTACACCATATCACATCGTTTTTAGGATGGATTGAAGATCTGCTACAGATCAATAAGCCTTCTCACAATGTAATCATGATATTTTATATAAAGGTGTATTACCTGTTTTCTACTTCCACTTGATAAATTACAAACAGCCAATCGTAACAATGTTCTCTTCTCGTGTATGTCACCTTCTGAATCAACGCATAATCCTGATCCCATATGTTTTAACTAAAATAATTAATAATTTACAACTGAATCCTTTGTTATTTTAAGCACTTTTTTCTATCAAATAAACCAATAAATTTTCTGAATTACAATATTTGCAATATTTTAGTCACAAAAATTCATTTTTCAGAATTTTCGCCTTCATGTCACATTTTATCATCATTGGCAAATGTGTAGAGCGGTCACTGTCAAGTCATCATAATAATATTATTATTAAAGATAGTTACAACACATGCAATTAATGTGATAGAGTTCTTCTTAGAATTAGTTTTCTGTCTTACAATATGATTTTGTGAAGAAAGGATTACACTGAACAACTTACCAATCCTTTTCTTTTAATAACAATATCTTTACGTATAAGTTGTGCCATCATATTACCCTTTCTACCCTCTCCATTCGTATCAGGTATATTCTAAAAATAACAAAATTTAAAGTGAAAATAAAGATCATCAACAATATAATCAATTGAAAAAGAACATTACACTAGTATCCATCACTGAGAAATATATCTCTAAAACAATAATATGGATGATAATTCAAGTCTTAATTCTATATTCTTAGTTCTTCATTTGTTACCACAAATCAACATTTGTTATGTAAATTTGAGTAAAAACCCTATGGCTTTGTATTGTGTGTGACATGTACCTTGAGTTGAGGTTGATGTTAAAAAGTTTTTTATCTTAAAAGAAACATGTGTTGCCAGGCAATTTAACAAAAACACTTCCACCAGCTTTGTCATACTCTTAAATTCAGGCACCATCTTACAAACTATAACCTGTAGGCTATGCATGAATATTTGTGGACTGAACTGAAGTCACAGACTATGACTAAATACGACTAAGTATGTATGCAAATACGACTACTGTTTGTGTGTACAAAAATGTAAACTTTTGACTATTATCACTACAACTTGGGTATCATTTCTCTAAAGATGTTGAATAATTAACAGACTATTTAATTACTTAACACTGCTCCAGAAACTACACAGTTATAGATTATTATCTAATCTAGACAGACCCTTTAAAAACCCAATGATTTTCTATGATTCTCAACAGATTTGAACTGATTTCCAACAATGGATTGAAACCAAACATTAAATACAAAAACTCCTGCTAAAACAACACAACTAAATGATACCCAATTTGTAGTGTATTGCAAACTGTCTAATCATTTATTTTTTCCGTTTACCAAAAGGAAAGAAAATTGTGATTGGACTATAAATTCTTACCTGTTCAGGATAAACATTATCTAAATACCATTTAAAACTTTTACATCCTAATTTCTTTCTTAGTGCCACACGGTCAGAAATATTTCCATATACGGTCTTCTCACCTTCAGGTCTTACATTAAAAAAATATTTCTGAAAAAAGTTGAAGCATCGATCACTTAATAGTATTATTCTGTTAAACTATAAATATGACTGCTGGAGAGTGAAGCTATGTCTTATTTTTAACTATGTTATTTATAAACAAGCAAACACTTATCTATGATGAAGGCTACCTGGTAACCAAAAATAAATCAAAATTTGTTTTATCGTTCTCCATTAAATTTACCACATTAACAGACAAGCAGCCTTTCAATTGTCTGTAAATGACTTAAAATATCGATCAGCTTTGAGATGAACATAGTAACTGATTATAGATGCATTATGTAAGATTTAGATAAAATGCTGGCAGTTATCACTATAATAGTTTAAAATAGTCAACAAATTACTTCATTCTGACTATCCGAGCAGAGTTATGGTCATTTGAAGGACAGTGCAGTCTTGATTGTCACTGCTACTGTTGGTACGATAATAAACAAAGTCTTGATTATCCATATTTAATCAAATTATTAACTGACAATCATCTACAAATCTTTTGAAAATCAAAACCATCTGATGGTCTTGAGAGTTGATTATAGGGCTTGACATGTGAATGAATGTCTAAATAATGATTTATATAACAATTTGGGCCAAACGAAAGATCTGCATAATGCATCTTTAATGAATTCTCTAGACCCCCAGAACAAGATGAAAACAAAGAAATAATTGATAGAACAAACCTTATATTCATCCATCCATGTATGTACAACTCGTAACGAATTCTTCATAAAACTATCTCCACCTGGTGAATTGTAGGGACGTCGTTTACGGAAGATATGACCAACTCGTGAACACGGTATAATTTCTAATCTACCACCACACTGCCAGATCTACAAGAGACGATAGAATGGGTTTAACGTCTCAACAACACCAAATGTATTTTTTGTTTTGTTTTTAAATTTTCGATGGCTTCACTACATGAAGATCTGATCGTTGTTGTGGGAGGGGACCATCAGGGGGTCATACAAGCGACTTTTGACCCTATGAAGTCAGTCCTTTGATTAACCAATCTGCATTGGTGTTCCTACTCAAGTGGTAATTCAGAAACACAATTTTTGCTTTGGTTTTGTTTTTGATCACAGTGAATGTCTACTCACAGTTTCAAACAGTATACAATAAGAACTTGACTCAACAGACCATTTGATTGGCTAATCCCTCACAAAACCCTGAATGGGAGACATTTAACAACTCTTCCAGATCCTGGTGTAGCAAAGACAAGTAAAATGAAATTTTAAACTTTAAAAAAACAAATCTAAATATGATCCGTGTTTTAATCAGATTGCAACACAACAATGTGAGGAAGTACTTGCTTGGACAGTAGCATTTCCTGTCTATTTTCTGTTAGTATTTTAACTGCTAAGATCATTCATGTTTTGATGGAACGGTCAGTGTCCCAACTGAACGACAATCTGATTAAAATACAGATCTATATTTCGTTTATTTTTTTATACTTTCGATGACCTACACTACATGAAGATCTAACCAGTTGTAATGGGAGGTCGCGTCAGGGGTCATACAAGCAGTTTTTGACCCTATGACGTCAGACATTGATTAATCAATCAGCGTTGACGTTTCTAGTGGTTTACCGACAGTTCCATGCAGAGTATGCCAAGAACTCGCCGTAACAGACCATTCCATTGGCTAATTGCTGACATCAACTAGAATGCCTGTTATATAACAACTATTCCAGATCCTAGTGTTGTCAAGACAAGTAAAACAACTATAAAAACGAAACGAAATAGGATGTGTGTTTTAATCAGATTGAACTGCACAACTACGACCATTCGACATCAACAAAAGACAATATAAACAATACTTAGACTATTCAATTCTAGTGTTTTAATATTTCCAGAAATCATCCTTACCCTGAAAGATATTTCTAAATTTTCACCGCCCCAGATATCCATACCAGGATCATATTCTCCCAGTTCATGAAAATATTCTCTGTTCATGGCAAACAATCCACCAGCCATAGTCGGTGATCTAAAATATAATAATAATCTATTTATAGACAAAGCAGGAAGACTGCACAAAAAAACCAGACAGGTTAAATTTTTAGATGGACAAACGTTCTATAATGACTCACTAGTCTTGATTATTCAGCCATGTAGTCTCCTATATCATCACTGATATAATCTCTAGGTGTAATTTAGCGGTTTGATCCCGATGTTGGCCGATGAAGTTCCTAAGGGATTTTTGCTGTTGGTTTATCCTTTCAGTGGTATAGGATTGAGGGCCTGGCAAGGAACAGCATCTAGTTGTTCGGATGGTGAAATAAAATGAAATGGGGTTTAATGTCCTACTGTTCTGCTCCTAAACTGGGCTAATGAAGACGGCCATACGCCATACAGTGTGCTATGAGGGAAATTTTGCCGGGCAGCGGCACTACGGCCTACTCTTATATTGAATTCCAACTGCCAAAGGATCTTTTATGTGCACGCCAATGTGTACACAGGATCTCGGTTTTCCGTCCCATCCGAACGACTAGACATCTGTCCTTGTCAGGCCCTCCGTCCTGCATCACTAACAAGGGGAAATCACGCCGGAAAATCTGGATGAACTTTCTCGGCCAATGCAGGGATCGAACACCCGATATCCAGGCTAGGGATATCCATGGTCATACCCACTTAGCAACGTGATCCCCCTGTTTGGATGGTATGAAAAACCGTTGTCAGATGAAATTCGACATAAGAGTAGGCTGTAGCGCCGCTGTCCAGACAAATATCTTTACAGCACACTGCATGGCGTATATTTGTCTTCATTAGCCCAGAGGATACAATAAAGTACAACATAACTAAACCCCATTTCATTCTTTCAATCAAATTGCTTCTGAGAAATCAGATTTGTTATTACATAATATTTATTTAAGGGTTTATTCATAAACTGTATTCTTACTTTATTGGTTCAGCATGAGTAGATGCATGAGTATTAGATGAAATAGGATCCCATCTGTAGTGCATACCCCAATTAAATCCACCTTTAACGAGAGGTGAGGCTTCATAGATAAATGTATCAGCGTTGATGATATCTATTATTGGTACGACAACATTCTTTCTATTCTCAGATATTCTAGCTAACATCGGTTCTAACCAATTAACATTTACTTCACAATGACTGTCTAAAAATACCAAAACCTAGAAAAAAATATACAAAATGTAAATAAAAAGTTGGGGAATGTTCACAGAGGCTTACTTTTCATTCACTAAATATGTTCCACTCGAGAGCCAAATAAAACTCAATTCATTTTCTTTACTTTTAACTGCTTATGTAACATGTGCAAACTTCAAATATCTCTCAAATGTGATTAAAATACAGATCTATATTCCATTTAGTTTTTTTAAATACTTTCGATGACCTACACTACATGAAGATCTGACCAGTTTTACTGGAAGGTCGCGTCAGGGGTCATACGAGGGGCTTTTGACCCTATGACGTCAGACATTGATTAATCAATCAGCATTGACGTTTCTAGTGGTTTACCCACTATTTGATAATTTCTACATGATATTGCTGGAATCATAATTTAAATCAGTTACAAACTTTAACACCGACTTTTTTAATTTAAGGAAATAATGAAGCAAGCTATGGAGAGAATGGATTACCTCCCCTGTTGCTTTATCAGCTCCAAACATACGAGCTCGTATTAAACCCTGCCTCTCATGACTTCTAATTACTTTCACACCAGGAAGATTTAATGCTAAATATTTCTTTAATCTCCACTTTAGCTCATCTGAAAATTGATAAAATATATCGATTTAAAAAAATATTAAACCTATCTTCCAGGAATGCTCTACCAAATCACACTGATTAGAAAACTCGGATACACAAACCCTCCCAAAATCCATGTAGCAAATCACACTCATTAGAAAACTCGGCCACACAAAGCCTTCCAAATACCAAATCGGACTCATAAGCATGCTCGGCCACACACAGACTCCCAACTACCAAACGCATTCATTAGAAAACTTGGCCACACACACCCTCCCAATATCCATGTACCAAATCACACTCATTAGAAAACTCGGCAACACACACCCTTCCGACTACCAAACGCACTCGGCCACACACACCCTCCAAACTACATGTACTATATCGCACCCATTTGAAAACTCAAGCACACACACTCTCCAATGTACCATACGCACTCATTAGAAAACTCGAGCACACACACACCCTACGAACATATCGCAATTGCAACTACTAAATTACGCTCATCAAAACAAATGTCACACACGCACATTCTCCTAACTACCAAATCATACTTGTCAGAACACACGGCACACAGGCACATTCTCTTAACTACCAAATCACACACATCAGAACCATCCGTCACACATGCACATTCTTTTAACTACCTATGGAATACAACTTGAACTGAGTGAATGAAAATCCCTTACCATCGTCGCTAAAATCATCAACGAGAATAACTTCATGTATCAGATGTTTGGGTGATCGATGATAAACTGAATGTACTGTTCGTATTAATGCTGAAAAAGCCTCGTTAAAGAAACAGATGACAACACTCACGGTTGGAAGATGTTCAGGATAATGCTTGTCTTTACATCTGAATTAAAAAATAAAGATTTCAATATTTAAAAGATGGATCAAGCAATTAAATTATTTTCTGGTCATTATTTAAAGTTGCACATGAATGATCATACTCCTCGCAGTGTTTCGTTTGATTATACCTAATCCCACTTAACACTGCTGTAAAGGAAGCAAATTTCTGTTCCAAATTATGACTGGTCAATAGTTCGATTAACCAATAGCTAACTGCGTAACAATATCATTACGCTCCAAATTTGATCAAGTATGTTTAAATAACGTTATGTCATGACTCACAACGCTATTATGCCCAACTAAACAGTGCATAGCAGAATATTGCAGAAAAACTAATTGCGTGACAAACAAGGCTATCAAAACGAATACAATGTAAACAATACTGTTTGGAGATAAACAATACTTTCACTGTTTTTAATACCTTAAATCACTGTCCAAAGTTTTAGGGAAAACCCCAGATTAAACGAAGGGCTGTCATGTTGCTGTACTTGGGATAGATTTGATTGAACGGGAAGAATAGACACACTCCCTCAAAAGCTCAAGCATCAGAAGCGAATCCAGCAATAGCCAGAGAGGGATTTCTCGGTCCATTGCTTCAGGAATATGATGAATGATGTTAACCCCAATTACATAGTTCTAGTACTAATGTTATATTTTCCAATCTTGTGCATAGTTTTTGTTTTTTGAAAAAGGATTAATGCCCTAACTATGTAATGGGTAAATTCATTGCTATTCTATATATTTTATTCAAATGTCTATGTTTCAAACAATACCCATTATTAGTTTTGGACTTGGACTTGACAAATTGGCTCATTTCTATAAATGGAATAGTGCTAAAACATTTTTTTTCAATGTTCTAACAATGAGATTCATCAACACACAGTCGCTCTTGGCTACACTAGGATAATAGAATGCTCCTTTTTTCCTATATTGTCTTTTTTTTTTTTTCTTTTTCAAGTCTGTATTACTGCAGGCCTGGGATTGTACAGAACAGTGGACGCATATGCATGGTTCCAGGATCTATTTACTTTAATCTGATATTGTTATTATTTTTTGCTTGCAATGTCCATGTGTTATGTGTCTTGTCCGTGACTTTGTCTTCCATGTTCGTGTTTGTTTATAAGTGTTGTTGTTTAACAAGTGGGGTGGGTAGATGGTCGAATGGTTAGCGTGTGCACGCTGTATCATAAGGTCTTTCATTGAGTCAACTGGCGTGGTTTTTATTCCCTGGTTGTACGTGACAAGGAGTTGGGTCGCCTGTCCAACCTCGTGGGTTTTCTCCGGGTCCTAGGGTTTCCACCCACTGCTAAAGATCCCTACGCACAAGTAAATTATTGAAATAAAATTGAACCATGTTAGTCACAAAATGACCTAGTTTGTGGGCGTTAAACCCCATTTCTCTCTCTCTCTCTGTTTAAGTTACTTACACTTTATTTCGTACGTCTGGAAGAGGTCGTGTAAATGATAATTTATCACTGACTAAAACATTGAAAGCATGTTGATGATATCCTGAAATATCCAAACAATAAATACATTATCATTCAAAATTTCCATTCAAAACTTATGTATGCTTAATCCAGCTGCACCTGGTTTGCTACTTCTAGCTTGTCAAAAGAGTCCTGTGAATAGTTATGAACTATTTTAGGACTGTATACTAGTTCAGGGGGATCACGGTGGCTAAGTGGGTAAGACGCTGGCTCGCTAGCCTGGCGGTCAGGTGTTCGATCCCAGCATTGGCCGAGAAAGTTCATCCAGATTTTCCGGCGTGGTTCTCCCTTGTCAGTGATGTAGAACGGAGGGCATGACAAGGGCAGCTGTCTAGTCGTTCGGATGGGACGAAAAACCGAGGTCCCGTGTACACATTGGCGTGCACGTAAAAGACCCCTTGACAGTTGGAATTCGATATAAGAGTAGACCGTAGTGCCGCTGTCCGGGCAAAATTTCCCTCATAGCACACTGTATGGCGTATGGCCGCTTCATTAGCCCAGTTCAGAGCAGAACAGTAGGACGTTAAACCCTTTTCATTTCATTTCATTTCATTTCATTTCATACTAGTTCAGTGGCTTTCACACTTTCGAAGAGGTACAATCTTTCAGTTCTCATAGTGTTGATGATCATCAAGATTCGCTCTTACAATTTATGATATACATCATATATATACACGCTGTGACAATTTGTATTTGACAAAATCTTTGACAGTCCAGGCTTGCTTTTAAATGAGTTACACAACCCTGTTATGCAAATATGGGGATCATTTCTTAACGGCTCAATATTTACATTTAAAACTTTAATAGAGAGCAAGCAGTCTATTGCTTTAGACTTCACAGATTGATTGGCATACTTAAACACAATTTTATTTAGTTCCAAAAACATAAACGAAAATGAGGCTGTCCAAACAATAGATGGCCTACCTGCATCATGAATTTCCTGATCTTTTTTAGTCTTGATCTGTGCCAGGTCAAAAAGGACTTCTTCTTTATATATATCCCCATGATCACTGACGTTTAGAGTGTCAAACTCCTCCCCCAATCTATATCGAGATTTCATGTGAAATCGGGGTCTATGATTCAGTCCTGCAATTGGATCATCATTCCAGAGGATGTATCCTAGGAAACAACAAATTGCAACAGACAAAGCGAGCAGTATAATGAAACATCTTAAACTCTTCAGTCTTGGCATAGCAGCAAGTTGGCACTTCTTTTCATCATACACCTCTCTGTTGATTTATTTGAAACTACTGGGGGTTTTCTTGAATGTCAAGTCATTTCTGAAAGGAATGGTTTGTATTAAAAATTAGAATGGAATAAAATTGTTAAAAGATTGATATATATACTATTCAAAAAAAGTAGGGGATATTTGATTTTGGGGGCATAATACTAAAATATGCAAATGACTACGAAAAAAGTCACTATAGAACCTAACAGAAGAAACATTTCCAATTACATGTGACGCCCAAACGCACCAATAGCTACCGCATGGAATGCAGGTGATGCTTGGGATCATCATGGGGGTCCAACCCAAGATTTGCACGACTCTGACTTTGAATGTTACAGTCATTGTGGCATTGAATTCCAGGGTGGAAACATCAGTTTAATTGTTTTAGTGACCAGAAAACAAATTTTGATATGCGTCGGCTTACCCAAAATGAAAGGTTACGTGCCCTTGGCATGCTACAGATCGACACAACACAGGCGGTTGTGGCGCGGACGATGAATGTTTCTCAGTCTGTCATAAGCAGGCTATGGTCCAGATACCGTGATACACAATCTGTACAGGACAGACCACGCTCAGGTCGACCAAGGGCGACAACTCAAGCCCAGGATCGATTTATCCGTACCTTGGCCTTGAGAAATCGTGTCATCACAGCAAATCAGATCAGCGCTCGTCTTCAAACAGACACTGGTGTGAGAGTGAGTGGCCAGACGATTCGGAATCGACTGCATAGGGGTCACCTTCGCGCCCGACGTCCTCGCGTGATCCCTTGTTTGAGAGATCATCACATTCAGGCAAGACGTCGTTGGTGTAGGGATCGTCAACACTGGGATAATCGACGCTGGAGCAATGTGATGTTTTCAGATGAGTCAAGGTTCACTGTTGATTTTTTGGACAGACGTAGGAGGGTGTGGCGTCGTCGAAACGAGCGCTTCCAAGACGTTAACGTCATCAGACATGATCGATTTGGGGGTGGTTCTGTTATGGTGTGGGGAGGCATCACTGTTGCTGGAAGAACGGCTTTACATGTTGTTGCAGGGCGTGTTACATGCCAGTACTACCGGGACAACATCTTGGCAGTCCATGTTGTGCCGTTCGCACGACGTCATGGCCGCCGTTTCATCTTCCAGGATGACAACGCAAGATGTTACAGGGCCAGGATCGTTACAGGTTACCTCCAACAACAGAACATCACCACATTACCTTGGCCAGCACTGAGTCCCGACCTCTCCCCCATCGAGCATGTCTGGGACATGCTTGGACAGGGGTTACGTCAACGTCAACAACGTCCTGCCAATGTCCAAGAACTTGCTGCTGCGTTGCAACAGGAATGGGACAATCTGGACCAAAATGACCTTAGACGTCTCATAAGGAGTATGCCACGTCGGATCAATGCTTGTTTGGCAAACAGAGGAGGATTTACCCGTTACTGACTTGGTTGTGATGCTGTGGTAACTTTGCTGTTTGACCCCGGGTATCATTTTACCCTTATAATGGTCAGTCTGTGCCTTACTTAGTCTAACGATCATTTGGAATAAATCGATGAATGTGAACTTCATTTCATTTTGTCATTTGTTTCTTCGTCAGTTTCATTAGGTGACTTTAATAACACTTAAAAATCAAATATCCCCTACTTTTTTTGAATAGTATATATTGACATATTAATTACAGACAGTGAAAACTGACAAGTCAAAAGTAATGTTGTATTCATTAGACAGTTGATTTTATTTTTTTCATTTAGCAATGGGATATCATAATTTCATTTAAATAACTATGCCAATTGAAATTAAAATCAATCTACACTATTTGACAATCTCACCACAAATAAAAAAATGCATGCCTCGCTCGAAAATAAACTAGCATTATTAGTTAGTTTGTCAGTTGATCAGAGACAACTAAAACATAAGCGTCCTTTAATCAGTCCGACAAGGTAATACCATGCCATACTTTTCAAAGACTTTCATGATACAGTGTTCCTATATTGTCAAGTATGTCATGTACCAGTACCAGCCAGTAGGCTACTGAGGAGTTAAAATTTTGTATCCAGGTTTTGCCAAATTCAAATTGATGCTGAAACTCACTCAAGTCCCATATACACAAGCCAAGGAACCGAGCCCCTCCACTCCAGGTACTACTAAGTCATTTAGTCTGGTCATTGCCTTGAGATACGATCCTGTTATTATTTATTTCCAAATTAGAATTCCAGTGGTGGAAACTGTTGACTGGGGCAGGGGTCAAAGTGACCCAGAAGGTCCATGCCATGCATTCGTTATTTTAAATATAATGCCTTTGCCTTTAGCTTTCAAATAGATCTACATCTTCAAAAATATTTGTTTATTCACAGAACATTTCATCAAAATTTAATTACAGCAAAACTTACTTAATAGAAGATATCATCAAAATATGTTAGTACACTGATCTAATTTAGTCTGTCAACAACAATGTGCACTTCTCCACTTTTATTTTCATCAATGAAGAGGGTTGTGTCATTAATCGTGTCGCTTACTTCATAAAAAAAAATACCAGGGAAGTCATTTTTCTATACGCAAATACTGTCGATTAGCTATGATGGACATTTAGGGATATATATTTTTTTTATCAAATTATCATTGTTGTTGAGAAATGTTGCTTATTAAACATTCGTGTGGAAATTAAGTTAATTTTTTAACGCAGTAAGCAGTTCCATTTAATATTTGGTTAAAGGTAGCGAACTCCAATTAAAAACTTACTGGAGGCAGACCACATTAAATTTCACCCTCTCGGTACCCGTAGTTCGTCTGTTTAGAGCAACCCCCTCCCCCTCTTTTCTCCCCTTTTGCATGCCCATATTTGTTGCTTTTTTGGTCTAGAATGGACGAAGAGGGTTTGAATTAACATTTTCTGCCAGGTTGGAGCCGGACAAAGAGACCATAATTAACATTGAAGTCAATGGGGAAATTAATGGTGGTCTGCGTCCGATTAGTAAAATTGAAGTTGCCTCCCTTCAATTACACAAGCTCAGAAATCCAGAAGTAAAACCGGTCGGCATAACACGGCCATTGGCATTGCAAGCATGAATGAATGAAATGCGGTTTCTGCTCCAATAATGGAAGGAAATTTTCCCCAGACATCAATTGATTTCCAATTATAATAGTAAGTGCAGGAGGACCGCACTACACGTAAAAAGTGATTATTTTACGTGCACACCATGGGCATGGGCGATGCACAGTATCAGAGAGACTAGAGAGAGAGAAAAATGGGGTTTAACGTCCACTCGACACAAACTAGGTCATTTCGGGACTAACACATGGTTCAATTTTATTTCAATAATTCGCTTGCGCGTTGTGGTCTTTAGCAGTGGGAGGAAACCGGAGGACCCAGAGAAAACCCACGAGGTTGGACAGGTCGGCGACCCTACTCCTTCAAGTCTTTGTCACGTACAACCGGGGATTTGAAACCACGCCAGTAGACTCAGCACAGTATCAGACTCAGAGTATGCCATTGATGGGGCACAGTGACAGTGAGCCCGGCTTTGTAATTTTTTTAATATTTTTGGAAAAATCAATTGTGATATCATTGGGAAATTCACCTTTACAGCCCCTATATTTGTAAGCTGATTAATATTTAACCGTTTTTCTGACAAAAGTAAATTTTTAGTGGACTCGTTCAACTGTTTGGCTCCAGATTTAGTTTGAACCCACGATCTAGAAATTCCAGGTGGAGGAGATAGAAATTGACTCCCATCAGAAATATTTTGTTTCATATAATACTAGGCCCTATCATGTCTTCCTGTCATTTTTGAATTTCTATTGTGGTTGATGATGGGACACAGTGGGTCACATTTCAGAGGGGCACACTGCTGAGCACAGGCATTTCTAGTTCACCTAAAAATCGTCTGTCCATTTTAGACAGAATCTGGCCATTTGAGGTTTTTTTTAAGGAAATATTGGTCCAAGGTAACTAATCCTTACTGACTCATACACGTGATAGGATACATTTACATAAAGGATTTTTTTTTTCTCAAGTTTAAGATTTTTGTATTCAATGTTAAGCTGTTTTTTGTTGAAATTTACAGCTGCATAGGCTATCTATGTGTTCAAGTCTTAAAACAAATTCATATTTTGAACTAAAACTTTAGTATTTACAGTCGTTGTGTGTTCTTGTATCAATGTGTTGTCAATACATTTTTTTAAAAAAAACATGCTATGGCCATACGTTTGTCCCATTGCAGGTCCTGTGACCAGGTAGAAATGGTTCCACTACTGATGTCTTCCGCCTTACTCCAGCCACAGTAGTGGCTTGACCTATGGAGTTCCTTTGCGCAAGTTTTTTAGTCAAATGACTACAAAAAGGTTACTGGCCTATAGCTCCCTTAATTTACACATAAACTGAGCCAAAACTGCACTGCACATAGTAAACCAATTCCCATTGAAATAAAGGTGAAGCCTTCCCTACCGCATAATTATATGATTTGATGAAACCTAACTGCCTTATAATGTCCGTCGGTGTTATGGCCGCGCACATTATAAGAAACATCGCTTTGAAAATGTAGAACGCATTAACACAGAGTAAAACTGGTCGGTAACTATTTTAGTGGTCCAGTCTTCACTATTTGTGATAGAATTACTTATTTCAAAACAAACTGTAATGATATGTTTTGACAATTGTGCGTTTGAACCTATTTGAACTTGCGTAAGGAGTCTTAGACTGTATCAATTGTAGCGTTATACACATAACGCTACGACTTTGTAGCTAGTGACCAGGCTGCCGGCAGGTGTACCTCGCTATTTCGGTTTTACAATGAACTACACAAAAATGGTTTCAATTTATTAACTTCTTATTTAACAGACGTTAAATCAAACATATGACTGGCTTCAGATTGATTTTCTGTAGGATTTCACTTCTGGTCAATTCAGTAAAAAAGAGAGATCATGTCCACTGTACCCTGCTCTCCCCTACAAAGGACTTCATTTTGTTCGTCCTATCCGAATGACTAAACACTGAACGTTCCTCCTTGCAAGATCCTCCGTCATGCTCCACTGACAAGGGATCACCACGCCGGAAAATTCTAAGGAAATTTCTCGGCCAACACCGGAATCGAACCCGGAACCCCCCAGCTCTTTACTCTCTGAACCACTGTGGCTCCTACATTGCAAGCAATATAAACAATGAAAATATTAGTCTATACATCTATCTGAATGATGGTAGACCTACATTGAAGAAGACTGTTTTTAACCTATCCAGTTTATACAAATAAACAAAAGATAGGTTGCCAGGCATTAAAACATATGCCCACAGCAGCTAAATCATCCGGGCAGTCAACAAGAGTTGTCGCATATTTTTACTTTTGTTGGTAATGAAACATTTATAATACACTAAAACCTGATTAAGAGTAACAACTCATTAAGTAATTATCAGAAAATCATTAAAATGTGTTTGTCCCATGCTAACGTTTAGTGTACAAAACATTTAATATCATGGATTTAGCTGTTTAAATTATCAAAAACCATTGAAAATCAATATACTTGTTCGTCTCACAGACCTTAAACTCTGTGTATCAATCTAAAGTCAATCGAGAGAATTATATTAATATAGGCGTAAACACAGTGTATAATTATAAAATCAATCAGATGATAATCTAAAATCATTGTCAAAAAATCCCACCGAGCCAGTTTTGAGAAATCTATATGAATTCTGCACTAAGCTAAAACACAGTTTCTTTTAATCAGTCCGACAAGGTAATACCATGCTATATTTTTCAAAGATCTTTATGATACAGTTTTTCTATATTGTCAAGTATGTCATGTACCAGTACCAGCCAGTAGGCTACTGAGGAGTTAAAAATTTTGTATCCAGATTTTGCCAAATTGATGCTGAAACTCACTCAAGTCGGTAGTACCATACACAAGCCAAGGAACCGAGCCCCTCCACTCCAGGTACTAAGTCATTTTGTCTGGTCATTGCCATGAGATACAATCCTGTTATTATTTATTTCCAAATTAGAATTCCAGTGGTGGAAACTGTTGACTGGGGCAGGGGTCAAAGTGACCCAGAAGGTCCATGCATTTATTTTAATAATGCCTTTAGCTTCCAATCAATAAATATTCTAAATAGATCTACATCTTCAAAAATATATTTGTTTATTTACAGAACATCTCATCAAAATTTAATTACTGCCAAACTTACTTAGTGGAAGATATCAGCAAAATATGTTAAGTACATTGGTCTAATTTAATCTGTTGTATTTTTAATCATGTCGCTTACTTCATAAAACAAGCGGTTGCCATGTAAGATACGCCCACATTTTGCAAGAGATGGACAGAAAACAAGCTAAAAAATAATTGATTTTTCGTACAATCAGGGGCTATAATTCAGGAAGTTTCGGTCTGATATGTGTGAATATCTACAGGAACCTGCATCTTCAGGATGTAAACATATAAGTTTCATCAAAATCAGATAAGTCGCAGACATTTTGTCTGGCAGTTCGGTCAGATTGTTTCGAAATTTGAACTCAACCTTCATTGATGTGTAACGGTGATATATTTATCGTTTTTTAAAATTGAATACAAATTGTGACTTCTAGCGGGTCCACAAGCTTAAACAGCAATTTTCCGTACAAACAAAGGTCATAATTCAGGACGTTAGGTTCGGATATGCCTGAATATAGCAAGGAACAAAGATTTTTGGGTTATAAACATGTATTTAAAGTTTCTTCAAAATCAGATCAATATTGTGACCTCTAGAGGGCCCAAGACCTTGATACCATAATTTTACACTATTTGCGTATGAGGGGTGGCCATTTTGTCCAGCAGTTTTGATCCAATTTTCACAAAATTCAAACTCAACCATCATTAGGTTGTAACGGTGACATATTCAAATGTTTTTTAAATTGGATAAATATTGTCACCTCTAGAGGGACAACGAGCTAAAAACGCGATTTTTCGTACAATCAAGGGCCATAATTCAGGAAGTTACAATCCGATATGCAAGAATATCGAAAGGAACCCAGATCTTTGGGTTATAAACATGCATTTCAAGTTTCATAAAAATTAGATAAAAATTGTGATCTCTAGAGGGTCCACAACCTTGATATACTATATTTTCACACTATTTGCGTACAAGGGGCAGCCATTTTGTCCGGCAGTTTTGATCCGATTTTCACGAAATTCGAACTCAACCATCATTAGGGTGTAACGGTGACCTAGTCAAACGTTTTTTTTTTAAATCAGATAAAAATTTTGACCTCTAGAGGGACCACAAGCTAAAAACGTGATTTTTCATACAAATGGGGACCATAATTCAGGAAGTTACAATCTGATATGCAGGAATATCGAACGGAACCAAGATCTTTGAGTTATAAACATGCATTTCAAGTTACATCAAAATCAGATGAAAATTATTACCTCTTAGAATGTCCACAAGCTAAATACATGATTTTTCATACAATCAGGGGCCATAATCCATGAAGTTATGGCCCGATAAATGCCAAGATCCAAAGGAACCAAGATCTTTTGGAGATACATGTAAGAGTTATATTTCAAGTTTTGTCAAAATCTGATAAAAATTGTGACCTGTTGAGTGTCCACAAACAAAGTGTGGATGGATGGACAGGGGCAACGACAATATACGTTCACATAATAATGTGGGCGTACAAAAATACAAGGAATGTCATTTTTCATATTGTCGATTAGCTATGATGGACATTAAGGGATATTTTCATTAAATTATCATTGTTGTTGAGGAATGTTGCTTATTAAGGATTTGTGTGGAAATTTAGTTTAAAAGTTTAATGCAATAAGCAATTTCGTTTAATTTTATTTTAAAGCTATTCTGTCTAGTGAGCGTATAACACTACTAAAAAATCTATTTGTTATATTATCACTGTGCGAGCTCATCACAGATTGCTTCTTTATCAACAATACATAGATCACTATTTATTTTACAACTGTGCATGACTTCATCGCTAAATGTTTTATAATTTATCACAGGTGACTTTTCGCCACTGTTTTACATGAGAGTTCATTACTGATTTTTTTCTTGATCACTATTGCTTTTAGCACTTAATAGTTCATCACCACTTTCTTTAACACCATTGGATACATCGGTAAACAATGGTTGATTATATTTATCTGCAATACATCTATCAATATTTTCACTACTGTGATGGTTGTGGGTGGAATGGTTATTGTCTATAGCTGGTCTTTCTTTAGCAGCAGCTGCCTTGGCTAAAGTATAAATATACAGTGGTTCACCTCTATCAATACTCTCTACATGTTTTAATGATCTATGATCAAAATGCTGTATAGACAACATCATGGCCAAATCTCCATCTAAATATGGTTCGCCATAACTTTTTGTTGTTGTTTTTTTTAACTCGTGTTGTCTGTCAAACGTTCTAATAGAAGTTGTTATTTCTTTCAATGTTTTTCGTTTCTTTTCTTCAAGCGCTGCATACACATCTTTAAAACCGAGTGCTTCTTTACATTGTTTTTCTCTTTCCAAACCTTGTACGTTAAGTTGACAGAAATGTTTTACCATAGAAAATAAACGGGTATCCTTACTAAGATCAACAACTGTTTTACCATGTTGATTAGATAAATAAGGATTAGCACCACACTGTAACAATACCTGAACAATATTATCCTGTTCTCTTTCTACAGCTATGTGAAGAGCAGTATTACCCTTTATATTGCTATGATTGGAGTTTGAACCATATTGAAGTAACATTTGAACGCCACCATAGAAACCATTGGCACAGCACAGAATTAATGGTGTATCACCGTTCATATCAGTTTTATGAACATTGGCTCCATGTTCTAATAAAATCTGTATAATCGGTTTATGCTGAAGAAAGCAGGCAAGATGAAGTGCTGTTAAGTTTTTATGATTACTAACATCAAGTACAGCCCCTTGTTCTATAAATAGTTGTGCAATATCATAATGTGAGTTCATTACAGCTAAATGTAATGGTGTATAACCTGTTACACTCTGACAGTTAATTAAATTATATTTCCTATTTACACTACTAGGATTTTGTAAACTGGAGCAATTAGAACAATTGCATAATGGATGACAAAGGTTTTCCTCTAGACCAGTGGGTAATTGTTGATTTTCATCATCTTCATCATCACTATTATAAAGATTTTTATCAATACCCAAGTAAAACTTGACCAACTGTATATCACCAGTAGTTACAGCTTTAAATAGTTTATCTTGTTGTTTCTTCAAGGAGCTTGTTGTTGGATGTAGTGTTTCTGTTATATAGCTTGTAGCACTATAATTACTTTCTGTATCTTTACTCTCTTTAACACTTGATTCTTTCAAACGTGATGTACTTTTAATTTTCGGCCCTTTTTTCTTTACAGCAACCTTTTGTGGTTTATCTATCACCTGTGATCTTGTTTCCACCATTAGTCGTTGTACCATGATGTTTTGGGCTAGACTTATTGGTGTTTGTCTTCTACGATTTTTAATGGTAGCATCAGCACCATTTTCTAATAATGTTTTAACAATTACATCATACCCCCATTTAGCTGCCATGTGTAGAGGTGTCTCACCTATATCATTCTTCAAGTCAACCTCAACTCTTTTATTATCATAGAAAACCAGACCTTTTACACAATCTTCATGACCATTAGCAGCTCCTAGATGTAAAGCTGTATTACCATCATTATCAGCACATGATACATCAGCTCCAAAATGTAACAATAATAACATGACATTTTGGAATCCTTTTTGACAAGAAATGTGTAATGGAGTTAAACCAAGATAGTCTGTAGCATCTACTATAGCACCGTATTTAATTAAAATATCAATTAAAAGAGCTTGACCATAATATGCTGCCACATGTAATGCTGTATAACCTCTATCATCACGAGTAAGAGCTGTAACTAAACTAGAATCCAGTCGATTCTTTGCAAGTAATCTTTCACAGCGATCACATGAACACAATGGATGACAAAGTTTTAAGTAGATTTCTTCTGTACATTTATTATCCAACATCTTTAATACAGCTGCTTCATCTCCTAATTGTACGTACTGAAAGAATTCGTCTATAGCACTGGGATTGGTTGAACTCTGCCTCTGTATTCCTTCATCTTTATAACTTCCTGCCAAAGTTAATGGCTGCCACCGTTCAAACATCAGTTTATCTTTAGTAATTACTTCGTCATTAATTTGACCACTCTTTATATGCTCTAATGCAGCTTCTACAGATGCTAAATAAAATCCAAATTCATCATCACTGTTAGATTTAGCCAGATGAAAATGTTGCATATAGGCAAGATTAGCCAACCAGTTAGGTATCTCTGATTTAATAATAAGAAAGATTAAAATAGGTAAAAAATCGTCAGTTGTCATTAAACTATCGTCACTGGAAGACTGCGATGATTGTCTGGATGGTTTTGTTAATGATGCGACAACACGTTTTATACAGAATAGTCGACCCAATGGTGTACTGTATTGGTTTAATTTAGATAACTCTTTTTTGGCTGGTGGAATGTTCTGACTGAAAACTTTTCTAATTCCCATGTCTTGTAATTGTAAATCAATCATGTTTCTTGTTAGTTTGTTAATTTCTGCATCCTGAGAGGCCAGACTAGCAGTTATCACACGAAATAACTTCTTATGGATAGAATTCATTAGATATGTCTCTACTGCTACTTTCAAACTCTCCCTATATTCTGGATTATGTTTAGATGAACGTCTCACTACAGAATCTTTCAATAAAGTCTGCATAGCTTTAGTAAACTGAGAAGAAGCTACATCTGCAATATTCCTTATACTTTCTCCTTCCAGATTATCATATGATGCAGCAAAACTTGTGAGCATTTTATCTAAATTATCTCTTGCTTTCTTTCCACCTGAGTGACTCCATAGTATATCTAAACATTGCTCATAACTTGTCAGTCTTCTTGATGATGATGGTGGTGGTTGAGTTGCCCCTTCTTCCTTTTGCTTGTCTTCTTTATTGAAAAATTTTTCAATACATATAACACGAAAACTTTCATCCTCCTCAGTATGAAATGTTTCTTCAAATAAAATCTGAACTTCTTTTTGTTGTTGATAACCTTTACACAATTTAATTACACCATTAATAATACAAGCTTCATTGCCTGATAATGATATAAAATTGTCATTTAAATCACACTGTTTATTAAGTACGGGCTGTAAGATATGATCTAATATATCATTATCTTTTATTACAACACCTTGTGTCTGACTGAATTTAGGTACACAAATCACCCAGCCATTTTTGGCAGCCTTGTTAACTACATCTTTTTTCTGGTTTTGAATCTGGTGAAAAAACTGGTTTTCATACAAATCTTCATCATATTTATTCATGTTTCTTCTTCTTAGTCATACATGGTATATTCACAGGTATCTTACCATTTTTATCTATGCTTTTGAAGTATGGTCAGGTAGGTCAATATTAACAACTTTTACTTGACAAGATTATATCCGGTTAATGCTAAATAATAAGGCCAGCTCAATTTTTCGTTAATATAGGGGACGAGATGTAAACATTGCTAGCGTTAATCCCAACCCTAACCCTAAACCTGGACCTAGCCCCAATGCTTACCCTAACCCTAACCTATAATCTCGCCAACAATCACGTGCCTTAACCTTATTTACATCTCAGCGAACTTGACAAAAATTGAGCTGGCCTTAAGAAATAGATGTAGTTATAATTTCCTGTAGACGACTTTAACTGCGGAATTATCTACTTTAATATTTGGTCAAAGGTAGCGAACTCTAATTAAAAACGTACTAGTAAAATTATAGTTGCCTCCCTTCAATTACACACGAACAGAAATCCAGAAGAAAAACCGGTCGACACGAATATTATTTTACGTTAATATACGTAGATGTCATTGGGTAGATATACACGGACATTGCATTCAAGCATGAATAAAATTGGAGTTGCCTCACTTCAGTTACACACGAACAGAAACCCAAAAGAAAAGACCTACCACACAGTACACGGACATTGCAATAATTAAGCATGAATGAATGAAATTGGGTTTCTGCTCCAATAAATGAAAATTTTGCCCAGACATCAGTTGATTTCCATCTATAATATTGTAGTAAGTGCAGGAAGACCACACTACACGTTAAAAAGGGTTCTTTTACGTGCACACCAAGGGGTGGACGGGACATCGTTTTTTTCTTGTCCTATCCGAAAGACTAGACGTTGTTCCTCCTTGCAAGGTCATCCGTCATGCGCCACTGACAAGGGGACACTACGCCGTATAATTCCGAGGAAATTTCTCGGCCAACACCGGAACCCCCAACTCTTTACTCTCTGAACCACCGCGGCTTCCACATTGCAAGCAACAACAAAAATAGTATTCTACACATCGCTCTATCCTACCGTGTATTCAGTTTATAGAAATGAACCAAAATAAGCCAGTCCAAGACAATCTGGACTTTAGCTGGGCCCCCGAGGACGCCGGTGCCGCAAAGTGCTAACACGGGTGTAGGCTACTCTTACTGCTATTCGTGACACCCAATGACGTAGCATACGCCATTTCCACCTAGATTGTTGCTGAAATCTTTTATTGAAATCTTTAAATCCGACTGAATCCAAACCGGAATATCTACCGCTGATATTTTGAAACATTAAGCGTAGATTAAGCCTCCCATGCTAAATCTAAAATCGTTGTCAACAAATCCCACCGAGCCAGTTTTGAGAAATCTATTATGAAATCTGCACTAAGCTTTAAAAGAAAGATATAAGCGGAAAAATAACTCCCGTTATTTACTATCCGAAAATATTGAAATTTAATAGGATTCTTTCTTATAAATGCCCCAAAGAACAATCTAACAATTTGTTAGTAAACTTCGAAATATCAAATTAGTTTGAATGTTAGTATAGCCTATACCGAATTTTGATAAGGTTGTTGTTCCATGCCCCCCTTTGAACAATTCCTTCATTTTATTAATATTTCTTTCGTTGAGAACTTACATTGACGTTCTCGAAGATTCTGAACAGTTGCCCCCATTTTATTTAAAAATGATTTTTTTACCCAATGACCCATCCAGAGGTTATTTAAATTTCTAATAACATGTACATGAAATTTTATCTAAATAATAATTTTTATTGATATATTTTATCAAGTATGCTCTTCATTATCTCGTTTTATTAAATGTAAATATAATATTGTCTTGCTCTATGACATTCTTTGTAAAGCGCATATGAGCACATTCATGTTGGAGTTATGCGCGTATTATTTTTTTTGTATGCGTATTTCTGAAATTGCTGTGACATGATCAATCTTTTGTCGTAGATATAATATTATTTCTTTCTTTTTTATTCTTTCTTTCTTTTAGAGAAGCAGTGTCCACTAAATACCCCTAGTCCTGTTACCAATCACAACAATTATACCAAACCCAATCCACCTGGGTAAGTAAGTAAATTTATTGCATAAACTGTTATGTCGCTGTGCTTTGCACACCTTTATTCCGAAAAATTTTCATGATGGGGTCGAATGACAGAATATTCGAGTCAACATAAAGTGATGCGTCTGGATAACCAAACCGGAAGTTGACGAAAAATGAGGCTCGACATGGCGGCCGGTGATTATTTTAACATTGGCAGCAAAGTTTCTCTAACAACCTGCCATAATACCGAAGTAAATGGTGAAGTAATTGCATTCGACATAGCCTCAAGAGTTCTTGCACTTAGTATCCTTTCAAAACAAAATGGTTTCTACCTGTGAACTTTGCCATTTCGTCAGTGAAATGGCCACGTGAAAAATCAAAACAACTCCTCAGTCAGCCCTGTTGTGTCCATCAAATTTATATTTTTGAGCATTATTAAATAGTTTCACCCTACATATTATGAGAGGCTGAAGTAGGCCTATTTTATTTAAAGAACGTGGGGGGTTGCAGGAAAGATTGACCATTTATAGGAAGCGTTTTAGAGATTTTGCAGGTAAAAGTTTCAGAGAATATTCGGACAAAAGGTAACTTGGATCTACTAGTTGGTGAAATTGTATGTCTATACTGACTATACATTTATATATCAGTCCTCCAAATGCGTGATTATTCCACAAACGAAAGAACCCAAGTTGTATACGTGTGGTCAAGTCTTTTGTCCTTCACTGTTATGTACTAATTTAATTTCAGGCCTATTCGTTCACTACCAGTGGGATCACTGGGATGCAAGGAGGGCTGACCAAGTAGGCATTTCCTTGTCCCCCCCCCTTTCTCCCTACATGACCAGCTTGCTCCTAAATGACTGAGAGACAGGGCCTCTGAAACAGCTAATGACCAAAGGTAACCCCGCTAAAAGCTACCCTTGCTAAGTCTGATCTTTTAAATGTTAGCAGTGAGTAGCATTCAAATTTTAGTACTGGGTAATGTTACTTGGAGCCGTGGTGACTCAATGAGTAAGTACAGATGGAGCAGAAAAGTAGAATGTTAAACCCCGTTCTTTTCATATTAATGTTATAAAATTAATTGTTAGTTCAGTATTTAATTTGTCAAGAAAACATTACCTGGTAATAAGGATTCGATGGCACATACTTAATACATGTAAAGACAGGCACAAAAAGGATTGTGCCTTATAATGTCTGTGACAGGTTCATTATTTCCAGGCTTGATTGTGATTTAGATGTTGCAATTCGAAACATAAGTAGAAAAGTAACATTTATTCAGATTGTGTGAAGGTTAAACTGGAATATGGTGCATGTTCTGCTGAACATATTTGATGAAACCTTAACGATTTATCAGAAGTACCAGCTGCCAGTGGTAAACACAATTTATTTGATGTCCGATTAATAAATCTACAGTTAGTCAGTAATATACAAGTTACACAAGAAGCTCCTGATGTCGAACCGCCTCAATTAACAACACTTAATATGGCCAGAGTAAGTACAGTATAGCACATTTCAAATAGTAATACTACTAAATATATGAGAAGGCCGTAATAGGACAAATTCAATTATGGTCACATTGGTGGATTTTCCTTATCCTATATATATATATAGTAATGTTACTAAGATCTAATAAAATGGTTCTATTTTTGTTTAGTTGAACATCACTGTAGCAGTGGGAGAAATTCAAGTATGTTTGATTTTACCTATCTTATATTTAACAATATTACTAAAATTTTAAATGTATTTATATTTTGTTTAGATCAACAGTAGAATGCGACAGACTAGAGAACAAAAAAGACGACAGCTGGAATATGTTGGTGAAAATGTCAGTCCAGAGGGACAAAATCTATTTTATGCTATAGTTAAAACGTAAGCCTTTTATTTTCAACCTGAAACAGGTCTATATATACTTGTATCGCAATCACACACATAATATATTACCACTTGGGCATGTTTTTCTATTACAAAATGTGTCCAACCTCGTGGGTTTTCTCCGGGTCCTCCGGTTTCCTCCCACTGCTAAAGACCCCTACGCGCAAGCGAATTATTGAAATAAAATTAAACCATATGTTAGTCCCGAAATGACCTAGTTTGTGTCGAGTGGACGTTAAACCCTATTTCTCTCTCTCTCTCTCTATTACAAAATGGGGATCACGTGGGTAAGACGCTGGCTCGCTAGCCTGGAGGTCGGGTGTTCGATCCCTGCATTGGCCACGAAAGTTCACCCACATTTTCCGGCATGGTTTCCCCTTGTCAGTGATGCAGGATGGAAGGCCTGACAAGGACAGCTGTCTAGTCGTTCGGATTGGACGAGAAACCCGAGGTCCTGTGTACACATAGGCGTGCACGTAAAAGATCCCTTGGCAGTTGGAATTCGATATAAGAGTAGGCCGTAGCACCGCTGCCCGGGCAAAATTTCCCTCATAGCACACTGTTAGGAGCAGAACAGTAGGATGTTAAACCCCATTTCATTTCATTTCATTTCTATTACAAAATTAAATATCTTGTAGAAGACAAGGCTAAATTTATGGTATCCATCAGAAATAATCTGAATAATAGTTAAATGGATGTAAATAAGTGCAACGTCCAAAAGGAGTGGGGTGCACTTATTCTGCATGATTTATCCCACCTTTGGGAGTGTTGAGGCATTCAAGCAGCCAAATAACAGCTTTTGTAAGGATTATCTGTGCAATTGAATACAAAAGTATGTTGACCCTGTAAACTCAAATGAGATGTGGTATTCAATGTCCAAGAAAGGGAAATGAAATGTGTTTTACCATCCTACTTTCCTGCACTAACCAGACATACAAGGAGAATTTTGCACAGACTTAATTGTTTCAACTGACTCCTTATCCAATTCCATCAGTCAAGGGTTCTTTGCTGTGCATGTCGAAAAGTACACATGTTCACCTCAGTTTTTCGTATGTGTACCATCCGGGTGACTAGATGATTTTCCTTGTCAGATCTACCATCGTGTACAAGGGGAAACCCAAATAGGATTGAACGATGTACCTCCTTGTTAGTGAGCCAGCGTCATACACAGAGAGCTCCTCGAAAAGGATTAAGGCAACATGATGTGAGGATAGCAATGGTGTGATTTTATATTTATAGTATTAATGAAGTAAAATGGGATCAACAGACAATTGTAGTAATGGATGAAGTATCTATAGAACCGCCATATAGATTAGAGGATTGTAAAGGCAAAGGCCAAATGTTAGATCACGTCAAGAAAATAGTAAGTCTTATTCGTAACCCATTATTCATGATATTTCCTGCTATATGAAATTACTCATGTATTATTAATGTAAACTGTTTCAATGGCATTTAGTAATTGAACTAGAGTATACAGGTCACAATTCTATGGAATACAATTACTGCTTTTTACTGAGCGACGTTTCGACTAGGCTTCTCTAGTCATTATCAAGCTATGATAAAAAATGAAAATATGACAGGACAATATATACATGTACACCACAATGCTAAGTTAATGATGACAAACCAGGGATGTAACTTAATTACGTGTACCTAATGGTAATCTGATTTAATTTACGCTAATAAGTAATAATACCAATTAACCTAAAAAATTGACTAATTGATTAATGGATAAGTTGTTGTGGAGTATACACAATGATTAGTGGGTTTTAATAATACAAACGTTGCAAGAAAATGAAAATTGATGAAATGTTATCAACGACCCCTCAATGAAATAAATACAAATGGTAAAAGGATAGATTGTTGTGGAGTATTTACAACGATTTGATGAGGTTTTGATAATGACAACATCCCACGAAGATGAGATTTGATTTGTGTTATGACCAAAATAATTGATATGTGGATGTTGATGCGAGTGATTACACTGATATACGAAAAACCCTTAGAACAATGACTGCACAAATGATCAATAGTCCCCTGAAGGCTGACAATTTAAAATATTGAGTGGTACTTCACTGGATGTTATGGTGATGTAGAAAAGCAGGGTTAGAAATATTGAGTGCATTAAATTACAATAACCGCAGGCCTGAAAAGCAGAAATGCCTGAAAAGCAAAAATAGTTGGGAATTATTAGTTGTCATTTTTGCATATTATGATGGTTATTACAAACTTAAAGTTGTTACTGGAATATTGATAAGTATTAAATATGATAAAAAAGAAAAAAGTAGAATTATGCTTAGCCTTGATTATGTGATAAGAATATCATACGCCCTGGGAAGGAACAATCCTTGATCTCTGTTCATCGTTGGTTTGTGTCGTCGTATATGAATGGCTTCATGTAATCGGCGCGCTCTCTTGTTGCTTATGTTCTTGCATAGTGGTTTTACGTTGGACCATTGGACTCTGTGGCGAGGGTTGGAGTTCAAATGTTCAGCTACAGCTGAGTTGTTGGTTGCTGCTTTCGACTTGTGGTCATCTATCCTTTTATTTAATGGTCGCTTTGTCTCCCCGATGTATGCAATCCCACAATTGCATACTATTTGATAAACACATCCCTTTGGTTGTGGTGGTTGTGTAGGATTTTGTTTACCATTGGCTCTTAATATATCTTTAGTGCTGTAGCTTTTTGTGAAAGTTACATCTATTTCTGGTTGTTGCATTAGTAGCCGTTTGATTTGGTAGGAGACTTTGCCGTTGAACGGAAGGAAGATTCTGACTGGGGCAGTCGGGGTTTTTGGTTTAGCTGCACTCGCCGACAGGGTCTTGTTGATGGCGTTTGTCACAAACTTCCCTGGATAGCCGTTGAAATTTGTGAAGACATGTTTGAGATGATCAATTTCCTTGGAGAGGCTCTCAGGATCACATATCTTTTTCGCACGGTTCACCAGAGTTGAAATTGTGGCCGATTTGACGCTATTCGGGTGATTAGATTTGAAGTGAATGTATTGGTCGGTGTGAGTTGGTTTCCTATAGACACTGGTGCGGATCGAGTTGTTGGTTTTAGATACACAAACATCGAGGAAAGGTATTTGGTTATCATTTTCGGTTTCCATTGTGAATTTTATACGTGGGTGTTGCCTGTTGAGGTGTTGTAACAGTGTTTCTGGATCATCTTGTTGATTGATAATAACAAAGGTATCATCCACTTGCCTAAAGAAGCATGTTGGGGTTACGGTGGATGTTTGAAGCGCCTTCTCTTCTAAATCAGTTAAAAATATTTCTGAAATTAAAGGGGAGAGGGGGCTTCCCATGGGTAATCCATTGGTCTGTTCGTAAAAATCGTCACCCCAGGAGAAATATGTTGAATTGATGCATTGTTTCAACAAGAGTATGATGTTGTCTGTTGATAGGGAAGTCTCTAGTGGGTTTTCTAAACTTTCTATGCGCTTGCGTAGAATCTTCAGGGCCTCTTCCCTTGGTACATTTGTAAACAAATCTACAACATCATATGAGACCATCCTCCCGGGGTTTTGAATATTCTGCAGTTTCTCACAGAATTCACCTGAATCTTTGATGAAGGACGATGCAGTTGTGCCAAGTGAGGAAAGTAGTTTTGATAAATATTGGGCTGTGTTGTAGAAGACTGAATCTCGAGAACACACCAGCAGACGGGCTTTCATGGGGTTTTTATGGATTTTTATAGTAGCCCTGGCATAAGGTGGTCGAGGGTGGTTTGGTCTGAGCTTGTAATAGAGAGCTTCAGAGATCTGTTTGTCTTCTTTTAGTTTTTTAAGCAAGTTTTCATGGCTGTCCTTGTGCGCGTTTGTTGGGTCTTTGCGGATTCTTCTATATGTTGCTGGATCTTGGAGTAAACCGTTGACCGTTGTGAGGTACTCGTGAGTATTCATGATGACTGTTGCTTTTCCCTTGTCGGCGGAAACAATTGTGATAGATCTGTCGTCTTTTAGGTCATTGATTTAGGTACACGTAATTAAGTTACATCCCTGGTTTGTCATCATTAACTTAGCATTGTGGTGTACATGTATATATTGTCCTGTCATATTTTCATTTTTTATCATAGCTTGATAATGACTAGAGAAGCCTAGTCGAAACGTCGCTCAGTAAAAAGCAGTAATTGTATTCCATAGAATTGTGACCTGTATATTATTAATGTACTTCGGTTTCTTGGTAGAGCTACTTAATTTTGACAAAAGTACTATTTTTTGCTCTTATTAATCAATAAATATCAGCCCTCCTTAACATATACACTGCATTTAAAATTATCTTCATTTTCAACCCGTTTCTTTTTCTAAGGTGAGGAAACATCTAAGTGACGGTGAATGTAGGAAATCTGCTTCACCCACACCCGCCCTGTCATCTTCTCCTGCCTCTTTGACGTGATGTGCCACATATAGAGTGATTGAAGTTTGTTGTGATGCTCCATATGAAAATTATCATCAGTCATGTGTGTGAAGTCTTCATTATACCATTGAACCTAATTAAAGATACCAATTAAAGCCAAACTTTTGATACTTTTGTTGATAAATGCCTAACTGTAAACACTTAATAAGAGGATACATTTTGTTCAGAGATGCTTAACCTGTCTTGTGAGAATTACCCAACTACACGGTTAGACCTTCCAGACAATCTTAATATCTAATATTTTGTACTTTTATTTTATGTGAGGAAAAAACAAATAAGTTGAGGTGAATGACACATAGTATATATTTAAATTATTGTCTTATTGTTGAGTTTGTAAGGGCATTTCATTTGGACAAAATGTATTAAAATATATCCCAAAATGAAAGTTATCTATAGCAAACACAAATAATATTTGTGAATTTAATGTTTTATTAGAATGAGAAATTATTAGAACCTGATACAGCAGGTTTGTGAGGTTCTTTGTGTGGATGCTGAATTGCGTGTTCTGTGCTTTATTATTCACAGAAAAATTAATTCCAGAAAATTCAATGTAGTATCCCCATTCATTTTAATTTCACAGCATTTATAGGTCTTTGGACAGCTTGATCAATTCAGAATTAAAGCTATTTGCCTCGTAGCAGTGAAGCCCTGTGTCAATTTCACATGCACCGAAAATGAGATGGCTGAAATCGATGTAAAATTTATGGAAGCTGTATTTGAAAAAAGACTACCTCAGCCATAAAAATACTGTATTCAAAATCAGTATAAATGTGAGCTCTCAAAATTAATTGTGTTGGAAGTTTTTACGTATTTAGACATGTGTACTTGTAAAATCATTTCAGAAACTTGCTTTTAATATATCATCATCAAAAAGTTTCTGAAATCTGCTAAAATAGTTTTGAAAGTAAATTAAGGCTCTTACTTTTATGAAAAATGAGGATAGGTTATTTTCTTTGTGTTGAAATTTAGCAGATAAGAAATATCTCGACCAGGATACATTTGGTTAAAACTGAGAGAAAAAATACTGATTTCAAGCAAAATCGTAATTTTTCTATTTATTGGAAATGTATGAAGAGAACATATGTCCTCTCAAGTTAGTTTGACAAAAAAACAGACCTCAAAGATTTGATAAAGGCTGAATTATTAGTGAAAACACAGAATAAAAAAAATAAAAATAAAATAATGCTGGCTTTATGGATATTCTGGTCCTTTAGCATGACTGTTTATATCCCATTTCTCAGCATTATTTTCATATATAAAAGTCACATGGTTTCTTCCTGTGTTTAATTTGGACTGACAAAAGCACAAAAGGTGTTCAAAAAGTATCAAATTTTGCTGATTACAGTGGAGAAAAGTTTTTAAAAAAGTATTCAAAAATCCCTCTCCTCAGAACCTTTTCATACTTTTTAAATCATATATTTTATTCAAATCTAACAGAAAACCTCGGACAAATGTCCAGTAAGTGTGAAATTCCCAAACCTCTCTCATCAGACTTTTTCATACTTTGAGGTTTGACATTTCTTTGAGTTTTTCAACTGTTTTATTTGATCCTTATATAATGAATTTATAGAAGAATAACTGAGTATTTATTTAAATCTTGTTAACATGAATTTTTATCACCACATTGTATATCACATGTATTTAACTGTATCTGAAGAGTAAGAACAAGATTATGTGTGAAAGTGTAATAAAAATAAATCATCTCTTAATCTAACAATATTGTTATTGATTTATTAGAGCTGTCACAGTCCATACTTTATTATTACCGCATATAAACTTATTGAATCCTAAAACCTCCACACTCTATCAATATTGTAACACTGTTTTAGTGATAACAGAGATCAGTTTAGTACATATAGGGTTAATTTACATCGGAACAGAATAAAACACATCTACATACAAAACAATACATGAACTTAAACTAATATACAGTAACTAGACTACAACAGGAACACATCACGACGGTACATAACTATATAAATCTACCATTCCGTCCTTCCGCACTCGTCCAAGCCTCTTTCTCCTCCATGCTCTGTCGTCTGTCAGTAAACCCTTGATTATATAGTGCCGGAGAATAGATAAGATCATAATATGTAGTTTGTAAATGACATATGGGATTAATTACATGTTTGATTAGATCATAGCCAGTTCGTGCCTTAACAGAAGAATATACGAGTTGAAAAGTCAATATTATGTATTATCAAAAACAGCTCGGGTCAATAAGTTGTATGCACCTAGGGGGGTTGGATGGCCGAATGGTTAGCACGTGCGCGCTGTATCATAAAGCTTGTCATTGAGTCAACTGGCATGGATTCGAATTCCCGGTTGTACCTGACAAGGGTCCTCCGGTTTCCTCCCACTGCTGAAGACCCCTACGCGCAAACGAATTATTGAAATAAAATTAAACCATATATTAGTCCCGAAATGACCTAGTTAGTGTCGAGTGGACGTTAAACCCCATTTCTCTCTCTCTCCCTCTGCACCTAAATGATCGTTCAATTTGATGAAAGTTATAGAGTACTTTGTCACAATATGTTTTAAACCTTTTAAAAATTGGTTTGGAGGAAGAATAATGTTTGTTTTATGTAAGCAACATTGTAGAGAGATTGTGCACAATGAACCTTTTCGACAATATTTTAAGTACAGAGGTTAAACTGTTTAAATTTCAAAATAAGTTGGTTTTCAACAATAAGTATGATCAAGGACTGAATAATGATGAAACTATATTCTTACTTACATCAGACTTATTGCCACTTATGCTTGTTTCAACTTTTGAGTGTTGTTCAGAGTATTTGCCTGTAGCCAAGGCCAAGTTCTTAAGATTCCGCCACTGTTAAGGAAATCAAATGGAGTTTAATTTTCTGCTCCAACTGGACTACTGAATACGGTCATATGTTATATAATGTGCTATGAAGGAAACTTTGCCCGTACAGTGGCGCCACAGCCAACTCTTTATTTCGAATTCCAAATGTCAAGGGTTCTTTTACATGCACGCCAATGTGATACAGTACCTCGTTTATTCGTCCTTTTCGAACGACTAGAAGCTGTCCTTGCTACGTCCTCCGACCTGCACCACTGACATTACGAAACCACGCTGGAAAATCCAGAAGCACTTTCTCGACAAATACAGGGATCGAACCCCGAACCTTCTGGTTAGTGAGTCAGTAGTACCTTACTGATCCACCACGGCTCCCAACTGTTAAAGATCTTCTCCCTTGTTGTTAAAGCCCGGACATGCGAGGATAACAGGTGAATAGTATAAGACAATACCGTTTCAAAAGTAAAATCAACCAGTTCTGACGTTAACATTAGCTTTTATTGATTTCACACTGCCATCTTTTTGTGTCTTGGATAAATCAATACTAATTACATAATAACAACAGTATCTAAACTAAAGTAATAAGTTTTATTTCTAAAATATTGGAGAAATGTATTGCTTCTCAGATAAAGGCCCATTTACACCTAATTGTCCATCTTCTTTCAATTTATCAAAATTGCAACTTGAGAACTGTATTAGTGAAATTAGAAAATGGATGTCAAAGAACTTTCTAAAATTGAATGATGATAAAACCGAATATTTGTTATTAGGCTCAAGGCATCAATTAAGTAAATCTGCACAAGATAACCCCTTTGTTGTAATTGGTAATTGTGATATATTTTCATCTTATTCTGCTCATAATATTGGCGCTATCTTTGATAGTTTTTTGCTTATGGGAGCTCAAGTAAATAATATTTGTAAATTGTGCTATTTTAATATTAGAAATATAGGTAAAATACGTAAATGTGTAACTGTAGAGGCCACTAAGTCACTTTTTAATTCTCTGGTCACTTCTCGATTAGATAACTTTAATTCACTTTTAGTTGGTTTATAGATAAATTACAAAAAGTACAGAATACTGCGGCTAGACTTGTTACTTTAACTAAGAAATGTGACCACATAACTCCTGTTTTATATAATTTACACTGGTTACCTGTTAAATATCGAATTGATTTTAAGATTTTATTACTTACTTTTAAATGTTTAAATAATTTAGCTCCTGTTTACCTCTCAGATCTTTTAGAACTTTATACACCTGGCCGAACATTACGTACATCAGATAAACTACTTTTAAAGCCCAAAACTGTTCAACTAGTCTCTTATGGTCAGCGCTCTTTTAGTTATCAAGCACCTGTTTTATGGAATAATCTACCATTTAGTTTAAGATGTTGTACATCTCTATATTCTTTTAAAAAACAACTTAAAACACATTTATTTAATCAGGCTTTTAACTGACTCTGTATACAATCGTTAACATGCCCATAATCTTGTTGTTTATGTGTCATTTACATTGTCACTTTGTAAAGTGCCCCTGAACATGTTATATGAAAGGGTGCACTATAAATATGCTGTAATAATAATAAATAATAATACTTTTGGCACTTGAGCACCTAATTAAATGTCGTCACCCGGTCCGTTGGTCCACCTGTTAAAGGAGCTAAGTATCTAGCTCAATATTTTCCATAATATTCGAAATTAGAAATACGAATTAGAATTCAATATTGATCAATTTCAATCAATACTGATGTTGTTAACTTATGAAACTGTAGGACCCTAATATCCATTATTTAAGACACAACATTTTATAATCAGCACACGAGTCGCGTACCCTATGGTTTCGGGTGCCATTTTGTAATGAACAAATAAAAACATATCCCACATCACAAAGTAGAAGTAATTAGTAAATGCCGATTTACAAAAGACAAAATAATAATTGAAAAAAACCCCAACAAAACAAACGTGTAGAATGCACTAAGAAGGCGTAAACGACTGCCGTTCAATTTGAACTGTTAACGTATTTCACCGAATTGATTAGAAAATATTTTTAAAAATTGAATATAAATCACTTTACATACTTTCATATTACATCAATATTTGCTTTTAGAACCATTTTTCTCTTTAATACTTTCTTACTAAACCTTAGAGGCCATATCGACATTTTATTAGTTTTCTGACCGACTCAATGGTTTCTGATTTTAATCTCCCTTTTCATTTCATTTCATATTTTAATAGAATACCACAAAGCATCGGATAGTTTAAAAAAACCAGGATAATTCTCAATAGTAAGTGCAAGAGGAACACAAACAAACACACACAAAGCCGACAATACCAAGCAAACTACATGTACATAGACACTGCAAGCAATAACAAACGTATATATCAAATCATCTGAATGAATCGGAGGGGGGGGGGGTGTAGTGTATCTCATAAACAAAACAAAGATTTCAATGGGGTTTTTTTTTTATGATTTTCTAAGTATTTACAAAATTGGCGATAACACGTCACATTAATAACTGAAACGTTGATTCTAATATTCTATTTAGCTTATATACTGAGCGCCATGGAAAACGCATCACTTTTTTTTCCCAAATATTTTATTACTAGGTGGTTTTGTATGTATAATATTATGCAATACAATGAACTATTGTTTCACACAATGCTTCCAAAAGCAAAAAATATCGGCCCGTGTGCAAAAAGAAATTTGCACGAGATGCACATGAAAAACCCAATATTCACGTGCAATATTCACGTGCAGAATTGTGTGTCAGCCCTTTAAAAGCATGTTTTCAACTTAATGTGCAGTACATGAACTGTGAAACGTCAATCTGTCGTAATTTGTTGTTGGACGTGTGAAGGAATCGAGCTAGAGATGCCGAGACTTACTGAAAATCAACGGAATGAAGCCATGGGAATGTCCAGGGCTGGCATGTCTACACGTGTTTTGCCAGACACTTCAATTGTCATCAATCAGTCCACTATTGTAAGGTTGGTGGAACGTGTTCGAGTTACTGGATCAACACGTGACCGTGACCGTCAACGTCCTGGTCCACAACGCGTTAGAACCCAGGCTCAAGACCGCTATATCCGGGTCACTCATCTGCGTGACAGATTCCGCCCAACGACTCGAACAGGTGAAGCAGTCGTCGGAAGACAAGGACCAGTAAGGATGCTCTTCAGTGATGAGAGTCGCTTTCATCTTTATCACGCTGATGGCCGTCAATGTGTGTGGAGACGTCTTTGGGAACGTCTTGCAGACTGCTGCGTCTTCGAAACGAATCGATGGGGTGGGGGAAGTGTAATGGTGTGGGGAGGCTTCACATTTCATCACCGTATGGACTACCTGGCTGCTAACAACATCAATGTCTTGGACTGGCCAGTCATGTCTCCGGACATGGCACCGATAGAACATGTCTGGGATGAGATTGGACGCCGTCTGTATCGGAGACCACAGCGTTGCTGCTTTAGAAGCTGCTCTTGTCCAAGAATGGAACAATTTGCCCCAGGCCTTCTTTCAAACATTGGTAAATTCCATGCGACGTCGCTGCACAGCGTGCGTAAGAGCCCGTGGAGGACACACGCGCTACCGACATCTGTGTCGTACTTTTGGTTTTGACCCCTCTGACTTTGTACCGTTGATTACAAATTAAACATCCATAAGGGTACAAATGTGTCGTTATTGATGTGTTCCCATTTGAATATTGTTCACAATAAGAAGCAAAATAAATAAGATATGTTTACAGGATCATTTTGTTATACGAAAAACTAAGTGATGCGTTTTCCATGGGGCTCAGTATATGTGTAAGTAAAGTCATTATTATGAAATAATACATTTGCTCTCATGATTTTATCATTTTAAAATTCATATCCGGTTTATCGGCACAGAACTGTAGATTTAACATGGACTTGTCCTGGTTAAGGATTGGTTGAAGACATTTTCCACTTCCTGGATTATACAGCTGAACTGTGTTATTCTGAAATACGACATCATGTTACAGAACATCAAGATACATACTTCAATATAATGAAAACACTTTATGAATACTTAAAGATAATATGTAAGTACAAGAAAACGTGTGTGTGTGTGTGAGAGAGAGAGAGAGAGAGAGAGAGAGAGAGAGTTTCGATCCCAGGCTAGTACATAAGAAGGAATACTGTCGGCTGCCTAACCTCGTGGGTTTTCTATGGGTACCCACCACCACTGTTTATGAACCATACACGCAAGCGAATTACATAACCAAACGAAACCTATAAATTCATGACCGACAATAAAATTGCGACCTTCTTAATGAACATTAAATATCCGAAATCGGAAACATACGCCCAATACATTAGTTGTCCATTTATATTCTTCCGAACATCTGGGAATTTAAGTCTCCTTGTGGGCCTTTAAACTGAACAGGTTATGATTGCTCTCTGACCAGATGTGTCGATTAACTCGTGTGTGACAGATATTGTTCTGTTGGTTTTACTTTCATATTTTTACATCTGCAAGTCACACCACCACTAATATGGGATAAAACCTTTAGTTTGTCAGTTGGAGTGACCAAATGGAAATGGCACTGGCCCACTTATCAATGGTGTAGTACGGCCGAATATTACACGCAAAAGAACCCGTAAATCGATGAAAATGAAATGAAATGGAGTTTAACGTCCTACTGTTGTGCATACGCCATACAGTGTGCTATGAGGGAAATTTTGCCCGGGCAGCGGCGCTACGGCCTACTCTTATATCGAATTCCAACTGCCAAGGGATTTTTTACGTGCACGCCAATGTGTACACGGGACCTCGGTTTTTCGTCCCATCCGAACGACTAGACAACTGTCCTTGTCAGGAACTCCGTCCTGCATCACTGACAAGGGGTTAAATCGATGAAGAAAGAAACACCACTGCAAAAGTTTCCGCCTAGAACACTGCATGGTGTTGTCAAACTTCATTAGCCTAGAAGGTGCAGAAACACAGGAAGCTGAACAGCATTTCATCTCTTACCTGTTGTCGCCAGATAAACTTTTGTTTGTCTACCAGTGTACAACCGGAAAGTTTCGAGGCATCGTTTTTATCACTGATTTCTAAGCAAAAGTCTTTTGAACGGAGATCGTTTTTGTTGGTCTCACTCCAAATCTGAAAAGAGGAAAAACTAATTTTATTATAATAAGTTCGAGAGTTCGTCATAAAATTCTATCTTAACAATAATATATTTATTGATTTGTCCATACTATTATATTGTGTGCACGTCAACATTATGAAATCGAGACTTACCACTAAACCTTGTTGTGAACATGACTCCAATCTAACAACGGATTTACCCGCAATCTGCAGAGTTGCCAAACAATACCCTGATTCAGGATGATATATCTATAGAAATATAACATACAAAATACAAGTATTATATATATAAATACATAAATATTAGATATATACATACATAAACAATAAATATATAAATACATAAACATTAGACGATGTATATACATAAACAATAAATATATAAATACATAAACATTAAAAGATGTATATACATTAAACGATGTATATACATAAACAATAAATATATAAATACATAAACATTAGACGATGTATATACATAAACATTATATATATACGTAAACAATCAATATATATATATACGATGTATATACATAAACAATATTTATACATAAACATTAGACGATGTATATACATAAACAATAGATAAATCAAATCAAAGTTATAATTGCGATTCTAGCTTTTTTTATGTATCAAATATTTCATTTACCTTTCCAATTCTGACACTAAGAGGTATGTTTTGTCTTCTTACTGATTGAATTCTCCTTGAATTAATTTCTTCGTTTCTTGCGTTAAACTTCGGGTCGCTGGGTAGAACCTATAGAAAAAAGAGAAAGAATGGTGTTAATCTCCACACCAGGGATCGAAATAAAACGGGGTTGAACGTCCTACTTTTCTGCTCCATGCGAGGGGACTTTTGTACAGACAGCGGTGCTACGGCTTTCTCTTACTCCAAATTCCAACTGCCAAGGCTTCTTTTACGTGCCCGAAGCCGACCATATATTTTTGGAAACGATGTCGAAATTCCATGAAATATATAATGACCTACCTGTTCAGGATAAATATTATCTAAATACCATTTAAAACTTTTACATCCTAATTTCTTTCGTAAAGCTACACGATCTGATATATCGCCTATATTAAAATGTCTAGAATCTTTAGTGTAGGTGAAATATACTTCCTGGAAGAAAACATAGCATTTGTAAAAGAGCTTAATACAACAATCGGGTATTTTGGGGAAAATTTAGGTCTAGTTTGATAAATTGTTGTTTCAAGAGCATTTAATAGCTGAACTGGAAATGTACAGGTAACAGGGCACTGTTTCTGTTTATTACTCAGTCATGGGATGATATTGGTTTATAGACCCGTAGTTAAATATAATCGTTACATTTTAAACACAACATTTGATTACCGAATATTTGTCCATCCAGACATTAGCTACCCGGGCCATGTTTCTAAAGTAATAGTCATGATTCGTTCCAGCATTTGGTCTCGGTGATCTGTAAATATGGCCGACTCGAGAACAGGGAACTATTTCTATTTGACCGCCACATTGCCACACCTGAAAAAAAATGTTTCAATGGATGTTTTATCATTTTATATGTTCTAAGACTAGACATTTGTACAGTCTATAACTAACCTTGTCTTAACTTTTCTAATAAATATTTAGGAATGGGAAAAAAAAATCCACACACACTAAGTGGACATCACGACTTTGACTTAATATGCACTAAAGGTAGTTGTTATTATGCATGTAAACACATCCATTATGACTTGGCTCATACGAAAAAGATATAGCAGAATTATAACTAAGATACATAAAGGTGGTGGACTAAAATCAACAGAAACCAATGCAGACTTTAAATGGCTACAGTATGTGGAAATAATTATATCACTATTTGTCTAATATGGCGGGGTAAAATCAATAGAAGCTAATGTAAACGGTTGGGTATGAAAGACCCGTTTGCTTGCCAGGTCCTCGGTTCTATAATATTACTGCCAAGAAGAAAAAGGTTGGAAAAACCCGATGAAGTTTCCTGGCGTATACCGGGACCGAATCCAGGACTGCAGGTTGTGTGGTTAAGTCATACAGCCGATTTATTATTAATCATTCATCATTTTATCTAAAAAAAACCCCGAAACTAATCGATTTCCGTTTATTCTGTTGGTGTCCACCAACTTCACACAAATAATTTGATTCAGGGGACGTCATTCCGAAACCATCTACAGTATTCATAAATATTTGCGCCATTTCCAGATTCTTCAATCAACCGTAGAAAATTATGTTAAAATTATATTTGAAATGTGTTTGACCAGAAATGTTTTGGTTGAATTGTATAGGCCATTACGAACAGCCTAAATTACCTTGAAAGATATTTCAACATTATCAGATCCCCAAATTTGTAATTCAGGATCATATTCTCCTAGTTCCTGGAAATATTTTCTGTCGATTGCAAACAAACCACCGGCGGTAACTGGAGATCTACAATAATAAAGAAAATCCCATTTTGTAATTATATCACAACGAGTTATCAAGTTGGGATTCTTCCGCCTTTTCCGCAGATTCCTTGTATTACATACATATAAAGTGATATAGTAAAATCGGCCGTTAACGAGAAGAGAAAATTTTGTGGTACAAGGTAGATGTATTTAAGTAGGCTAATTCAAGGTCACATCCCAGATCATGTCCAGGTTTGTGTCTCAGCTAATTCGTTACGCGAGAGCCCGTTCCTTTTATTCTGATTTTTTAAGTAGATCGAGGCAATTGTCATCTAAGCTTCAACTACAGGGATACTTGCGAACTAAACATATTAAAACCTTTAAAAAGTTTTATGGCCGTCATATTGACTTGATTGGTAAATATAACATGTCTCTTTCGGCTATTATTCTATATGTACATACATTTAATTGACGCGTATACTATCTCCCTGATTATGTCTACTATATCGTCAACACTGTTTATCACGTGCATTTTGCATACGGATAGTCCATTAGTCAATCACGCTATTTTACCGAGATTTCGTCTTATGGTTTGGATGCAGCTATGGCGGGTGTGGCGCCAGGCAGGGTAAGCTTACTCTTCCGGAGACCTGTTACCACTGTTTGTCGTGTATTTTGTACACGATGAACAGTCCATTTGCTGATTACACCATTTTGCCTATACCATTTTTTTAGGAATTCGAATTTTTTCTAATGGTTTGGATTGTTCGTACTTGGTTTTATTTTATTTTAATTTTCACTTTTATTGTAATTTCTACGGTTTCTACCCGTCACCTAAGGCCACTACGTGTCAAACTTACACCGTAATATTTTCATAATTTTCTTGACAAAAATGGCTGCCAGCGGCCTTTTTTCCCAAAATTGCGGCCATCTTCGGGATTTTCGGAAGTTTAGAGCTTGACAGATCACTTAGAAAAGTCAGGTATGGCCTGTAATGTGTCCACCCCCACGATCTTAAATGAGATTGTCAGAGTTCAAGGTGACAGAAATGCAAGATGGCGCCCAAAATCGGCTATTTTCGTGACATGGAATTTTTCACTCATAAAATTCATTATCAGGGCCAAAAATGATGTTCAGAATGACACTGATCTACCTTTGGTTGAAAATGGCAGAAGGTAATGACTGAAGGTGAAGCTCCGATGGAGTATATTCACCACACTATTAGTCTGTCAGAACTATGGTTGAACTTGGAAATTGTATACAAAGTTTTTTTTTTATGATTGATTTTATTAATTTCTAAGCAACCAGTCCAAAGAAAATGAAATAGAATGGGGTTTAACGCCCTATTGTTCTGCTCCTACTGGGCTAATGAAGACGGACATACGCCATGCAGTATGGCCAACTCTTATTTCGAATTCCAACTGTCAAGGGTTCTTTTACGTGCACGCCGATGTACACACGGAACCTCGGTTTTTCGTCCCATCCAACGCCACTGACAAGCAGGAACCACGCCGGGAAATCCCAATGCAGGGATCGAAAACGCGACCTCCAGGCTAGCGAGCCAACGTCCTACCCACTGAGCCACCAGCGTCCAAAGGTTCTGAAAGGTTTTTAGAACTGTCATACAGGTTCCATCCCTGACGCATGCCATTATAGAATGCACTGGGACCGAAAGCTATATCATTTATCCATTCGAAAACACACATTTATCAGTCCTTATGCATAAGAAGGTTAAGACTTTAATGTGTAATAAATAGACCAGAACTTTCTGGTTAGTATCGTCGGGGGTTGAGTTATTGGATTTACTTGAAATGGACGAGCGGTAAAATAAATGATAGACCGATAGTAAGGATTACAAAAATAAGTAGGCTATCCGATTAAAAATGGAAAAACAGGTAGGGGAGACAATACAGGCGAGAGGAGAGCGGTGCGAAAATGTTCCAAATATATTTCTTCATCATAAATATGCTGTATATGAAGTTAACAACCACTTATAGACATTAACGGGATACTGGTTAATATTACATAGTCATTTTTAATCTGATATGTTTAGATGGTAACATAGATGTTGTGGATGAAGCTTAGTCATCTGAAACAACATTTCTGACGTTACGAAATAATAGGTTCGATATCCGAAATATCAATTAAGCTTAGTAGGCTACTGTGGAATGACTTAACAGCCATAAAATCGTGTTCTTAAGTGATTTCTCATTTTAAATCTAGACTTAAGGCTCATGTGTTCATGGTGTATTGTCCTTGGTAGCCATTGACTTATTACCGTGTTAAGAGCATGCACCTTGGACGGATTAAGTGCACTATAAATGCCCATCATTATTAAAAGTGATTTACCTGAATGGGAAAGACTTGGCTGTATCGTTACTTTCCAGTTTGTAAGGTACTGCCTCCCATCTGAACTGTAGCGTCCACGAGAAACCAACAGTAAATAGCAGGCTTGGATCATAAACCATAGTTTCTGGTTTAATGACGTCTATAACAGGGGAGACAACTGTTGTTCTATTTTCTGATATTCTTGATACTAATGGTTCCACCCATCCTATATTAACTTCACAATGACTGTCTAAAAACACCAGCACCTTGAAATGACATAGAAATAAAAGTTAAAAACTTTTGCTGTACATTCAGGCGTACTTTAAATGGCATTACTCATATTACTTCTAATTATTCTGTTTTTTTATTTTAACAACTGTTCTAGTCTAAATCTTGACAATATATTCTAGACTAACCTCGCCCTTGGCCTGCCTGGATCCACGGTTCCTAGACTGAATCAACCCAATTCTTTCTTCATTCCTCAGTAAAATTACATTTTTAAAATTAGCTTTGATGTAAGTCTCTAGCGACTTGAGCTCATCTGAAAAATACAGGGTCATGAACAAATATTAAAATGATCCAACCATTCGCGCTAAATTATTGAGATTACCATATATCGATGTAGACGGTGTGAATGGGGGTGGGGGTGAGGATGTGGAGTGACTAAACTGAACGGTCCAAAGGGTAACAGCAGCTTCGTAGCAATAATATTGTGTTGTTGTATCTTTGGCCTATTGTCCACATGGCTTGATCTGCAAATGACAGTTATTCCATTTCATTATTCTTTTATTTCCGAAATCATCATGTATGAAAGGCTACTACGCCAATAATTGAACAATTTATGCCAATAAATCAGGAGGTGAATTATTTACAGCAGTACGTTCCTTACCTACCTTGCTTTAAGAATAATGTCTGTCAGAAAATCGGAGAGTTTATTATTTACAATAGAATGTTACATACCTAAATTACTATAAAAATAATGTCTGTCATTAAATCAGGGGGATGTTATATTTACAACAGTATGTTACCCAATTTACTATAAGAATAATGTCTGCCAACAAAACCGTAAGGTCTATGATTTACAATAGAATGTTACCTACCCAGCTGACTGTTGTCATCTACAAGAATAATTTCAGTTAATAAATGGGAAGGTGTTCTATTTACAATAGAATGAACAGTTCTTATTAAAGCTGAAAAGGCTTCGTTAATAAAACATATAACTACACTAACAGTTGGTAGCTTATCCCCATAGTTCCGAGATTTACACCTGAAAAAAACAGAAATATATCACCATAGTTTTTTTTTTACACCTTACGAATAAATAAAATACACCGTAAAATATATCACCAAGGTAACTGGAGTGCTGTGCAAAATATCAAATATAAGTTGTCATGGCAACAATATCACTACTGAACAATACAAAATGAATCACCATAACAACTATAGATGAGGTTTGACGTCCTTTCGACGCAAACTAGGTCATTTCGAGACTTTATTAAAGGAGAATGGACTATATGCACGCACCATTAGGCCCAGAGTGAGAGAGAGAGAGAGAAATGAAATGAAATGGGGTTTAACGTCCTACTGTTCTGCTCATATACTGGGCTAATGAAGACGGGCATACGCCATACAGAGTGCTATTAGGGAAATTTTGCCCGGGCAGCAGCAGTATCGCCTACTTTTATATCGAATTCCAACTGCCAGGGGATCTTTTACGTGCATTCCAATATATACACGGGACCTCCGTTTTTCGTCCCATCCGAAGGACTAGACAGCTGTCCTTGTCAGGCCCTCCGTCCTGCATCACTGACAAGGGGAAACCACGCCGGAAAATCTAGATGAACTTTCTCGGCCAATGCAGAGATCGAACACCCGACCTCCAGGCTAGCGAGCCAGCGTCTTACCCACTTAGTCACGTGATCCCCAGAGAGAGAGAGAGAGAGAGAGAGAGACGGGATATCGATAACGGTATTGAAAAGAATACAGCGTAATGTACACCCATGTCTTACACCAATATCAACGTCTACGTTATTTTGTCGAAGGCCATTTAACTTTAAGGTTGAAGAATAATTATAAAGTTAAGTTACAGATTGTTTGATATGATCTCTAGCATCCTTACTTCCGGTACGGGAATGGCACTAGGTTGAACCCTCCTGCGTCTAGCTAACCGTGTCGCTGCCCAGAAAATCCTCGATTCATTCTGTGAAATAATATACCCTATAATAACCACCCTAGCTTAACTAGTGGGAAAAGGGATGATCGTAAAAAAGTCTAGCCTATTCATAAATCTTTCGGAATATCACGGAATAAAAATATTGTTTATATAAATAACCCTATAGTACCAACCAAACCACTATAACGTCGACGGCTTCGTCTATATTATATCTACATGTACTTAAAATACAAAAAATACAACACAATTTTTATGGAAATGTACACATAAAGCATGACATTACGACACGTGTTCTTTTATCGTTATCAAGTACAAATTGTTCCCCGTAGCTAAATGTCACTCTAGAATTATACTTACAAAACGTTTCTGCTATCAGGTAAAGTACGATTTGTATCCAGTTTGTCACTCACGTACTGATTAAACGAGTGGACCTTAAAACCTTCTTTATGCCGCCGCTCATCTTCCTCACTCTTCATTAGATTTAATTCAAAAACCTCGGTTAAATATTTAGCCGTGAATGATTTGGTTACGTTATATTCCGAGCCATATCCAGCAATCGTACTTTGGTAACTCCATCGCATATCGTCTCTCCATACATATGATAATACAGCAGCGCCAATTATCGTTAAAAACAGAAATATTTTTAAACCTTTTCTAGACTGTTTCACGTGTTTGCTTCTAGCATTGTTGAATCTCTGAGTCGGCTTTCTTGACTGGAAAATAATATTGTGTTCATGAAACAAATGTAATTCGTTTAAGAAAACTTTTGAAAAGATCCAGCTGTTGTTTACGATTTATTCGACAATTAGAGTTATTGTAAGCAAGGTAACTACACTAGATTTCGTGTTTTGGGTTATTTTTCTATAAATTCAAAATATAAATTCAGAAAATAAAGAAACCGGTCATTTCTATCAATAATGCACAAACAGGTTAAAAGTTCATTGATGATATCAAAAGTATATTATAAAGAAATAAAGTATAACTTCAAATAATGGAATAGAATTGCCTTAAACAGACGCAATATGTCTATGCAAGGCAGCATAATTTGTCGTTACTTTTCAGCTTTCTATCATACTAATTGTTGAATTTTCATATTGATTTAGAAGCTTTAACGTTTTAAACTCAGGTAGGCCATACTTCCATTATTGTCGAATAATGCCTATTATTTATCTCCCTATGGCGTCGCTTACTAAAAGTAAACATTGTTATTGTAGCCATTTAAATTAAGAAATACAATTTTCAAAAGTTGTAGTGGAAAAATGTGGACGTTCGTAAGATTCAATGGGTTTCTAGATGTCTATAATACAATTTGCTTTAACTCTATGGAAGACTGGACGAGGTTGTTTTTCAAAAATTAATAATAATATTGCTACTTTAAATAGACTATGCAAAAATTTAAAATTTAACAATCGTTTATATAGCAAATGTAGCCTCCTAATGCAATGCACAAATATAACTGAACATTAAACATAAAATTCAAAATTAAACAGAATTAAAATTAACACCTACCAAAGAAAACATTTTTACACTATTGAATTAGACATCCATGTGTTAGAGTAGCCACGTATATATATATAGATTGAAATTTAAAGTCGACCAACCCATGGTAAAATGCTTATTGATTTCACTATACTTCTACTTTGTACGTTGTCGTCGTCTGTTGCACGGCTTTATTGAACGAAAATAAAGATTTTCTACATTTTAGTCATTAGCTCAGATTTGAGCGACATGTTCGCACAGTTGATAGTTTTATTTATAAGCAATCATTCATAAGACGAGACTGAATATACACACCAAGACACACAGATACAGTCCTATCAGTATAGAATTATGTGTGCATGGATTAGGTCCTAGCTACAAAGAACGTAGCAAAAACATTGATTTTGACTTATTCTGCTTTAGAAATAGGAACAATATTGTAATTTCACAAAATTTTCTCGAAAAATCTGAAAAATCCACAGAAAATCCCCGGAGATCCCCCAATTTGATGTAGAAATCTATCTTTTCATGACTACTAAGATGAGCCAATATTTAACCCTAATTGATATTTATTGCAAGTATTAAGTTTCTTATGTTCATATGTTAGCCATTGATGGTAAAACTAAGCTGTTACACAGATTCCTTTGGTAAGGTTAGTTCTGCAACCAAAGACTAGATTGATTCAGTCAGTGACATGTTTAGGGGGTAGGGATACATGTTTCAGTATATCTTTAATATTACAATCAATGCAACTGATTCGGGAGTTTTCGGTTAGCATAATTTCCAAGGTTTCTAAAAATATTTCCATTGCAAGCCTGGATCTCCCACAAATGGAAAGTTATTGACATTTAAAAGTAACTACACGTACATTTTGTACATTTTTATGACATGGTGATAAAAAACTATATTTTTGAAAAAGATTCCAAATTATGAGTATTTTCTATACCGTTGGCTTGCAACTTTTCACAGAAATCAAATATATGTATCATAAGGTCTGTCATTGAGTCAACTGGCGTGGTTTCGATTGCCCGGTTGTACGTGACAATGAGTGGGGTCGCCCTCAAACCTCCACTTTCCTCCCAATGCTAAAGTCCCCTACGTGCAAACAAATTATGGAAATAAAATTGAACCATATATTAGCTCTCTCTCTCTCACTCTCTCTCTCTCTCTCTTCTCTCGCTGGCTTCTATATATATTAAAACGACGATTTTAAACGCAGCACGAATCGTGATCGTGGGAACCTATCTATCTATCGGAGTTTCTGGATTCTGTTACATCATAATAATTTACCTTGGTTTTCACCATTTAGTTTTGAACATATCAATCATAGGCCTATAGTTGGGAATGACTCTTAATTATCTATTTAAAATAAAAATATCAGCACTAAAAAACGAGTTGGGACTAACATTATTCGCAGGATAAGAAACCTTAGAACTGATCGCATTTCTAAAGCCGGTCTCGCAGGTAGTGCGTAGGGTGACTCCGTGATGACGCCACAGTGACGTAGCGTAACAGCCAGGCAACATGTTAACCATCGTTAATAATACCATTATATTATGTTGTATTATTACCGACCTATTGCTGTTTACATGTACACAGATACATCTCACCAATTATCATCCACGTCAAACAAATCGTACAACTTGAGAGCAGATTTGCAACTTTTTGATAACAAGTCCACGGTGGAAATTTTTTCTAGGTTCTCACCGTCGTGCGATACGTTACGAACGTGACGATTAGTCATTCTTAGCTGATCCTGCAAATTTTATATACTTTTTTGAAATTTCAAGTTTGAATACGAGGTGATGCGAGTCGATACGTTCTGGTACGATTTCGTGCACGATTGGTCAATTTCCAGTGACACGATCTGGTCTCCCGTTCAAATACGATCAGATATACATTCCGTTAGGATTGCCCGTACGTGCAGATACGTTCGGATACGTGTCGATACGATCATCAGGAACCGATGCGCTCTTTTGCGTTAGGATACGATTGTGGCCGCAATGTCTTTCACGGTTGCTATTCTGAAACATTGTCAAAATATTCCATTTCGCCGTATTTATATCGGCATAGTGCATGGTCATAAATGAAATATATTGACAAAACTTCAGAATAGCGATATCTTAAGGCAAACGTGCGAATTTAAAACGAAATGGTGACATACAACATAGCGTGTTGGTAAAATTATTTTGGCAAAAATTGTGTTTTAACGGATAAAGTCATCTCAACGATCACAATATGAGACATTTATTAATATCGCGATATCTTTCGCGCTATGACCCTTATACGCTTCCATATAACAGAGAGTGGTGTTTGCCTTGCCCAATTATGATCCCGATCACGATCTGTCGCGCTTTGTCACGATCCAATATGATCTGAAGCGATGATCACGGTTGACAGCGGGAACCTAAAAGTTAAAGCTGATTAATTTGCATTAGGTACATTATTATACTGTCTGCAAGGCATTTTGTGATAGGAATACATTGAAATAACACAAACACGAAAATGGAAAACATGAATAGTGCAACGTTTGAACAAATATTCTCTGTTGTCGTTATCAAGCACATGGTAAAGAATACGATTTGCTGTATTGTGTATTTTGTATTATTTCAAAGTACATTATATTATTGTTGATTATTTTGAGATATTGAAGCGTAAACAATATAAACCGACTTTTTACCCGATGGAGTTATCTACCTGAATGACCCCAAGATCTTTAACGTATCATTTTAATTTGTCAAAAAGTTTATTTTTTCACAAATGTATGTAAATTAAAAAGATCAGCCCTTTAACAAATAAACCCGATGTAAGATTTTTAAAGCCGTATTGATTATTTCTATATAATCAGCTTACAGAAAAATGTATGTCTTTGACCAGTTAAATGTATTCAATTCATAGTCTATTCGTATCAGTTTCACAAAATTCTTATTGAAAGGTAAATTTGAAAAAAAAAAATAAATAACAAAAAATCCAAAAAAAAAATCATGTGTTAAAAGGTATATTTATTTCAAGAAAACAGTTTGAATTGGGATTGTAATTGGACAGCTGGTTTAGCCAAATCCGGTATCTAAAAGTCAACACATTTTGGTAATAATGTTTTACCTCACACTGATCAGCAGTGAATTTTCGCTAGGCCGCTACAATCACTGATAAGGATAACATCGATGCGACTTAATGAGCCAGAAATATTAACTGTTGTCCTGCGAAAAATAACATTCTAAAACATTTTTTTATGTATTAGAAAAATAAATAAAGGCGTTTGACGTATTTGTAGGTAAAAATTATTTCCTATTTAGTGCAAATGGGTATTAAAATGAGTAAAAGTCTCCATTAAGCCCGAACTAGAATGTCTTATGTAGACAATGCACGCGCCATTGAGCCAATGATTGACGCCGCGTGATGTGACGTCACGTGTTAAAAGTAGTTATCTTTTACAGAGATATTAGAAGACTTTCGGAATCCTCTGTGAAACAGATTGGTTTTACCTATCTACAGTAGTTGGGCGTAGTAGCTTGATCCTTTACTACAATATAAGAAAAGAAACGAAATGAGATGGGGTTTAACGTCCTACTGTTCTGTATCGACTTGGCTAATGAAGAGAGGCACCCGTTTTACAGTGTATTATGATGGAAATTTTGCCCGGACCGCGGTACTACGGTTTACTCTTATATGGAATGTCAAAGGTCAAAGGTTCTTTTACCTGCGCCCATCAGTGTGTACACGGTATCTCGGTTTTTTGATCCCATTCGAATGGGCTATACGCTGTCCCGTGCACCATTGTCTCTCGCCCGAAAAGTCCACTGAACTTTCTCGGTCAACACAGGGATCGAACCCAGGACCCACAGGTTAGCGAGCCAACGTTTTACTCACTGAACCTCCGTGGCTCCCAAGAAAAGAAACATGTTTTCCCTAGGTACAGACTTACGATGTAGTTAAGGCATAATGAGTACCGGTATCCGAAATATGACCTCGATGACACCTATTTCAGATTTTATTTCTATTGCAATATGTTTTCTTCGTTCTCAATAACTTGTATATAGCTTTTGCTGGCTGCTCTGACAAACCGGATGAGCTCTAATGAATTTCGCTCAATACCCTCTTTTATAACCCCCTAATTTCTTTACGTCATAGATTGACCTTGGCGTTAATTTCCTTCCCAAATATGGAATAAACATCCCCATACCCCCAAAAACGGGAGGAGAACATTACCTTATATGGTCTATCAAACACATGTCATAAACAAGATAGTATTTGATGGATATTTTGACAATGGTAAGGACATAACCAGTGTTTCTACCAAAATATCACTGTTTTTTAAACACACCACTTAATTTGATTTGAGTATGTGAGATCTGACTCTATACAAAGTGTGACTCTAATAATTAGTTAAAGATACAATATGGTGGCAAAGACCATATTATTAAAATATATATTTGAATAACACCGAATGTGAAGTTTACTCTTTTTATTACAAGCAGTCATATATCAATAGTTATCTACTATAGCATACAAGAACATAGAACAATTAGTAATAATAATAATAATAATAACTTTATTTAAGAAGGTTAAAGGATTAGGCTGTAGAAACCATCCTACCATCCTGCCCTTTATAAAAAAAATATAATACAAAAGATAATAGCATAACAAACAAGAGAGAAAGATGAACAGGAGCATAAAATAATCGGGATGAAATTATAATACAAAGATGACAGCACCAAAGGAGACAGATATAATAACACATAATAAAACATATAACTTACGATAGCAAAAGACATAAAAGTGTGAAACAAGGAAAGATTACCTATACATTATTTTTATATATGGACATCAGGGTACCAGTATTATTCTTTGACAGTAAGATATTTAAAAAGTTGTTTCTTGAAAGAATTTAAGTTAGTGGTTAGTTTTTAGTAAGATGGTAAAGAATTCCACACATTTGGGCCTTTAAAACGGATACTGCTTTTTTTTACAATAATAAGCTTTGGATTGATGTACGTGTGACATATCAACAATTATGGAAACAATTATCGATTGATTGAACAAACAGGAATAATTTTAACAATTTTGAAAAAATAATTTCTTTCGATCGGGATATCGTCAGAAGCAGTGTTGTTGTATGGGTTGACACCGACAAATGTGTCCTGTCGAA